GCCGTCGCCGACTTCGTCGTCGGTGCCGCCTGCCGCAGCGGGGGCGATTGAATGGTTGCAGCCCGAATCGGGGCCGCCGACCGCATTGCCGGTGGCGGGAGGCTCCAAGGCCGTGAATTTGAAGTGGCGTGACCATCCAGCAGAGGTGGTGCTGGCGCACCTGGATTTGGAGCTCCGCGTCGCAAAGCTGCAGCACCTAATGCTCGACCGCGTGGCGGACTGCAGCCTCCCGAGCCGCAGCCTCCCGCGCCGCCGCCGGCGAGGGCGGCGGGCGCCGAGCGGCGGGCGGCCAAGGGCAAGGAGAGCGCCCGCGAGGCGTGGGACGCCGCGCAGGCGGCGGCAGCGGCCGAGGCCGAGGCGGTGATGGCGGCGGCCAGTCGGCCGCCCGCCGCCGGCGACGAGAAGCCCGGCTGGGTCCGTCGCGCGTGGCAGCGGGCGGCCGCCTGGCGCTCGCCGCTCGGCGTGCGCAGCCGCCTCAAGCGCCTCCTCGAGCGCGCGAGGGGCGCCGGCGACGACGAGCCGGCCGCTTAGGAACAACGGCCCTCCCCGCGCCCCCGACGAGTCACCGCGACCGCGAACGACGCTGCGTAGTCGCCTCTCTTGAGCTTGCATGTCTCTCTCACTGGGTCGTGTATCTCGTGTCGGTCTTCGCACGTCGGCATGTGTCGTTGTCTGCGGGAGGTTGTCCGCAACCGTGTATGTTAATCCGTGCCTTGCGCCTTCTCTTCACAAGCGCGGCCGCGAATTCTTTTCTCGCCAAGGTGGCTAGACTAGCACTCCGGCGGCGTCGCACTGCTGGCGCGTCTATGCACCCGCTCTCCGCCGCCCTCCTCGCGTGGGGCCGCTCCGACCCCCCCCCGCCGCCGCCAGCGCCGCCGTCGGCCGTCGAGCTCGCGGTCGCGGCGTCAGAGGTTCTCGCCGGCCGAATCGCCGAGGTGCCGTGGGCGAGCGTGCTGCTGTCGGTGCTGCTGTTTGCGCCTGTCGTGTACGTGGTGCTAAACTCGGTGGTGCCGCTGGTGCTCGGGCGGCAGGACCTGCGCAAGAAGTACGGCGCCAGCTGGGCGCTCGTCACCGGCTCCTCCTCTGGCATCGGCAAGGAGCTCGCCCGGACGCTGCTCGGGCAGGGGCTCGACGTCATCCTCGTCGCGCGCAAGGAGCCGCTCTTCGACGCGGCGAGGCGCGAGCTGGCGGCGCAGTTCCCGCGGCGGAGCGTCGTGCAGGTCGAGGCAAACCTCTCCGACGCGAGCGGCGCGTGGATGGCCGCCATCGAGGCGGCGGTCGGCGAGAAGGACGTGCAGGTCGTCTTTCTCAACGCGGGCTTCATCCTCACGGGCATGTTTGAGCAGAACGCGGTGCAGGCGCACCTCGCAAACCTGCACTGCAACCTGACGGCCAACATCTGGCTCTCGCACTACCTCTACGGCCGCATGCTCGCCCGCTCCCTCCCGGGCTGCATCGTCTTCACCTCGTCGTCTGCGTCTTACATCCCGAACCCCTTCGCCGCCCTCTACGCCGCGACCAAGTCGGGCGTCTCCGCCTTCGCCGCCTCGCTCGCCGTCGAGGCGCGGCCGCGCGGCATCCACGTGCACTCCATCCACCCGTCGCCCGTCAACTCGCGCTTCACGGCGGGCGGAGGCAACGAGGTGCAGCAGCGCAAGATCGAGGCGATGGCCACCTTCTACAAGTTTGCGTCGGGGCCCGAGGCGCTGCCGCAACGCTTCCTCTCCCACATCGGCCGCGCTGCCGTCGTCGCCGACGTGGGCGGCGTCTCGGTCGGCCTGCGGCTAGTGGTGCAGCTGCTCGGCTACAACTTCATCGCGCTGGTGACGGCGCTGACGGCGCACCTCACGCCCGACTACAAGATGCACGCGACCAAGGCGGCCAAGTCGGGCAAGCGGGCGTGAGGGGGGGGCGAATCCCTTTATAACGTGTGGCGGGCGCGCCCTCGATCTCCGCACTAACGAGACGCCGTGGCGTGTCGCGCGCTTTTAGATCACTGAACGAGAGTTGGCTCTCTCGTCCTCTCGTGTGACTCACTTGCTGCCAGCAACACATCCGTGCGACGTAAGTACAGAAAAAGAACATGTGCATGCATGCGTAAGATCTAAGCACACACACACGGCTCATGGGCTGCGGCAGCAGCCTCCAGGTCCAGCGCTGGGGCGGGCTGCTTGTCCTTGCGCTGGGCCAGTGCACTGTGCGTCGGACTGTGTGCCCGCACACACAGTCCACAGACGGGATCTGACGGGCCCGAGGGGGAGGAGGTTGTTTCGCTCAGTCCTCCTCGCTTCCAACAAATGTGCGTGAGAGCCACATACACTGACATTGTGGGCGGGGGCGGGGGCGGGGGCGGGGGGGAGGGGGGGGGACATGAACGACCCGACGAACGTCCCCTCAACATAACCCTCAACCCTGCGACGAACGCGGCCGTCGAAGCGCGGCCACTCGGCCGGCAATTGAAGAGGAAACCCGCGAGCGAGCGCAGGCGAACGCGCTAAGCTGACAGCCATGCGTCTCTTTCGCGCCCGAATGCGTGAGAATTCCGTTGCCCTGTCCGACGATACTAAGAAGGCCGCCTCGATGCCCACCCTGCCCGAAGACGCTGACCCCCGTTCGAGCATTATTTTCGAGGACGACGATGGCAGCAGCTCCGTCGGGAGTGGTGCGACCTTGCCAAAGTCGAGGTTCCAGCGTCGCGCTCAGATGTCAAGCATCGACCGAAACCTCGACGCGCTCGGGCTCGCCCCCCACCCAGACGCGCACGAGGAGCTGCCGCGGTATGAGCTCGAGACGATACAGATGTTTGGCTCTCTGACGGGAGCGTCGCTGACGTGGCTTGAGCTCAAGCAGCTGGGCTTTAAGCTTGACCCGCAGTGGAAGAGCACGAGCCAAAGCATGCTCGAGTCCACCGTCTCCTCTGCCTTCCTTGTCAAGCTGCTGGAGGGGTCGGGGCTGCAACGCGGTGACGCGCGGCTCACCGACTTCTACGGCAAGCTCCGCGACCTGGACGCGCTCGAGGTGGACAGGCCACTCACCCTCGCCGTCTTCGACAAGCTCGTGGCCCCCTGCCGTGACATCATCTACCTCGCAATCTCTGGCGACCTCAGCATCCCCGACTTTTCCGCCTTCGGGTCGACGCTCGAGAAAATCTACTCGAAAATCAACGAGATCAAGTCTGGCGCGAACGCGTCGTACATCCCACAGCTGGCGCAGGTGAACCCGGAGCAGTTTGGCATCTCGGTCACCACGGTCAGCGGCCAGCACCTCTCCATCGGAGACAGCGACGTCCCCTTTTGCATCCAGAGCTGCTCCAAGCCGCTGAGCTACTTGATGGCCCTCGGCGAGCACGGCAGCGCGTACGTGCACCGCTGCGTCGGCACGGAGCCCTCGGGCCAGCGCTTCAACGAGATGGTGCTCAAGGACGCGCCGGAGCCGAAGCAGCCCTCGCGGCGCATCCCGCACAACCCGATGATCAACGCCGGCGCCATGATGATGTGCTCGATGCTCTCGCCAAAGCTCACGCGCGAGGAGCGGCTCGAAAAGGTGCTCGACACGTGGCGCGCGCTCACCGCCGGCGCGGGCCCGGACCCCGTCGGGTACGACGATGCGACCTACCAGTCGGAGAGCGCGACCGCCGACCGCAATTGGTGCCTCGCGTACATGATGAAGGAGAGCGGCGCCTTCCCGCCCTGCTTCACCTCCCTCTCCGAGACGCTCGAGCTCTACTTCCAGATTTGCTCCATTCTGTGCACCTCGCGCGGCATGTCGGTCATGGCCGCCACGCTCGCCAACGGTGGGCTCAACCCCATCACGGGCGAGCGCGTCTTCGCCGCCGACGATGTGCGGCGCGTCCTGCCACTCATGCTCACGTGCGGGATGTACGACTTCTCCGGCCAGTGGGCGTTCGACGTTGGCTTGCCGGCCAAGTCGGGGGTCGGCGGGTGCGTCTTTATGGTCATCCCCAACGTGTGCGGCATCGCCGTCTGGTCACCGCGGCTCGACCCCGTTGGCAACTCGGTGCGAGCCGTCGCGGTGGCGCAGGAGCTGTGCCGCACCTATGCGCTGCACAACTTCGAGGTCTTCTCCGGCCTCTCGCGCCACAAAGTCGACCTCTCCAAGCGGCGGAAGAACGAGGAGAGCATCAAGGCGATCGCGGCGGTTCTCTTCGCCGCCAGCCACGGCGATGTGCGCGCGCTCCGCAGCCACCACATTGCCGGCATGGACATCTACGCGTCGGACTATGACCAGCGCACGGCGCTCCACATCGCCGCCGCCGCCGGGCACGTGGACGCGGTCGAGTACCTCGTCAAGACCGCGCCGGCCGCTGACCTGGAGCACATCATCGGAGCCAAGGATCGGTGGGGCTTCACCCCGCTCCACGAGGCGGAGAACTTTGACCGGTCCGTGATTGACAAGAACGGGCAGGCGCAGCGGCGCTCCCGAGTCTCGATCGACGACGACGCGGCCGAGCGCCACGGCGCGCTGTCCCTCCCTCCCCATGCGCCTCTCGCCTCGCCACTGTGCACCCCCTCCCTTGGCGCACCCCAGCCCTAGCCCCCCCTTCCAGGGAAGTGCGTGGCCATCCTCAAGGAGGCCGGCGCCAAGAAGGGCCTTGCCCCTTCCCGCTCGCTTCTTTCGCTCGCCGGCAGCGATCACGGGGCGACCTCGGAGCTGCGCAGCTCCACGCGCAGCAGCCGCACGTCGTCCGTGCTGCGGGGCGAGCCGAGGGTAGAGGTCTCCAAGGACGCCACCTTTGTTGTCAACGCGGCGGCCGAGGGCGACCTGGAGGAGCTGGTGCGGCTCGCTGCGAGCGGCCTCAACCTGGGCGCGGTGGGTGACTACGACTTCCGCACCGCACTCCACCTGAGCGCCTCAAATGGACACGCGCACATCGTGCGCTACTTGCTCTCGCAGGGCGCTTGGCCGAACTCTGCGGATCGGTTTGGGAATACCCCGCTCTCCGACGCGATCCGCGAGGGGCATGACGCGTGCAAAGAGCTGCTCACGAGCGCGTCCAAAGCAGTGGCGAAGAAGTCGCTTCTGGAGCGCTTGGAGGAGTCCAGCGCGGCCGAGACGGCCGAGACGGCAACAGAGGCTGCCTGACGAGGCTGTGAGCGCGGACCCACCTCGTCGGAACCCCCTCCGCGCGAGTTTGCCACCCTCGGGATTCGGTTGCGTTGACCGCTCTCCGGGGCCTCGCTCGTCACGGCGGAGTCAACGGCGCGGCACGTGTCAGGGCCCGGGGCGCCTGGTTATAGGGCGTTGATGGAATGGTGCATGTGGGTCGGAGATTGTATCTAGCTGTGTCTCTCTCCGCTGCGCCGGCACACTTCCTCTCGTGCGCTGGCCAACGTGTGAGCTCAACCTCAAGCCGCACACACCAGGCGCGAAAACTGCATGGTGATTGGTGTCGCATGCGCGGTGTCGTCCCTGTTCTCTCACTGTGCAATATGAAAGCACAAACCACAAAATCCCGTCGCAACGTTTTTTACAGCTCTCTGTTTGAGGGCAGAGGGGGAGACTCAGGGACTCCAAACGGCGAACGTGAACAGACGACGCGGCGCGCAAGGCCGAACGTACCAGTACACACCTCGACATCTCATCAGAAGATCGAGGTCGTTCGCGAACGGAGAGTACTCGATGGTGGGCCTCTGCTGCACCTCGTGAGAAGGCTTCGGGCAGCGGCCACCGCCCCTGAGCCGCGGGGCGGATAAGAGGCCTTCATGTGCAGCGCCATGCTCATCTGCGGCGTCTCAAAAGACGTACGGCACAATCTTGTACGGTACCATCGCCTTGTACTTTGCGTACGCCGCGCCGTACTTGAGCGAGCACTTCTCCTCGTCGCGGATGGCGCGGTGCACGAGCAGCACGGTGAGGAAGGCCGCGTAGAAGAGCGGCAACGCGCCGTGCGTGCCGACGCCGGCGAGCAAGCCCCACGACCAAGCGGCCTGTTGACAGCTTGGGCCGGTGTTCAGTCGCAACACCGCGCCGAAGCCACCACGGAGGCCACCACGACTAGGCGGCCGTCCATCTCGGGTCCTCTCGGGCTGATCTCGGCTACCTCTCGGCTACCTCTCGGCTACCTCTCGGCTACCTCTCGGCTACCTCTCGGCTACCTCTCGGCTACATCGCGGCTACATCTCTGCTACATCTCGGCTACATCTCGGCTACATCTCGGCTACATCTCGGCTACATCTCGGCTACATCGCGGCTACATCTCTGCTACATCTCGGCTACATCTCGGCTACATCTCGGCTACATCTCGGCTACATCTCGGCTACATCTCGGCCGTGAGCTCGAAGAGGTACTGCGCGTGCCGCGCGACGCCCCACCAGCCGGAGACGAGGAGCAAGCTCGTGTGGCGCGCGAGCTTGCCTGTTCATTAGTAGAAATGGACTAAGCGCCAGCGGTTCATTGAGCAGGCTCGCGGCGGCGGGCGAGAGCTGCCGCTCTTCGGGTCGGTGACGTGGTACTCGGCCTCGATGGCGATCGGCTTGCGGCCCCACACGAGGGCCGCGCCGCCCGTCTCGCGGAAGCGCTGCCGCTGCAGGTCCGCCTCGAAGTTGAATGCGACGCCGAGCAGCCCGACGGCGAAGATGGCGCCTAAGGGCGACCCCGACCGCTAGTGCGCGCACGCGGCGGGCGAGAGTGTGCGAGCCCGGCCTCCGGTGGCGCCGGCGGCGGGCCACGAGAGGCCGGACGGCAGCTGCACCATGCTCCGCGTATGGAGCGTGTAGATGGAGGGCACCCAGACCTATCCCGTAGGAGTCTTCACTCATTCCCCAGAATGATCTCATGTGGAGCGTGAGGACGGCGGGGGCACAAGACCAGGCAGCCCCACGTCTCGTAGAAGCCCGCCCTGTCGGTGATGATGTCGATGGAGCGCATGTAGCCGATCTCCCAGTAGAAGAACTTGACGAGGTAGACAAACTGCGACGCGGCGCACAGGACGAGGCCCGGGTCGAGCCGGCCGTGCCTAGGGAAGGTTCCGGGAAGGGTCCGGCAAGCCTCCGAGAGGGACGAGGCCCCGAGCCGGCCGTGCCGCGAGTGCGACGCGGCGGCGAAGGAGACGCCGGCGAGCATCCAGTAGGTCATCGAGATGCGGCAGTTGACGAAGCGCTTCACGTCGACGCCGCCCAGCTGCGGGTAGAGCTCCGTGCCCCAGTAGTAGTCGAAGAGCAGCCCCTTGCCAGACGAGCCTGCGTCCGGGCCGGAGGGGCGGAGGCCGAGCCGGCTGAGGCCCTTGGCGTAGAGCAGCGCGCAGAAGGCGAGCCCGCCAAAGTTGAGCAGCCCGACCGTCGCGCCGAAGTGGTCGTAAAGCACTGAGAGCGGGTAGAGACCCGCCGCCGCGCCGAGCACAAAGACGAGCGGAAACAGCACGCAGTGCCACATCGCGTTGTCGGCGTAGGCGGGCCGGGCGCCGCGGTCCGAGATGGGGCCGAACTTGACCGGGCCGGGGATGGCGTAGATCAGCAGCGCCAGGCCGGAGAAGGCTGTGAGAAGCACGGCCGCCTTTGCGTCTGGCATCGTGGAGGCGAGCACATCGGCGGCGAGGGCGGCGGGACCGGCGGCGGCCGCAGCGGCGAGGGTCGAGAGGGTCGGCTCGGGCTGGGCCGTCAGCCACGCCGTGATGTGGCAGAATGTGGGCGTGGTGACCATGAGCAGAAGAGGCAGCAGGACGTGGTCGACGAGAGACAGCTTCGAAGGCGCCGCCTGCTTCGGGGCGGCAGCTGATGACTTCGCCACGCCAGAGCGGCGCCGCTGCGGCGACGGCGAAGGCCGCTCCCTTGCCGGCGAACGCCTGGTGGCCGGCATCGCAGTGTGCACAGATAGGTTGCACAGACACAGAAGCAGCGAGACACTTGTGTCGCCGACAAACAAGGTGAACCAAAAAAATACGGCGGCCCAGGCTCTGGGGGGCTTCTTTTCTCCCCGTTAGATAGGGCGCGCCGTCGAGAAGAGAGAAAGAAAAAGGAGAAGAGAGAGAGGGAGGGAGGGAGGGAGGGAGGGAGGGAGGGAGAGAGAGGAGAGGGAGAGGGAGAGAGAGAGAGGGAGGGAGGGAGTGAGAGAGAGAGAGAGGGGGGGGGGGGGGCGAGGGAGAGAGAGAGAGAGAGAGAGAGAGAGAGAGAGGGAGGGAGAGGGAGAGGGAGAGAGAGAGGGAGAGAGAGAGGGAGAGAGAGAGAGAGGGAGAGGGAGAGAGAGAGAGAGAGAGAAAGAGCGAGGAAAAAGGGAAAATGAAGAAAATCGACACGCTGCCTCTCTCAGCTTCGCCGACCCGACCATGACCAGGACACGACTGCGTGGCTCTTCATATCTTCATTACCCCAACACGCCTACGCAAGCGCACAGCACCAACTTCGTCCATCATCCGGCCGCAATGCAGCTCCCAGACGCACGCCTGTGGGCGCCCTGGGCCGGCGGCGGCGCCGCGCTGCTGGTCGTCGCCTCGTCGGCGGCGGCGCTCGCTTGCCGCCGCCCGAGCGGCGAGTCGGGCGAGGCCCTCCTCCGCACCGCCGCTCGTCCAGCCTTCTTCCGAAGCCTGCGAGGCACGGCCGCCACTCTGCTCGTGGTCGCGTCCACATACGCCCTCGCTGTTGCCGAGCTGCTGGCCGGCGGCCTCTTCGGCGGCCAGCTGCGCGGTCTGCTCCCCTGTCTCGCCCTCCTCGCCATCGCCGCGACGGCCGAGGCGGAGCACTCCACCAACCACCTGACCGCGCCTCACTCAACCTCAAGCTGTGGCGCGTGGTGGAGGCTGCGTGCGGCGACGCGTGCCGCGACGGCAGTCATCATCGGCTGGCCGCACTTTGCAGCCTGCGCGAGCGGCACCGCTCTCGAGCTCGAGCCATCCCTCCTCGCGCTCGGCGCCGCCCTCGTCGCAGGCGGGTTCGCCCTGCTCGCCGTTTGCGGCCCGGCGGCGCTCTGCCCGACCGCGTCTCCGCCCGCGCCGCTGCGGCAGTCGGCTCTCGTTCCGAAGCTCCTCTACCTCTTCTGGTGGCGCTGGGTGCGACGCTTCTCGCGGATCGACCGCACGCGCAGCGAGCCGCTCGGTGCGGACGACCTCCCGTCGCTCGACCCGCGCCAGGGGGCGGCACTCTGCGTCGCAGCCGTCGGCGACTCGCGCGAGCTGCGCGGGCTGCCGCGCGCCTATGCGGCCTCGAGTCGAGTCACCGCGGCGGCGCTGCTCCGCGACGTGCTTCGCCTCGTACGGGGCGAGGCGTGCCTGCAGGGCGCCTGGTGCATCTACACTCTGCTCATGGTGTACGCCGCGCCGCTCGGCACGCTCCAGAGTAGAGCAGTAGAGCCACACGACGGCACGATCATACCCACGCGTCCACGGCACGCCCATGATAGGCATGAGCAGGCTGATTGACTTTGTCGACGAGCGCCACGGCGGCGGCTCGCTCAGCGGCGCGGCGATTGGCTACGGCTGCCTGGTGGCGCTCGGGCCGCTCCTCTCGGCTTGTGGCGACGCGCAGACCTTCAACAACGGCTGGCTCATGGGGACTCGCATTCGCGCCTTCCTCACCCACACGCTCGCCGACAAGGCGCTGCGCTTCGACCCCTGCGCCTCCTCGGCGTCCGTGGGCGAGCTGACGAACCTGCTCGCCGTCGACGCCAACAACATCACGATCTTCACGCCCGGCGCGTCGTGGCTCTTTCTCGAGGGCGCGCAGCTCGTCTTGACCCTCGCCCTCCTCTTCTACATCCTCGGCCCTGGCGCGCTCGGGGGGCTGGCCGTCTGCTTGGTGTTCCTGCCGCTGAACGCGGTCGTGATGCGAGTCATCAAGCGTCTGCAGGACCGTCTGATGAAGCAAAAGGACCGGCGGATGGCCGCCGTGAGCGAGGCGCTCGGAGCTATCCGCACCATCAAGCTGAACGGCTGGGAGGACGAGTTCGAGGCGAGGATCGGAGCGCTCCGGGCAAAGGAGATCGCCACGCTGCGCGCCTTCCAAAACCTCGGCGCGATCACCTCGACGCTGTGGCTGTGCGCGCCCTCGATGGCGGCCCTCGCGTCCTTCCTCGTCAAGAATGTGCTGCTGCACGAGGACATCACCGCCAGCCAGGGCTTCACGTCGCTAACGCTGTTCCAGCTTCTCTCGGTCTCGATGACATTTCTGCCCGCCGTCCTCAACCAGGCGATCCAGTCGTGGGTGGGTCTCCGCCGCATCGCGCGCTTCATCTCCCTGTCAGATGTCGATGGGCTGCCCGCGGCGGCTGGCGGCGGCGAGGGTGGCTTCGTCGAGATCTCGCGCGGCAGTTTTCGCTGGTCGGAGGCGAGCATTGGGAAGGACGCGGGCGAGGAGGGCGAGGACGGCGTCGCGCCGCTTCTCGCCGGGCAGGCGAACCGACCCACCGCCTCTCCCCCAGCTACGCTGGACACGATCAGCTTGCTCGTTCGGCCGGGGGAGCTTGCTCTCGTGTGCGGCCCGACGGGTTGCGGCAAGTCGTCGGTGCTCGCCGCCATCTGCGGCGAGATTCCGAGGCTCGGAGGCACCGTCGTGTGCTCCGGCAGGATCTCGTACTGCCCCCAAAGGGCGTTCGTGATGAACGCGACCCTTCGCGACAACATCCTGTTCGGCAGCCCGTACGAGGCGTCGCGCTATCGCGCCGTCCTCCAGGCGTGCGCCCTCGAGCCCGACCTCAAGCTCCTCCCGGCGGGCGACAGGACCGAGATTGGCGAGAAGGGGGTGAACCTCAGCGGCGGCCAGCAGCAGAGAATCAACCTGGCGCGGGCCTGCTACGCGCGCTCTGACATCGTGCTGCTCGACGACGTCCTCAGCGCCGTCGATGCACACGTCGGCCAGCACTTGTTCGACCGCTGCATCAACGGCTTCCTCGCTGGCCGCACGCGCGTACTGGTGACGCACAGCGTTGCTTCCACCTTGGAGCGCGCTTCGACCGTCATCGTGATGGGCGAGGGTGGGCGTGTCTTGGCGCAGGACACGCCCTTCGGCGAGCACGAGGCCATCGCTGCGCTGCGCACCCGCTCCCGCCCGCCCTCTACCCTCGACCTGAGCGCGCTCGCACCCGCCACGCCCGCGACGGCGGCGGCAATGAGCGACACGGGAGACGGCGGCAGTGGCGACAGTGGCAGTGGTGGCGGCGGCGGCAGAGGTGGCGGCGGCGGCGCTGGTGATGGCGGCGGCGGCGCTGGTGATGGCGGCGGCGGCGATGGAGACGGCGGCGGTGGCGATGGAGATAGCGGCGGCGGCGGTGGCGGCGGCATCACAAAGGTGGAGGAGCGGGCTCGGGGCGCTGCCAAAGCGGCGACTTACAGGAGCTACCTCGCTGCGGCGGGGAGCTGGCGCTTTCACCTTCTGTTCTTGGCCACGTGCATCGCCTTCTCGAGCCTGAGTCCTCTGCAGAGCGTCGCTCTCAAGATGTGGGTCGCGTCGATGGCACCCGGCGCCTCCGGCGACTCCTCCCGGCCCTGCCTCCTGTACGTGCTCGCCGGTGTCGCGTTCATCACCACTACTCTCGCGCGGAACGTCCTCTTGCCGTCCGCCTCCGTGCGTGCCTCGCGTCGTATGCACGCCGCCATGACGGCCACTGTGCTGCGCGCGCGCATCAGCTGGTTCGAGGCGACGCCGCTCGGCCGCATCCTCAACCGCTTCTCCTCGGACATCAGCGCCGTCGACCAGCAGGTGGCCAACCAGTGCAAGGATACGCTCGTCATTTCCTTCAACGTCGTCGCCATCACGCTTGTCTGCACGCTTGGCTCGGGCGACGCCGCCTCGCAGCTTGTCGTGCTCGGAGCCGTCCTTCTCGCCACCGCCTCGTCGACCTTCGTCTATTCGTCTTACCGCACGCCGGCGCGAGAGCTCAAGCGGCTCGAATCGGTCACCAAGTCCCCGCTCTTCGCCAGATTCGCGGAGATGGTGAGCGGCGCCGCGGTGGTGCGCGCCTTTGGCGAGCAGCAACGCTTCCTGGCCACGACTGCGAACAATGTTGACTGCGCGAACCGCGCCCTCTTCTACCTCTGGCACACTAATCAGTGGTTAAGGGTCTCTATGAACCTTGTCGGCTCGATGGTGACGGGTGCAGTGGTTGCTAGCGTGCTGTGGCAGGCCAATAAGCTTGAGGGTGGCGACGCCGGACTGACTCTTTCCTACGCGACGCAGTTTACGCAGGCCATCATGTGGTTTTTCCGCATCTACACGCAGCTGGAGGTGTCGATGAACGACGTCGAGCGCATCAACGAGTTCTCCAGGCTCGAGACCGAGGCTTACCAGCAGGGTGAGCCGCCGGCGCCAGAGTGGCCGGGCGACGGGACCGTCAGCTTCAAGAATGTCCGCCTGCAGTACGCCACCGCCGCGGCGCCGGTCTTTGCGCGCCTCTCCTTCACGGTGCCGGCGCGGACGCGCTGCGGCGTCGTCGGTCGGACTGGCGCAGGCAAGAGTTCTCTCGCGGTCGCGCTCTTCCGCGTGGTGGAGCTCTCTGCAGGCTCCATCTGCATCGGCGGCGCCGACCACCAATCTATCCGACTGCAGACGATGCGCTCGCGCCTCTCCATCATCCAGCAGGAGCCCACGCTCTTCCGAGGGACGGTGAGGTACAACCTCGATCCAGTCGGCGATGGCGGCGGCGGCGACGCGCGGCTGTGGGACGCGCTGCGCCGCGCGGGGCTCGAAGCCAAGGTTCACGCCTTGCCGGGAGGGCTGGACGCCGAGGTGTCGGAGGGCGGCGCGAACCTGTCGGCGGGGGAGCGGCAGCTCGTCTGCATGGCACGTGCGTTGCTCAAGGCGGCGCCCATCCTCGTCATGGACGAGGCCACCGCGAACGTGGACCACGAGACTGACACCAGGATCCAGACGATGATCCGCGAGGACTTCTGCGGCACGACGACGGTCCTCACCGTGGCGCACCGCCTCAACACAATTGCCTTCTACGAGCGAGTTCTGGTCCTTGATGCCGGCGCGGTCGTCGAGTACGACAGTCCCCGCACGCTCCTGGATAAGCCCGGAGGTGCCTTCCGCAGCCTTGCGGAGGAGTCGGGGGAGATGGGGGCGCTGCGTGCCGCCGCCGCGAGCGCGACCGAGGCTTGACTTGTGCGTAGAGTACGCGGGGACGCGGGGTAATATGACACACGTGTATGTAGAGTCAGGTGAAGAGGTGTCAGCGCGCGTCACTGTCACAGTACACAGTGACGTGCGCTCTCATACCACGGCTCTTGGAACTAACAGTACGCCGCTCTAACACCAAGACTTGCGCCAAGATATGCACGTGGATTTAGTCAAAGAGGGATGCCTAAGCGTGAATTTACCGCCCTAGAAATAAATTTAAATTGCGTTTATCGCCTGTTTAGCGCCGATCTTACCGCTTATTCGAATGTCTTCTTACGTTGCTTCGTGTTCGATTCGTGAGCGATTCACAGCCGTCATTTTCCCTCCTTTCGCCCGCCCTTCACCCGCCCTTCACCCGCTCTTCCCCCGCCTTTCAGCCGCCATTCAAGACACGTTTACACAACGTTGAACCGCGTTTCACAAACATGTTTGGCGACACGGTTTGCCTTGAAGTTACCGCACCGACGCTAAATTCAAGCCCCTTCAAGCCAATTTATGGGCAGGTGGGCAGGAACACTGCTGCTGCTAAGCACCCGCACCGCCCAGTGAGTAGTGTCGCGGGCTAGGATAAGGACCATGATCTGGCTTCCACAGATCCCACATTTCATGATGAGGGAATCAATGGACAATGCCGAGCAGCTCCAAGTGCTGCGAAGAGTGCAACAGCACAGCTTGCCAGGCCGCCTGGACTAAGTGCAACTGCAGCCCAGACAGACGGCTTGCGGCACCGCCGCCAGCTCCAAGAGTGAGAGGGATACATGGTTGGTGAGGGAGTGCCAAGTCAGTAGCGAGGAGGTCCAAGCCTGCAGGAGGGCATGCACGCGATGAGCAAGGGCTCATTCCCGGCCATGTGTCTCCTCGCCCCGCGCGCCTATGGCCACGAAACGCGGAAGAAGAATTCACGACGCCAGGGAGTTTTGTTGAGTTTTGTTGTGGTGCATAGTAGCAAGACGTCCTCTAGACAGCTAAGGGCATCCTCTCCCGCTATCTCCTGTGCAGGTCCAGGGGAGAAACAAAATGACAATCGATGGGAGCTTGCCCATCCCGGAGTGGTTCGACTCCACATAAATCCGAGACGGTGATGGGAGGGTCGTGTGGTGGTCTCAGGCCCAGTGAGGTAGTGCATCTGACTATCCCGGATCCTGCTGAACAAGCTCCTCTTGTAGCTCGATCGGTCACACCGCCATCGCCGTCGGGGAGAGGGGGGACGACACTGCTTTGGCAGCGTGCACCTCGATCCTGTACCGTGTTTGTTATGAAACCCCCCCCAATGAACACACCAGTGAGGGAGGGCGAGACGATCGAGGGGTCCCGTACCATGCGGAATCGACCCTATCCAGTGCTCAAGTGCTCAAGCTAAGGGCTAAGTAAGACGCGTTCATTGTTGCAATGTCATTGAGGCAGGAAAGAGCTCGCCGAGGAGTCGAGGGCTCCCGACCACGCCGGACCCAGCCAGGATAAGGCACGCTTGCCTTAAACTGCCATGAAGAGCACTAAATTTGCGATAAAAAATCTCTTGAAAGCGCCACAAAATGTATTTGAATAGCGGGCGAATTACATCTGAACGGAGGAAGAATGGCGGGAGAATGGCGAGAGAATGGCGAGAGAATGGCGAGAGAATGGCGAGAGAATGGCGAGAGAATGGCGAGAGAATGGCGGGAGAATCTCTCGCAAATGAACAGCGAAGGGCGCAGTGAAAAACGATAAAACAAATCTTCAAACCGCCTTGTATTCATGGTTAGGCACCCTCGCTCAAATGTTAACGCCGTAAGGTATTATGTAATGATTATCTATTAACTATTTATGGGGAAAATGGTCGGCACACATGCTACACAACCGCCACGGCCTCACTTGTCTCCATCTCGACCGTCTGCTCACACACCCCACCCTCTCGAGGTGCCGCTGCAGTTCGGCCTCTCGCTTCCCGGCCAATGCGAGCAGAGCCGGCTGCGATGAGTGCCGGGTCGCGCGAGCGTCGCCACCGAGCGCAAAGAGCGAAAGCGCACGCAAACGGCAGCGGGCAAGCTGCGATGCCAAAGGTCGCGGCGGCGACGGCAAACGAGCTGCGCAAGCCGACAGCCTCGACAACAAAGCCCCACCCGAAGGTCGCGCCCAGCTGACCGAGTTGCATGGCCGACGAGAGGAGGCCGACAACCGTCGCCTGGAGCCCATCTCGCGCGAACTCGTCGCCGATGACCGCGATGGAGGTGTAGGCGAGTGCGAAGCTCCACCCATGCCCAACCTCGAAGGGGAGGACGGCCCAGGGCGAGGGCGCGACCCACCAGCCGCTGAACCGGAGGGCGGCGGCAAGCGAAGTGGAGAGGAGGGCCGTTCGGAGGCCGCCGAGGGCGTTGACCAAACGGCTCGCCGCGCGGAAAAGCGGTACCTCGATGGCTGCCTGCGCGGTGAGTGACAGTCCGACGAGGACGCCCGGCGCGTGCAGCTCCCGCTTGAGGTAGATGAAGCCCCAGACGAAGCCGATCCCCATGTTTAAGCCGACGAGCGAGAGCAGTGGCAGCGCAAAGCACAAGAGCTTCCCGCGCCTCCCGCCTCCACAGAGCGCGCGCCGCATGCGCACGCAGAAGGACTCGGCCGGCGCCTCGCGGTCCGTGCTGACCGCGTCGCCGTCCTTCTCCCCGTGGTTCTTGTCACCCGCCTTGCCGCCGCCGTCTCCGCTGCTGCCAGCCGCCTCGGGATTGCCTCCCGCGCCAGTGCTGCCACCTGCGTCGCTCCGGCCTGGCTGCGTAACGGTGGAGTACGCCTCGCGAATCGGGAGGAGGAGGATGACCGGCAGCAGCAGGAGCTGCAGCAGGGAGTAAGCATAGAATAGCGCCGCTATTCCGAGGGAGTCGGCGAGCAGGCCGCACAACGGAGCCGCGATGCACCAGCTGACGGCGCCCCACGACCGCGCTCCTGGAGCCGCGCCTGCCTTGCCAGCCCAAGCGAGCGAGCGCATGACAAAAGCATCGACCAGCGTGCCGCAGTCGCTCAATGCGCCGACGACGAGGCATCCCGCCTGGGCCAGCCGTGAACTCGGCGCGAGGGTAAGCGACGCAATCGCCAGGCTGTTGACGACGGTGAGCGCGAAAAAGAGGACCGTGCGCCGGCTGCCGAGCCAGTCGGCGAGAAAGCCTAGCATCATCGGCGCGAAGAAACGCACCACAGATGACACACCGCCGAGCACGCCCCGCTCGTGGGTGCCGAAGCCGTTCTGCTCGAGCCAGAGGTATAGGTAGGGGTGGAAGGCTGCGAGGACCAGGAAGCGGAGGCCAAAGACGACAGACGCGATCGTCACGAGCTTGCCGCTTGCGTCCATCCCATCGGGCACGCGCACGCACGCGCAGCACCCTCTGGGTGTGCGGAGGCGATTGCGGCGGCGATCCGTGCGAAGCCTCGTGGCGGGGTTTCTTTCAGTGTTCGCGCGGGGGAGCCCGCGGGGAGGGGACGTGCGGCCTAGATTTAGCCCACGCGCCTCTGCTCGCAAACACTCACCCATTTGATTGTCACTGTCCGTGAGTGCGAGATTAGGGCTAGCCGCAGGCAGCTAGCCCGTGAGGAGAGCGTCCATAGACACCTCACTTAGACCCCACACACGGTCTCGTCCGTGCCTCGCCGGCCGGAGAGATTGCTGGAGGTAGAGCAAGCCTGCTCTAGCCTCGCATGTCACTTCCTGTCGTCTGTTGTGTCGTTGTGCCCTTGTTTGTTTCTCTTGGCACCGTGGAGTGCTGGGGGGGGCGACAGGGAGGATATGGCCTTGAGTTATGTGTACGCCAACTCAGGGTGTGTGGCAGCCCGCTGGCTGTGTGTCTTGTGAGCCTGTTTGTGTCTGTGTGTCGCTCGTGCGTGCCGTCATCATCTGTCTAGCGTCCACCCATACCGCGTTGGTGTCCAGTCCGAGCCTGGCTGTTCTTCACCTTTCTACCTACCTACCTACTAGGGGATGGAGTCGGAAGATGATGGGGATGGTCCTCTCGGCGAGCGTCGTCCGCTTTGCCTGTTGTGTGAATCGTGCGTGTGCGACAGAGTTTTGTTGTAAAATTCTTCTTTCAGTGTGTGCGCCAGTCTACGCCCTTGTCGTGCCAGTGTGCACAGAGGTTGTTTTAAAAGAATTCTACGAATACAGCGAGGATCCGAGATGCGATCTCGGAGCTGCAGGAGCAGGAGCAGGACGAGTTCTCCCTCGATGACTTTTTCGTCAAAGTCTTTCCCAACTTGATGGCGCATGCGACGCCGCAAAAGGAGCGGGCGACGGCAATACACTTCCTGATGAAGGAGCTCAACCGGCTCGAGGACGACGACATCGAGGATGTCATGTTGCGCGATGGCGTCATCCATTTCGTCAAGCCACCTTCATCGTGACCGTCGCCACCCTCGCCGCCGTCTCGCCTACGTCGCCGCCGTCGCCATCATGCGATGCAGGCCCATTCATGATGCAGGCCCAGCCCACCCCCCTGGCTCCTATGCCGACGTGTCCAGCGTGCTCCCCCGTCCGCCGATGTCTCTGCTGCCGCCCAGCGGAGCTCTGCAGCGGGCCCTCCTCGCCGCTTTCGCTGCCGCTGCATCGCTGTCGGCTCGTCATTTCTGTCTACAGTCATTGGGGGCTGCCATCGCTGTTCTCTCTCTCTCCCTGGGTCAGCTCCAACCTGCCGTGTCGGGACGTCACCCCCTCGGCTCCTCCCCCCCCCCTTCTCCGCTGAACTGCTTGCTGCTGCTGCTCGCTTTGTCCCAGGAGCCAGGTGCTTGTGTCTAATCGTAGTGGGGGCCCTGGCCCCCCTCTGTTTTCTGTTTTCTGTTTTTCAAAACGCCCGCCCGCCCGCCACCCCGAGGTGGCTCGGCCCCCCACTGACCCAGAGATCAAAAAACGTCGGCCCGGCCGTTTTCGGCGGGGGTATCGTTTTTCGCGCCCCGCCGCCGCGCGCCGGCGCCGCCATTCACACATGCCTCGCTCACACGGCACAGACACCACAGTCACCAGCCTGCCCGCACCTGCGCCCGTGCCGCGCTCTCTCGTCCTGCGCATGTTAATGTGTGTGTCGGGGTGGCGCGCTTGACGTTGAGAGTCACACTTGAGAGCCTCTCTATGATTAGAGATTAAACCGTCTTCACGCACGTTAGAGACCGCCCGCTCTGGCTGACTCTGAAAAAACGGCCGCGCGTATATCTCACCTAATGTGTCTCAAAATGTAAGAATTTACATCTACAACGACCGATTATGCCGCGTCGCGAGCCGGCGACCCGCGGGGGTTAAGCTCAAGCCACCCACGCACCGTCTCCTCGACAACGCGCCGCGCCGCGCTGACACCCGGCGCGTCGAGCGGTGACGGGAAACGCAAGTCCTGGTGGTGGGCTCCTCCGGCGGCGACGAAACGGCGGACCGACCCGCCGCTGGCGACAGATTCGGTGCCGATTTGCCACGGGTCCTTGTCGTTCTCCACGAACAGGAGGTTCGAGTGGTGGCGGTAGTCGGCGCCGTGGCCAAAGGCGAGCCCCATCCAGCCGGGCCGCGGCCGCACGCCGAAGCGGTCCGCGCACCTGTCCGCCAGCTGCGCCGCCTGCTTGCCGCTCGCCTCGGGGTAGAAGCCGAAGCCGTCGCTCGTGATCGGCTCGAGGGGCAGCTCGGTGCACGCCTACTCCTCCCTCGGGGCGCGAGAGTGAGTCGAGGCAGCGCCGACGCCGAGATTGAAGTGCCCGGGAGGCTGCCTGGTAGTTCCAGCTCTGCACGCCCAAGTCGCTCCCGTCCGCCCACCAACCAGGCCTCCCGCCGACCAGCTCGGCCCGCAAGTCGACGCAGCGCAGCGCGCCCGTCCCGTTGACAAGGCGCAGCACGGCGGAGTGGAGCCGGCGGAGCGGCTCGCCCGGCGCGAGCAGGTCGCCGCACGCGCGCCGCACCGGGTTCGGCGGCAGCAGGCCGACGAAGCGGCTCTGGTATGGGTAGTCGAGCATCGCCTGCCACCGGGCAGGGACGGCTCCGGGGAGGGACCGAGCAAGCCTCTCGTGCGGCCGCGCTGCGACGCCGTAGACGCCATCGCGCCGCGAGCGTAGAAGGCGTACCTCTCGACCGCGTCGCCGCCCATCGGGTCGCACGGCCGAATGCCCGCCGCGACGAGCTGCGAGGGCGTGGCGGCGTCGGCGGCAGCGAGCGCGGCCTGCAGCGCGGACGAGCAGCCCGAACCTTTGCCGCCGTAGACGGCAAATGTTCGGTTGACGGCGGCGGCGAAGCGGCTCTGCACGCCGTCGTAAAAGTCGACGGGAGCGCCGCTCGCCACGGCACCGAGGCTGAGGTGCGGGTAGCGGACCCGGTGCCACGCCGCGAGCATGCCGCCGTACGAGCCGCCAAAGAGGACCGTGTCGCAGAGAGGGCGGCTCGGGTCGACGGAGGGGCGGGCGCTCCGGCAGCCGAGCTCCGCCGGCAGGGCGAGGAGCAGGGCGGCGTAATCCGCGAGGGCCTGCTCGACGCTCAGGAGGCTAAGGTTGGCCGGCGTGAAGGAGGCGGCGCCAAAAGGCAGCGAGGAGCCGTAGTAGCGGTGCTCGGCAAAGAGCAGGCGAGCGCCCAGCCTGGAGGCGAGCGTGAAGAGCGCGCCTGAGTTATTGTAGAAGAGCTCGACGGCGCCTTCGTTGCCAGCGTAGAAGAGGACAGGGCTGCGGGCGTCGCGTGCAAAGGCGTCGTAGCTCAGATACGTGAGGTCGAACTGAGCAGCGGAGGTGAAGCGAAAGTGGTCGCGCGGGACAGCGAAGCGGCCTCGGGACGGCGGGTACAAGTGGAGCGCGCCGGGCTGCTCGGCCATGCTCGTGTCCGCCCCGGGGCGCTTCAGAACTCTCGAGGTCTCGAGTTGCGAAGCGTTGAATACATGTACGAACTCTGTTATTGAGAAGAAAATACGCGGACGCGCTGCGCGCTGGTCTATGAGAGGTTGAGGTGCGAGCCCTGAAGGCCTTCACAGCGCGACAGCGGATGACAGTGTCATCCCACATCCGCGCGCGAAGAGAGAAACGCGGTCGTGGACCACAGCTTGAATGCTCGTCATGTGAGAGAGTGCGAAAGAAGAAAAATTTGGTGCATAATTTGTGGTGAGTAGTCAGACTGAGCATGCAGTCAGACTGTCTCCACGGTCACTCTCCCAACTCTCTCTGTCTCTCCTCAATATGATACTCATCCCACGCCCTCGCCAAGACCGTCATATGAGCTTCCGGTACCAGGGCACCTTGGGCGCAATCTCGACCGCGATCACGGACGGCTCACCTACGGGGGCAGGGAACCTCGTCTCACGAGCAACTGGCCGGGCGTGGGGCGCGGGCGGCGGTGTGCGGTGCCCTTGACGCGCAGGAGCTTCGCCTTCTCCTCCTCGACGAGGGTCGTGGCGATACCCACCGAGTCGTACTCGAGCAGCCGCACCTGCGGCGACGGTTGCGCGGCCGCTCACTGCGAGGCCGAGGCGCGAGGCCGAGGCGCGAGAGGGCCGCCGCCGCACCTTGAAGGGCCGCCGAAAGGAGGGCTTGGCGCGGAAGAGGGGGAGGCCGCTGAAGCGGCTCGGCTTCTTCTGCGACCAGCAGATGCCGCCCTGCCCCATCGGCGAGATCCACCGCTTTGTCTTGTGGCAGAGCGTTCGCCGGTTGCCGCCCGCGCCCGGCTTGATCACGCCAGCCATCTGCCGCTTGGGCAGGTAGCCGTCCGGCCCGCACCACTCGCCCACGTCGCCGATGGTAGGCTTGGGCCCCTCCACCAGCGAGTTGGCACCCACGCCGGCAGCGGCGATGACGAGCGCCACTGCCAGATATCTCATATGTGCGGGTTTTTCTTTCCCTAAGAAATCGGCCCGACGCTCCTCGCAAATGGTGACGGTTGACGGCGGCGGCGTCTCCAGTGCGGCATCGCGGCGGGCGGAGACCCAGGCGCGCCTCTTCACGCTTTTTAGTGATTTGGTGGCTTCTCATTACGTTCACAGCACTCGTGCGGGCCGACCCTCTCGGAGCCACGAGTTGCCCAAGTCCATTGACTCCGAGCGCATCGTCTACCCGTCCGACGACTCGCTCCTGCCGGGACCCTGGTCGACAGGTACCGAAGGCGGTCGAGCACCAGGTCCAGGACGAGGAGGCGCCGTTCTGGCGTCGCCCGTCCCCATCGCGGCTTCTCCCGCCTCTCGGCGCAACTCCGCCCTCCTCGCGGCATATTAAAGAAAGAAAACAGACAACCCAAGGCAGGCATATTCCCACAAAATACATCACACATTCCCCCTCCTTTAGATGTTTTAGATTGGGGGGGGCCCCCCCCCCCCCCCCCTCCCTGCAACCCCGGGTGAGTGCCCCCCCCCCCACCACACCACACCCACCCGCATTGCGCCCACCGCCCGCCGCAACAACACGCAACACACAACGCACAACACACACACACCCCGCACACCGCACACCACCACAACACACAACACACAACAAGTGCTCGTCTTTTCTCCTGTCATATAAAGAAGAAATTCTTTTTCTCGCGATGTCCACCCCACCGCGGCGCCGCTCGCGCCGCCTCGCCACCGCCGCCGCCGCCGCTCCCTCGCCAAGCGCGCCGCCGCCCGCCCGCCTGCTCGAGCTTCCCACGGACCTCCTCGTGCGCGTCATCTCTCGCCGCGACCCCGCCGACATCGCTCGTGTCGCGGCCGTCTCGCTGCTCTTTCACGCCTCGCTTGCGGTGGAGGCCATCCGCTTGTGGGCGCAAAAGCGCGGCTTCGAGCTGCCGGCGCAGCCAGAGGGCGAGAGCTGCGCCGTGCGGTGGCTGTGCTACGCTGCGCTGCTGTGCGAGTCCAACCCGCCGGCGAGGGCGGCGGGAGGCGAACGGCACAGCGTCTTCATCGACGGCGAGGGGCGGCTGTCGTCGTGCGGCTCGGCTCTGTCCTACTTCCCAGGGCTGCTCGGGCACGGCGAGGGCGTGGCGCGGCTCAACACGCCGACCCGCCTCCCGTCGACGCTGGGTGAGCGCGCCGTGAGCGTGTCGGCAGGAGATGGGCACAGCCTCGCCCTCACTGCTGGCGGCGCCGTCTGGAGCTGGGGCAGTGGAGGCTGTGGCCAGCTGGGCCACGGCGACAGGCAGAGCCAGTGGCAGCCTAAGAAGATTGAGGCCTTGGCTGGCCAGCGCGTCGTCGCTGTGTCGGCTGGAGGCTACCACAGCCTCGCCCTCACCGTCGGCGGCAGCGTCTGGAGCTGGGGCTATGGAGCCTTTGGCCGGTTGGGCCATGGCGACGAGCAGCACCAGCTGCTGCCCAAGATGGTCGAGGCCTTCGCTGGCCAGCGCGTCGTCGCTGTGTCGGCTGGAAACGCCCACAGCCTCGCCATCACTGCCGACGGCGCCGGCTGGAGCTGGGGCTGGGGAGGCTTTGGCAAGCTGGGCCACGGCGACCAGCAGAACCAGCTGCTGCCGAAGAAGGTCGAGGCATTTGCCGGCCAGCGCGTCGTTGCTGTTTCGGGGGGAACCAACCACAGCCTCGCCCTCACCGCCGACGGCGCCGTCTGGAGCTGGGGCTATGGAGGCAATGGCGAGCTGGGCCACGGCGACGAGCAGCACCAGCTGCTACCAACGAAGATGGAGGCCTTTGTTAGCCAGCGCGTCGTGGCTGTGTTGGCTGGCGCCGCACACAGCCTCGCAATCACCGCTGACGGAGCTGTCTGGAGCTGGGGATATGGAGGCCAAGCAAGCGGCGATGGAGTCTTTGGCCAGTTGGGCCACGGCGACGAGCAGACGCAGTTGCTGCCCAAGAAGGTCGAGGGTTTTGCTGGCGAGTGCGTCGTCGCTGTGTCGGCTGGAACATACCACAGCATCGCCATCGCCGACGGCGCTGTGTGGAGCTGGGGCGGGGGCGAGACTGGCTGCCTAGGCCACGGAGAGGACCTGTCGAAGCAGCTGCTGCCCAAGAAGGTCGAGGCGTGGTCGTTGGGGCCATAGCGTGTGTATGCCTGGAGACACGTATCCGATAACATAACCCAGCTGCGAATTCTTCATTGAGAGAGGGAAGCGAACATTTTTGAAAATTCTTTTAGGCTTTAAAATTCTTTTATTCGCTTATGTGTTAGTGCCAGTGCGCGCCAGTCCCGTGCCTAGTGTCGTGCGAGGGAGGCATGCTCCCAATCGTGTGCAAGCTAGATGATGGGAGGATTTTCTATTACGGCGGTAAAAATATGACTCAGAATGAAGGTCCACTTGTACCCAACGGTGACTTTGACAGATCTATTTCGCGTGCTGCCTATATCTTTGACCCTGTGCGCGTGCACTGGACACGCGTCGCAGATGCTCCACCTGGCGCAGAACGCTACGCCGCGGGTTCTTGCCAAGTCGGAGAGTGGGTCTTAGTTATCGGAGGCTACTACCGCGTTATGCATCCGACGTGCTTTGCTACAGCATACTGGCAGATTGCTGGCTTTCACAGGCTGAGCACACCATGGCTCCTGCATGGCTCCAATCGATACCGATGTGATTGCTGGGCGCTTGGCCGTGGTGAGCGTGCCTAACGCCAATGCTCTTGGCCATGACATTGTCATTGCTGGAGGTGAAACCGAGGGGTGGGGTCAATGGGGCCCGACGGAGGAGCCTGGCGTTGCGTGCTTCCGGATGCACAATGTGCGAGAGACCCGGATCGAGAGCGCGCCATGGTCATATGTGCGGGGCCCTGGCCCGCATCGCGGGCCTCGAGACCCCAGAGATAGCCTGCAAATCCTCCCCCAACACGACGCCGGCTGGGTCCGCCTGGCTGATATGATCGACGACGGCAAGGGTGGCAGGCATGCTGCGTGCCTGCTGCCTGATGGACACAGCATCGCCATTCTGGGCGAGGGAGGTAGCTTTCAATCCATGGGTCCACGTTGTGCCTGGGCCGCATTGACGCCACCACTGGGCATGGGGAGCGTCAGTTCGCTGATGCGTGTGAGCTCGCGCTTGCTCATTGCAATTGGAGAACGCGGTGCCCAGCTGTACCACTGCGATGATAATCGATGGCTACCGCTTGCCGCCGGTGCTGACGAGTACAGGCAGAAGATCGATAAAATGACGTTCTACTTTGGTGATTCCGAGACTGCTGTGTTATTGGCGTGATACCCAACGACGGCGGGACGATGCGGAAGGAAGAAAGATGCCATAAGTGAGGACCTGTGTATGTGCATGGTGTACAGTGTCGTGTCCACTAGCTCCGAGTAGAGGGGGCGTTCTGAAGTTAAGGGGAAACCCGGTACACGGAGCCAACCCTCGGCGACCCGTGTTTACTTTACGGCCCCTTCCCTGCGAACGCGCACCCCCCAGGGCTCTCTTGCCCGCAACCCGATGCAAATCATCTGGCCCGCTGGGTGTGCTCTTCTTTTAGCCCCCCGGCCCTCTGGATGTGCGGTTAATGACTGCACTACAAGTGCTCCGTGTGTCAGTAGGTGGCAACCTTAATTCTTCCTTCGGAGTGTGTGAGACTCACTCACGGCAACCTTAACCAGGTTGCTCCCGGCCCAGTGGGGATTTTGGCCTACTCAGTGATCGTCAGGGGCCCTAAATGGCCTGGAATGCCATATCTTTTTGTGCCTAACTTTGTGGAGCACCTTAAAAACCCCCTTCATTGCGGCCGCCTGAGTTGCCGAGGTAAGGGGAATGATCAGAATGGCAAGGCTGGGAATGCGTTCTCAGAACGTTCAGAACACCGGCCGCTGGGCCCGCCTGAGGCGCTGAGACCCGGAGCCTCTCTCTCGGCACTAGGTTCCTAGCAGCAGATAGGCACAGGGACAGTGACGCGGCTCATCAGTCCTCCCTCAGCCCGACCTCGGACGGAAGACTACAAAGGTCGCAGGAATGATCAGAACGGCATCCATCCAGGCGGCACCGGCCCTACGACTCGGACCGTGCCACAGCCCATCCCCCCGGGCAGCCCACCGCCCACCGCCCGGCCCCAGCCGGTCCGACCGCTTCACGCGGCGACGATCGCGCCGCCGGCCGCCGCTGGCAGGGCCGCCGCCTCCGTCGGCGCCAGAACAGGCTCGAGCAGCAGCCACAACTCGTACTCTGCCGACGGCGAGCCGTCGTACATCGACGACTCGAGTGAGAGGTCCGTCGCCGCGCCGTTGTCAACGTCGAACTTGGCGACGAAGTTGACGCGGTCACGCTCGATATAGCGGGTACACATGGTGCGGCGCGCATACTTGAGCACACCGTGGTTGGTGCAGTGGCGCACGTGCCTGTGGGATAGGGCGCCATAGCGACGCGCGCGCTCCGGGTATTTTTCGGGTATACCTGAGAATTCTCGGGTATACCCGGGTTTTACTCGGCCGGCCACCTGGGTCGGTCCGAGGGTGTTCCAGGAATGATCAGAATGGCGAGGGCCAGAACGTGTTACATGTACTAGTCAGAACGGACCCCAGTTGCCGTTCCCGGCAACTCAGGCGGCCGCGCGGTCGACCGGATTATTTTTCCTCGAAGCATGCATTCTACTCAGAGCGGTGGTTGAGGCCGATTGCCTCAACTGTCAACCACGTGGTTGACAGAGGCCTCAACCCTCAACCAAGTGGTTGACAGACCCCTTCAACCCCTCAACCACGTGGAATGGCTGTTCACACCCCCCGCGCAAAGGTCTGAACACACATTCTCTGTGAACCATTCATGTCGTCTTCTTTAACGCCTGGATGCTGCATCACACCTCCCATTCACGCACGTAGCTGAAGCAAGTATCGTAAAAACGGCGCGTCGAAGGCCCCCGCACGGGGGGATCCCGGCCGACGTCATGGTCGTCCGCGGACGCGGCCCTCCGTCTCCGGAGACATTACCGAACTCGAAACTGCTTACCAAAGCCAGATACGAGCTCAGCTCAGTGAGATCTAGCAGCACATACCCTCAGTATCCAGAATAGCAAAGTCTGAAAAAGTCGGTCCGACCGCGCAGAGCGGTCTGGCTGTCTGCAGAGCTTCCGTCCGCGAGCCCTGAGAAATGTCGGAGGCATGTCGGCCCATGTTCGCGATTTTGATGGCGTTGCCCTTATTGCACGTGAAACAGACCGCGCCGGCCACGCACCCTTGTTCCCGGAGGCCAACTCGAACAGGTTTGAGCAATGGCCGCCTTCCATGCTCGACACGTCCGCCCGCCATCAAGTTGTACGATGAAAAATGCAGCAGGAACTTAGTTGCCTCGAAGGCCGCCCTGCGCTGCTCGAAGGCCGCCCTGCTCTCGGCATTGTGTTGTTGACTGATAGCACTGTCTGATCCAACCAGAAAGAGCCGTCGAAGAGCCGTCGAGAGCTACATGAGACCCAATGATGTACCAGAAAACGAAACTAGCGCCAAAATTGAGATCTCAGGATTGACATTAATTTCTCGCGCCTGCTTTCGCTGCTTGAGGCTCGCCAAACAGATACTGCGTCTATGGCCGTGTGCAACGTCAAGTCGTTATAACCGCGACAAGACCATCGCGCCAACCGCGACTCTGTTGCTTTTATGCGGCAGCATTCACCGTGACTCTTGCCGTGAATGGTTAGTGACCGCAATACTACGCCGTGAGCTGAGCTTCACCAGCCGTTTATCTTCCTTCCCTTGCCTTCTCTTGCCGTCCGTTCTCTGTGCGCATTCCACTGCATGCAAACAAACACTCGCTTTCTTTTATGTCCCACCATGCAGAGCGCATCTCTCTCTCTGTTGTGCGAGGCGTGAACCGCGCCATTCGCTCTCACCTGGCAACCCTGTCTGCACGTCTCGCGCGCGCGTGAACAGGGCTCCAGGCCCCAAATTACGTGTGAGTGTTAGAGTTGTTTGGTATTGCTAAAAATCTCTCTCTCTGCATGCATGCGGCATCACAAGCGTCTTCTGCCGGGCGCGCATCTGAACTCGTACCTGGTAGGCCATCGCTTTGCTGAAGGATCAGGCGCCTGAATGGCGACAGTGAGCGTCTCCTACTTATGGATTGCGCTCAAGGTACGAGGACCGCAAGAGCGCGCCGCAGGCGAAGCGATTTTTTTGGCGGCAGGGCTGTTCCAATCTTGTGATCACGCGCGAGCCTGTGAATACGCCCCGGAGGCCTCAACCCCCAACTAAAGGGTTGACGGGGGGTCTCAACCGTCAACCAGATGGTTGAGGGGGGGCCTCAACCCTCAACCCGTCAACCACCCCTCTGAGCAGAATGCATTCTGGTTCGCCGCAGTGACGATTTGGGTCTCCGGCCAACTTTGGCGGCAGCGTGTCGTTCACCTGGCGACATGCCGGACGCCTCGCCGAACGCGAAGCCGGTCGGCAGCAGCCCACGGCGCGGCCAGGAGCTCCGCACGTGCGACTCCGAGCCGGTTCTCGAGCTCGAGGACTCGCCGCCCCACTCGATGCGCGCGTCTCTGGTGGTCGACGCTCCTGGCACCCACACAGCGCGATCCCGCGTGCCGCTCGCCCTCTCGTGCTGTCTGAGCGCGGGCCTCGCCGCTCTGCTCCTCCTCGCGCTGAGCCGAGAGCCGGAGGCCACACGGGTCGTCGTCGTCGACCGCAGCCGGGAGGCGTGCGGCGGCAACGGCATGCTCTATCCGGGCGAGGACGCCTGCGACTGCTTCGACTGCTTCGAGGGTCCGAGCTGCTCCACCCGGCTCGAAGGGGAGGCGTGCGTCGTCGTGGCCAACTCCGGCACCCCCTACCTCTTCGAGGACTATTGGCTCGCGCGGCCGCGCAGCGCTCCCCTCTCGGTGCTCCCCTCGTACCACATCGGCTACGACGCCCACGTGCCGCGGCTCGAGGCGGCGATCCGCAGCCTGCACGGGCTGGTCGGCAACGCCGTCACCGACGGGTGCGCCTCGCCTCGAGCGTCTCCCGACAGTGATACGCCCTGCGCCCCAGCACCTCACCCCTGCCCGCAGGCGTGAGGTGGTGGTTGGGATCGGCTCGACCGAGCTCATCGCGGCCGCCCTCTACGCGCTCTCCCCCACCCAAGATGAGGCCACTGCGAGCGTCTGGTCGCGCGCCCCCTACTACTCGGGCTACAAGCAGTCGGCGACCTTCTTCCGCTCGGCTGGGTTCGAGTGGGCGGCAGACAACGCCTCCTCGCCGCCGCCCGCCACGGCGGAGCGGCCGCTGATCGAGCTCGTCACGTCGCCAAACAACCCGGACGGCCACGCGCGCGCCGCGAGCGTGGCCGGGCCTCACAGCAGCGCCGTGATGGACCACGCGTACCTCTGGCCGCACTTCACCGCCGTCGGCCCTCCCGTCGCATACGGCAACTCGACGGCGACCGCCTCTAGCCCTAACCCTCACCCTCACCCTCACCCTCACCCTGTAACCCTAACCCTACGGCAACTCGACGGCGACCGCCTCTAGCCCTGACCCTGACCCAACCTCTCTCGCCAGGGCCTCCGGCGTGCCTCTGCTGCTGCGCCAGCCCGCGCCCCGCACCTCGCCATCCTTCGCCCCGCACCTCACCAGGTCGCCCTCTTCACGCTCTCGAAGATGACTGGCCACGCCTCGACCCGCGTCGGCTGGGCCCTCTGCTCCGACCCGCACGTCGCGGCCCGGATGAGGGACTTTGTCCAGACGGCACCCTCCCGCTAGCCCGCGCGAGAGCAATGCGTATACGGCCTCGTCCGAGCCAGAGTGCTTGTACGCAGGCCACCTTCGGCTCCCCGCGCGAGAACCAGCTGCGCGCCCTCGCCGTCCTCGAGCACGTCGTCGGCTCCGGCGGCGAGATCTTCACCTTCGCGCGCGGCCGGATGCTCCGCCGGTGGGAGCGGCTCGAGGCGCTCTTTGCCAGCCTGCCAGAGGCGCTCTTCTCCACCCCCAACCCTGGGCCCCACCCGAACCCTAGGCTCTCTTTGCCAGCCAGCCAGAGGCCGGCCAGCAAGAGGCCGGCCAAGAGGCGGCGCTCTTCTCGCTCGAGCCGCGCGATGCGCCAGCGACCGACGCCTTCTCCGGAGAGGTCGAGTACGCGCCCTCGCCGGCGTACGCGTGGATCAAGCTCAACTCAGCAGAGGCGTTTGGCGGCGACGCGCTCGCGGCGATGGCTGCTTACGGCATCGTCGGCCGGTCGGGCCGCGAGTTCGGCGCTGAGCCCTGCCACGTGCGGCTCGAGCTGCTCATGCGGGAGCAGACTTTCGAGCTCCTCATCGCCAAGCTCGAGGAGCTGCTTCGTGCGGGCCGCCAGTAGCCCACCGAGGAGATGTACCCTCTGTACTATTTGATCGACGTCTGATCACACCACTTCGCGACCTGTCAGCACTAGCAGAGAAGAGTATAGTTTGTGGCCTGGTCCAGTCGTGGCCTATTTTTGTATGTGTATTGATGCGCGAGTGGCGCGCCCCGCGCACGCCACACAGCCACCGCACACAGATCACAGTGTCGCGCAAGATTTTTTGAATTAATCATACAAACATAAAAAAACTTGTTTTGCGCGGAATGATAACGGCACAGTTAGAGCCGTGTGCCCCGTGCCCCTCTGTTTATGGCGCCGGCTGGTCCGACCGATCGCTGGCGCTAAAGTATTGGCCGCTCGACGAGGAGGTCGGCGAGGCGGGGCCAGGAGAAGCGAAAGGTTCATATGAACCGTCGTCGGTTGGGTATTGCCGCGGCGCGCTCGAGTCGAACGCCTCGTACCCGTCGACGCCGCCGCCGCAGATGAGGCTTTCTCCCAGCCTCCGCAAGTCGGCCACCTCGGCCTGGAGGGCGTGCAGCTTGGCGACCGCCCCGGCGTCGGCGTCATCCTCCTGGAGCCGCTCAAGCAGCAGCGCCTCTTGCTCCGCAACCTCCTCGAGCCGCGCCTCCACAGCCAAAGTCTGCACCGTCCCCGCGAGGGAGGCGACGTGCGACAACAGCGCCGCGTTGTGACGGCGCATCTCGAGCATCTCGCGGCGCGGCCGCGATGCTGCGGCGGCCCGCCGCCACTGCAGCAGCGCCCGGCGGACCCCCAGCGCGCGCTCGCTCCTCTGTCGCCGGCCGTGCGCGGCGAGCCGGTGGAAAGCACAGCTGACGGCCACCCCTCTGCTGCGCGGTGTGCGCGCCTCGAGCAAGGTCTCTGCGGCAGCGCGGCGCTGCGCCTCGCCCCACCTCTCCGACGCCCACGTGCGCCACACGCGAAGCACCCGCTGCCGTGGCGCGTCGCGCTGCAGCCGTGCCACCAAGCCGCGCCGCATCGGCCAGAACCTCGAGGCGTGGTGCAGACCCGCGAAGCCAACCTCGAGACGCCGCAGCCTCGCCCTGCATACAGCCGCGACCACCTCTCCGCGCTCTGGCCCGCCACTGCCCGCCCGTCGCAACGCAGCAAACGCACGCCGCAGGCGCGGCCGCGAAGCCTCTGTGGCTCGCAGCGCCGCGGAGGCAGTGGAGAGTGCAACGCAGCGCTCACGCCAGCACCGCACCGCCCGGCGCAGGCGAAGGTGTATGCTGTGCACCGGCTGAGGGCCACCGTCCACCCTCTTACACCCGCCTCGCCAGCTCCTCATCGCACGAGCGAGAGCTACGCGGTTGGCCGACTGCAACGCGTCGTCCCGGTCGTCAGCAGCAGCGATGCAGGCATTGATGGCAAGGAGCCAGCTGTTGTCGGCTTCGACGCAACAGAAGTGAAAGACGCGGAGGTCGGCGAGGGCGAGAGCAAAAATGTGGTTACCGACAACGCCTGGAGGGCACGCCAAGTCGTCCTTGGTCACCAGCAGCACTGTGGCACCTCGGAGATTCATCCGCTCTGTTGAATGGCGGGCTGAGAAGACGGCCGAGCCACGACGGAACGAAGAGAGGTAGTAGGAGCCGTCTTCGTGTGACACCGCGACCCACCGCGACTTCCACGTGCGGGTGTGCCGTGACGCCTTCAGCAAGAAGCCCGACTTGACCACCGTGGGCGAGGCCATTGGGCGAGGCGCAATTCGCCAAGGCAAAGGGTGGATGAACGCCCGCGCTTGTCAACGCCAACAAGTCGGCTGTGCAAAGGTGGATGGAAGGCCTCCTCGCTCATAAAAGAATTCTGGAAAGGTACGCGGGCCAACCCTCGGAGACCCCTCCTTAAAATCCCTGTGTGGTGGCGGCGTGCCGTCCTCCCATCCCTCCCTTGGGTTGTGTGTTTTCTTTCTTTCTTTTCTTTTCGGAGACCCGTGTTTAATTTACGGCCCTTTCCCTGCGAACGCGCACCCCCGGGGCTAGGGCTCTCTAGCCCGTAACCCGATCCCGATCATCCGGCCCGCTGGGTGCGCTTCTCAGCTCCCCGGCCCTGGATGTGAGGTTAATGACTGCACTCCAAGTGCTCCAAGAACCAAGAATTGACCGACGGCAGCGGTCGCCGTCTTGAGGGCCGTCTTGGAGCAGAAGCTTCCCTGCCTCCTTAGCCATGGCGCGGTGCCCTCGCCCTCTGGTTCACGCACTGCTCGCAAGTAAAGCGTCTTAACAGGTCGGCACATACACGTACGTACGCCTCTCACCATCGAAAGTGTGGGTGGCTGAATGGGGGTTTTCTCTATGGAAGTCGGAGCCTTGCGTCCAAGGAGAGGCAGCGTGCGGCTCCGTGGGGACTCGGCCATATCACCCACCCGCGGGTGAGAGGGCGAGAGGAAGCATGCCCGCCCTCTGAGGCGGCCGTCCGAGTCGGGGAGGGAGGCGACCCACACACAACCATATCCTCGCGGGTGTGTGGGAGGCCTTCTCAGTCCGCTATAATGCTAACCCTAGTCAACCCTTCCTGGTCGGCTTCGGAGGGCCAGAGCAGTAGCCCTAGCCGGAGCTAAGGGTGCCGACTTTTTCTTTCTGCGCTAACCCTAGGGGAAATCGCTCCGGAATAGGGTTCCCGGCACCATGGGGCGGCGCCACGCCGATGGAGGGAGTCGGATTTTGCCATTGGCGGTGAGAACTCAAGACTGAGCTTTTGCTTCACTTTCGATAGAATAAATTTACCCTGCTGACGGCTGGCGTCTTTTTTGCGGCCGGTGATGATGAAATTCTGCATCACGGGTGTCCGAGGGTTAGCCCCGCGTACCGGGTTTCCCCTTAACTGCAGGACGCCCCCTCTACTCGGAGCTAATGAACACCACACTGCACGCCCCACACCACACCACTCTGCACTCACTTGCGCAGGCACTTGAGTAGACCCCCCGCCAGAGGGCTCACCCCCCGTCTCTCCAGGTTCCGACCCTCCTTGATTCGCTCTCTTGCTCGTCTCCCGGGCGTTATGCGATGACCGGTGTGGGTCGTTGCCCTCGTTGTTGGTGTCGTTTTCTTCGCTGCCGCCCTTCGTCTTCGCCAGCTTCTCCCGGCTCCCCCGATTCCGAGGGCGTCGACGGCCCGGCCAAGGTCTCCCCGGGCCGAATGCGGCGGCATTGGGTCGTGCCACCCCACCCGATTAGAGTAGAAGGGGGTCGGGCCGGCTCTCCTCGGTCGACGAATCGCGCCCGTATCCGCGGTCTCTCTATCGTACTCGGCTCGCCCCCCCCCCCCCCTCCGCCGGCTCCTCGTCGAGCTCGGGGGTTCGTGGCCCGCCCTCCTTGTCGTAGTTCACGATGGTCCGGCTGCCGCCGCCCAAGCAAAAGGAATTTTAGAACAAAACTCCCTCTCACAACACAGGCACGGCACGGGACTGGCGCGCACAAGCAATACAGAAAAATAATCCACGTGCACGGCGCCTTTCAGGCGTCTCGGCAGGAGCTCGGGAGTGCGGGGGTGCGGCCAGCCGCTCGCGGCTGCCTACTTGGAGTACGTTCTTTCGACAAGAGCCATGAACAAGGACGCGGTCCACGTGCTAGAGCGAACGCGGGATGGCGGCGTCGGCGTCGCCAAGACGATACGCGTTGTCGGCGAGGGTCAACGCCCGAAGATGGGCGACAGGCTTCGCGTCAAGTTTATGGCCATGGTTGTCGCGCCCGCCGCCTCTGCCTGCCTCCGCTCCCATCCCGCCGCCACCGGCCACTCCACGCCAATGCCCAGTCGCGCTGCGCCACCCATGCCTTGCCGGCCAGACCACCCGTCCCTCACCGTGTCCGCCCCCGCCTATACGTTTTGCGCAGCTCGACGACGGCAAGGTCGTCGCCAGCTCGCCCGGCGACTCGACCGAGGTGACGCTTGGGATGCGCGAGCTGTACGGGACAGGTGGCGATCTCGGCCTTGTCTCGATGAGGGTGGGCGAGCGCGCCCTCATCTCTTGCCACAGCGATTTTGCCGCGGGGCACGAGGGCGCGGCCGGCGTGCCGCCCGACGCGCGGCTCACACTCGAGGTGTCCCTGCTCGGCATCGTCAGCGAGGAGAGGCTGCTCGGCCGAGAGGTGTGCCGCACGCTCTTTGGCGTTGTCGCGCTCGCCACCTTCGCCCTCGGCGCCTTCTGGCTCGAGGGCCACTTTCACCTCGAGAGGTACGCGCGCTGAGGAGCGAACCGCACACCCTTCTCCTCGCTATATAGCCCGCGAGCGGCCAAACTCACACGCGCCAGCTCTTTGGACTTCGGTGCACCGCGCGCGCGTGTGAATCATGTATGAATCCCAGGCAGGGACAGATGAGAAGAGAGACGGGGGTGAGAGATGTCTTTCTCTCAGATGAGTGCATCCTGGATGAGAGTGAGTGGCGCCCAGCCAGAGGCGTGCAGGCGTCCCCACCGCACAAATGGGAGAAGGTGGGCCTCCAAATTGACTCTTGCACATAAACCTCTTTGAGTCTCGTGGTGGAATCAACAACAAACAACTTTCTCTTACAATTCTCTCTCCAAAAACCGAAAACGAGGGTGTGGACGAACGGAAGCAAGTCAGTGGTTCAGAGCGACCTGTGCCGGGGCTGTGTGTCTTCAAAATAGAAAAGAAAGGCGAGAGGGAGGGCAGGCCGGCGAAGATGAACCGCGGCAGACGAATTCTTTTCTTGACACAGTCGGCCGTGCGCCGCTTGCGGCTTTTGCGCTGAATGTGGCCATCGTCCACGTCCGATGGCTGGTCCGCCCTCTCCTCGCTCACCGACGCTGCAGCCAAGGCGGCCAAGTCAGCGCAGGACGCGCTGCCCGTCGACCTAAACGATCTCAACTCCGTTGCGGATGCTGCGCGCGCGGCGGCAGCCAAGCAGGTGCGCAAAAAAGCACACGCGAGGCCTACCTCCGCCACCCCGATGAGCCACGCATCCACCCGTCCCGCAGGCCGCGGCGCTGCAGGAGGCGGCGGAGCAGGCGGCGGAGCAGGCGGCTGCCGTGACGCATGCGGCGGCAGCACAGGCTGAATCGCTGTCGCGGCAGGCGGTGAACGCAGCCGGTGCTCTCGAGGCGGATGTCCTCTTCCCGGGCGATCCGCCGCCACCGCGCGAGCTTCCTGACGAGCCCGACATGGAGGAGCGGCTTGGGGTGGTCCCCGGCGGTCGCGCGCCCTCCACCCAGCGAGCTCCGCCTCAGCCGCCGGCTGACGACCTCGGCCAAGCCAACCTGCTCACACCGCCGGGCGGAGGAGGAGGAGGAGGCGGCGGAGGAGGAGGCGGCGGCGGCGGAGGCGGCGGCAACAAAGACCTGCACGGCCAGCTCGCGGCCGCCAGGGCGGAGGCGGAGGCGCTGCGGGCGGAGGTTGGCGCGCTTCGGCAGGCAGCAGCAGCTCCGCCCAGCTCGCCCAACGATGAGTCGCTCGGGCTGATGATGGAGCTCGCTTCGCTGCGCGCCTCGCTGGAGAAGGAGCAGGCGGCCGCCGCCCAAGCCGCTGCCGAAGGCAAGGCCGCCGCCGACAAGGCGCGCGACGCCGCCTCCGCGGAGGCGGCGGCGGAGCGGCGAGCGGCGACGGCCGAGGCGGCGGCGGCCGCCGCCTCTGCGGAAGCGAGGGCGGCAGAGGAGGCTGCGCGGGCGGAGCGCGCCCTCTGTGCCAAGGCGCAGGACGAGGCGGCGGCCGCTGTGGAGCGCGCCGACGCCTCCGCCAGCGCGGTGTCGGAGCTGCGTGCGGAGCTGGCTGGGCCTCAGGCGCGGGGGAGGTAGGTAGAGGTAGGTAGGCGCGGCAGCAGTAGCAGCAGCAGCAGCAGTAGTAGCTGGCTGGCCCTCAGGCGTGGAGCTGGCTGGCCACTCTGCGGAGAAAGACGCCTCACTCTGCAGCCTTGTCTTCGTCCGCAGTCTTCTCGGAGCCGTCTTTTTAGGCGAAGAAGCTCGCCGAGGCGGGGGCGAGCCTGGGTGCGGCGGAGGAGGCGCTGCGCCGCACCCACGAGGCGGTGGGAGGCTATTAATTAACTATTAATGGACTATTAATTAACTATTAATTAGGCGCTGCGTCGCACCCGCGAGGCGGTGGAGGCGGCCGAGGCGCGCGCCGAGGCGGAGTCGCGCGCTGCCACGGAGGCGGAGGACAGGGCCAGAGCCGCGACGGAGCGAGCCGAGGAGGCGGAGCGGCGGGCGGCGGCGGAGGCGGAGGCGCAGCTGGCCGAGGCGCGTGCCGCCGCCGCCGCCGCGGCGGCGGCGGCGGCGGCGGACGGCGCGTCCGGCACGGCGGCGGCGGAGGCGCGCGCGGCGTCCGCAGAGGCCGCGGCGGCGGAGGCGGCGGCCACGTGCAGCGCGGCGGCGGCGCGGGCGGTTGCGGCAGAGGCGGCCGCGGCCGAGGCAGAGGAGGCGCGCGGGGTGGCGGAGGCCCGTGCAATGGCGGCCTCCGAAGCGGCGGCCGAGGCGAGCGAGGCCAAGGGCATCGCAGAGGCGCAGGCGGCGGCGGCCAAGGCGGCCGCAGCCGAGGCGGAGAATGCAGGCAACGAGGCGACGGCACGGGCGGCGGCGGCCGAGGCGGCGGCGGCGGCGGCGGCGGAAGCGCGCGACGCGGCGGAGACGCGCGCGGCGGCGGCGGTCGAGACGGTGGCCGCCGAGGCGGCGGCGGCGAGCAGCGCTGCGAGTGCGCGCGCGGCGGCGGCGGAGGCGGCGGCGGCCGAGGCTGACGGCTTGCGGGCGGAGCTGGCGGCGGCGCAGAGGGCGCGGGCGGAGGCTGAGGCTGCGCTCGAGGCACAGGAGGCGAAGGCGGGCGCGGCAGCCGCCGCGGCGGAAGAGAGCGTCGCCGAGAGGAGCGCGAGGGAGGCGTCCGCGCGATCCGCCTCCGAGGCGGAGCTGAGCGCCGCGCGAGCCCAGCTGGAGGAGGTTTGCCGGCGAAGAGCCCCGAACCCCTTACCCCCCCCGCGCGCGCACCCGATCCCGCCCCGCCGCTCTCCCTCCACTCCCCCGGCAGGTGCGCGCCGAGCTCGAGGCGGCCAAGGCGAGGCTCGACACCGCCGGCGCGGAGCTGAGCGAGGCGCGCGCGGCTGCGGAGGCGGAGGCGGCGTCGGCGGTGTCGGTCGAGGCGCGGGTCACTCAGGCGCAGGCGGCGGCTGCGGCGGCCAAGGCGAACGAGGGCGAGGCGGCACGTCGCGCCGAGCGAGCCGAGGCGCAGCACGCGGCGCTGCAGGAGGAGAAGGACGCGCTGCTCGCGAGAGAAGAGGCGCAGCGGGCGGAGCACGAGGCGGCGCTCGAGGCGGCGCGGGCCGAAGGCAGAGCGCTCGTGGAGGAGGCGGCGGCGGCGGCGGCGGCGGCAGTGGCGGCGGCGGGAGCCGCCGAGGTGGACGGCTCGGCGGCGAAGCTGCAGGCCGCCGAGCTGCAGGCCGCCGTGGCCGAGGCGGCGCAGTGGCGTCAGGAGGCGGATGAGGCGCGGGCAGAGGCGGCGGCGGCGGCGGCGGCGGCGGAGTCGAAGATCGCGGCGGCTGACCGGGAGGGGCGCAGCGCCGCTGCGGCAGCGGAGGCGGCTCTGGCCGAGGCGGAGGCCAAGGCGGAGGAGCAGGCGACGGCCGCCGCCGCGGCGCAGACGGCGGCGGAGGCCGCTGAAGCGGCGCGGCTCAAGATTCTCACACGCGGCGGCGAGCTCAAGGCGCAGCTGGCGCAGACCGTCGCGGAGCGGGATGCGGCGCTGAGGGAGCGAGATGCCGCGCGAGCCGCGGTCGCCGCCGACCGCGCGCAGCTCGAGGAGGCTGCGGCGGCGAGGGGGCGCCACTCGCAAGAGGTGCTGCTGCGCGAGCAGGCGCCTCTCCGCCTGCGCCCTTCCTGCGGCCACCCTGTCCGACGCCCCTCACCCGCCATCCCCGCCGCCGCAGGAGGCAGAGGCCCTCCGCACAGAGCTGGGCGCTTTGAAGGCGGCGGCGGCGCACGAGGTGGCGGCCGCCGCCGCCACCGCCTCCGCTGCCACGGCCGAGGCCGTCGAGGAGGCGGCCGCCACTGCCGCCGCCGCAGGCGAGGAGGAGCGCGCGCGGCTCGAGATCGCCCTCGAGGAGGTGGGCCCTCGCGGCCGGGCCGGAAGCGGGCCCGGTAGCCGCCGGGGGCGTTGCGCCCCTCACGCTTGCGCCTTCCGCGCGTAGGCAAAGGGCGAGCTCGCCGCGGCGGTCGAGCAGCTGGCGGCGGACCGGGATGCGGCGGCCGCCGATCGCGCGGCGGCGGTGCGCGGTGCGGAGGAGGCGCACGCGGCGCGCGCGGCGGCGTACGAGGCGCGGATGCAGGAGCTCGAGCGGAGGCTAGCCGAGTCGCAGGCGGGGCGGGGCGGCGCCGTCGCGGAGAGTGGCGGCCGTGTCTCAACCTCCATGCGATGGTCCCTAGGCCAAGCTGACGCCGATGCGAGACAAGCTGCTCGAGCTGAAGAGGCAGTCCGTCGCGATGCTGGACGAGCGCGAGGCGGAGCTCAGCCGGTTGCGCGCGTCGGTGGCCGTCGAGGGGGACAAGGCGCCCGCGGCGGAGGCGGCGGCAGCGAACGGCGGCGGGGGCCGCGGCAGTACAGCTTCAGAGGTCGCAGCGCTGCGCCGGCAACTCCGCGAGGCGCGCAGCGGGGCGAGGGAGGCGCGCGAGGCGCTACGCGTGTGGCGGGAGACGGACGCTGGCGGCCTTGAGCACCTCAAGCAGGTGGTATGCAAATACATTTCGATGGACGAGACCGAGTCGGAGGCGGTGTTCCAGGTGATCGCCGCGCTCCTCGGCCTCTCACCCCAGGAGCACAACGAGCTGCAGAAAGCGCGGGCCCGCAAGATGTCCAAGGGCTCGTTCCTCTTTTGATATATGGCATATAGTGAGCGGCGCGCCAGTTCGGTTCTTGGCATAGGGCCTTCTTCGGACTCGGCTCTCACTGTCTCTCAGCACATGAATCACATGAAAATATCTAAGATCCTATCATCCTGCGCCGCAAAAAAATTGATGTGTGACATGTGTGCGCCAGTGAGCAGTGTGCGGGCTGCGGCGGGGGCCGCCTTTTTAAGAAAACAGAGATACTGCGCACACGCGGAGACTTCTCTCCCGGCGCGACTCCCATGCGCAGCTTAAAGAGTCAACTGCGTCGGCCGCGTTCCGAACGCAGGGGAAGCGCTCGGTGTGTCGGGCGTGCCCCTGCCTGATGGTGACGCCGTGACGGGCGCACTTGCCACGGCAGCGGCCATCGCCTCCGCCGCGCTGCCATTGCTGCTGTCGGCAGCGAGGCGGAAGTCTAGCGATGTCCTACGCGGCGTCGCCCCGTCGCGGATCTCCGCGTCGAGGACCTCGTTAGGCCGCAAGTCGCTCGCGCTCGCCACGAGCAGCCCCCCCGCGGCGCGGAGGGCGACCGCCGCCTGCGCCGGCGCGGTGAAGCCGAGCCGGCGGAGCCGGTCCGTCACGCAAGAGAGCAGGTCGTCCCACTCGGTCTCGGGGCACACCGAGAGGCGGATGCACTGGCCGTGCGAGCCGTCGCAGCGCACGCACACGTCGAAGAGACGCGCCGAGGCGGCTCCGGCATCGGCGACGTCGGGGCGCGGCGCGGCGCCCGGGGCGCGGCGCGCGCCGCCGAGGCGCGAGGGCGGCGAGAAGAAGGAGAAGCGGCGCATCGTCTTGAGCGCCTCGCGGGAGAGCACCTCGATGGAGCCGCGGCTCTCCAGCCCTGGAGGCTCGCTCTGCCGCACCGCAGCCTCCGCGCACACCTGGCTCGCCTGTCTCGCCGCCGCCGCCGCTGCCGCTGCCGCCGCCGCGTCCGCGGCGTCCTTTGCCGCCGCCGTCCTGGTCGGGGCCCTGGTCGGGACTGGCGACTGCGCGCCTGAGCCGCGCCGCTCGATGCGGGGGCTGCCGCCCCGAGAGCCCGAGAGGCGCGCTCGAACGGGCACGGCGCTCGCGGCGGCCGCCGCGGCGCACTCTGCATCGTCGTCGCTGTCGCTGTCGCTGCCTCCGGCCGGCCGCGAGGCCTCCCCGAGCTCCGCCTGCTGTATGATGTGGCCGGTGTACTCGTACATGCGCTTCGCGCCGCAGACGAGCAGCGGCCCGAAGAGGAGGCCCTGCAGGCCAAACATGTACACGCCGAGCACGAGCGAGAAGCCGTTGACGTACTGCGAGACGCCGGCCTGGAGAGGGGAGGGCGGGTGCGCGGGAGGGCGGGTGCGCGGGAGGGCGGGTGCGCGGGAGGGGCGACGGAGCGGGCGGCCGTGCGAGGCGTCGGCCTGCTGCTGCAGCCGCCGCTCGGCGTAGAGGTCCGAGATGGTGAAGAAGAGCGCCTGCTCGCCGGCGTGCGGTTGAGAGGGGGGGGGGGCGCAGCGACGCGGGCGGGCGAGGAGAGGCGCGCCATCGAGAGGAGGAGGAGGAGGCCCTCCGCATGCCTGCCCGAGGCGACGAGGCCGCCCACCCAAGGCACGCACGCGAGGAACGAGTATGTGAGCGGGAAGAGCGTGAAGACGACCGAGAGCATCGCCGCCAGGTGCGCGTACGGCACCCGCATCACGCGAAAGAGGAGGAGGGTGGCGCAAGCGTTGCGGGCGGCGGAGTCGATCGGCACCAGCAGGACCGCCTCGATGGTGCCTGCAGGACGGCGCCGTCGGGGCACGTGTCGCATGCCGCGGCGGGAGGGCGGCGGGAGGGCGGCATGGAGGGCGGGTGCGGGCGGCGCCTCGGATCTCCTCGACGCGCCTCTCGGACACGCGCGGCGCGACGGTCGCGAAGATGCGCGAGACGGCGTCTTGCTCGGCGGCAAGCATGTAGAAGGTCATCGTGAGGCAGACGAGGGTCGAGAGGCCGAGCGAGAGGATGAAGTAGACGGCATAGAGCAGCCGCAGCAGCAGCGAGACGAGGAGGAGCGCCGCCGCGGAGCCGTGCTCGCCGGTGCGCTGCCACGCCGCCCACAGGCCGTCGGGAGAGAGGTAGCCGAGGAGGGACGGCAGCTGCGGGGAGGGGGCGGGGGGCGGTTCCGCACGGGGCGGGGGGAGGGGGGGAGGGAGGGGGGAAGGCTGCGGCTGCACCTCTTGGCGCAGCTCTCCGAAGGCGTGCACCACCCCCCGCCAGGTCGGGGCGAGCTGCCGCCCTCCGAGCCTCGCGGCGCGGTCGGAGTGGCCAGAGGAGAGGCCTCCTCCAGAGGAGAGGCCTCCTCCAGAGGAGAGGCCGCCCGCGAGGAGGAGGAGGAGCCGGTCGAGCGCGTCTCCCTCGCGCAGGACGGGCGAGTGCGGGAAGAAGTCTCGCATCACCTTCTCACAGCGTGAGGCGTCGAGAGCTGCTGCTCACAGCTGCGGGTGCGGCGAGAAGGCTCGCGTCACCGCAGACACCGCGCCCAGCACCTCGGTGGTGTTACGGCCCGACTCGAGCAGCTGCAGCACGCGGCTCGCGCCTGGAGGAGCGCTCAGACTCGGCTCAGACTCGGCTCAGAGACGGCTCAGAGAGGCGTCCCAGCCGCGGCACGCGTGCCGCGCCTACTCGAGCCACCGCGAGAGCGGCGTGACGCGACGCTGCCCGCGCGACAAGTTGGCTGGCGGCGGACGGCCCCCTCGCCGGACCAGCGCGGGTCCGCCTACGGCACATGCCTCGGGCGTGTCATGGACACGTGTCCCGGCAGTCTACCGGCAGCGCGGAGGCCCGCTCCTCGGAGAGCGTTGCGATGCCGGAGTAGACGACCGACCGCCCGCTCGAGAGGACCTGCGCGGCCGGGGGTGCGGGGCCGGGGGTGCGGGGCCGGGGGAGGGCGAGAGTGGGGCGGCGGGCCGGATGACAAGTGGGGGCGTCGCTCCGCAGCCGCAAGCGTCTCCTCCGCATCTGCAGCCGTCTCTCTGAAGCAGCCGGGTGTCCGACCGCCGACCCACCCCGACCCCCGACCCTCCCCGACCCGCAGGCGGCCCGTAGCGCAAGCCGCCTGCTCGACGGCCGCAGCCACGTCGTCGTCCGACGCCACCCGCGCCTACAGGGAGCGAGCCCGACGTGTCCGGCGCGAGGGGAGGACGGGCGGGCGGCGAGGCGAGCGTGTGCCCGGGTCCACTCGGACGAGTGTCCGAGCAGGAGGGCGAGGTCGACCAGAGAGTGGAGCAGCAGCACGAGGCTCACGCACGCGACGAGCGAGACCAGGCCGACGAGCGCGAGCGTGACCAGGCTCTCGTCCGAGAGGAGCGCCTAGGCTTCGGGCTCGGGCTCGGGCTCGGGCTCGGGTTTGGAGAGGGGGCCAGGAGCGCCGTGTAGAGAGGAGTCTAGGAAGTGTCTAGGAAGAGTCTTGGAAGTCTTAAAGTGACTAGGAATAGGAGCGCCGTGTACGAGAGGAGTCGCCGGTCGAGCAGCCAGACGGGCACCACCACCACCGCCACGGCGCTGGCGCACGCGGTGCCGACCCACCCCCAGGAGGTGTAGTCCGCGAGCAGCAGCAGCGGCACCACCACGGCGAGCAGCAGCAGCGGAGGGCACGCCCACGCGTGCCGCAAGCTCGCGCTGCCGACGCGACGGAGGAGCGGCGCTTCCGAGGGCGCCCGCAGGGAGCGGACATCGGAGACCATCCGCTCGCGCATGCGCCGCATCGCCTGCGACACGATGAACGCGGCGAGGATGGTCGAGATGTAGTCGCGCCAGAGCTGGAAGGTCAGCCAGCCGAGGAGGAGGAGCGCCGCGCTCGAGAGATTGCCGAGCAGGTGTCCCAGGACCTGGACCTCGAGCTCAGTGGGCGGCTCGAACTCGTCGGCTGCTGACGCCGGCATTCTCGGCTTGGTGTGCCGGTGTGTGTGCCAGTCCAGCCGAGCGAAAAAAAACAACTGAACCCTCGTGTCTGTCCTCGACCCAGCGCTAGCTTGGGGTGTCCGTTTTATTTATTTGTTGTAGCACTGACACAGGTTCGGGCTGGTACCGCAAGGGGTTTTTGTGCGAACAAGAATTCTTCCTCGTCTGCGCAGACTAGCACACACGCCGGCACACCCAGTTCTTCGGCAGGAGCAGGTACGTCTATCGGTCACTCGATCGCCATGAGAGAGAGATGTGGGAAATCTACACTGCCTGACTGTCCTAGGCTTGCTTGGGGGCGTGGTTGGAGCGCAGCCTCCATCCAAGATGGCGCGTGGTCGGAGGGCGGAGTTGCTCGATACGTTGAAATGAGTGGGGCCACATGCCTCGATCTTTAGCCATCGAGTTGGAACGTTCTGGTTTACGTTCGGAACGTAAACAAAAACCGTTTGCTGCGAAAGTTGTGTCAAGCGCGCGATAATGGATGCGTGGCAGGCCGGCTGGCAGGCGTGCGGCCCTGGCTGTGCGGCTGACGAATGGTTTCGTGCCTCGCTCGACTATGCTGGCGGGCTCCTCGATGCGGCTGGCGACACCTTCACCCGAGCGTTCGGGCTCGCTCCGACAAGCGAAACGCATTCGCGTGGCCTGCCAGGCAGCAGAGGACACTCCGCTTGGAAGGCCGACCATAGCTATGAGTCATGGGCGCCCGGCAGCGATGATGGCACTGCATTGTCGTACTCTGAGCTGCTCACCTACAGCTACGAGGACGGAAGGTAGATGTCACCTGCATGCCACCACACCCTCCATTCTTCTTCATGGCTGCTGTCTTGACCCGGCGATGCTCGCGCGTGCAGGCCAGCGTCGTACACGTATGACCCAGAGGTGCATGGCAATTTCGGTAACTTCCGAGCAGCAGGCTTGCGGGAACGCGAAGCTGCGGGTGCAATGGCCACAGCACCGGCAGCGTGCGCGGCGATGCTCGTCCTCGTCTTGGTGCTCCGCCTGCGCCGCGTCAGGGTCGCGCCGTGGGAGGGCACTGTCGGTCTCGTCTGAAGCCTCCGCCCGCTGAGCTCGGGAACATGGCAAGAATTTGTTGGTTTTGCGGAGAGTGATCTCCGTGCAGTAAAATCTGTCAATTGTGAATTGAGAGCGCAACAGTTTAGCAGTGAGCAGCGTTTAGCAGTGAGCAGTTGAGCACTGGTTGAGCACAGGAGCGTGTCGATTCCTTCTTGTAAGGGACCCCACAATTGTCTCGCCCTCCCGTGCTGGGGGGGTCTCTGGGCCGGCGCGGGGACTCCAGAGGGTGTCCATGCGGGGGGGGGATGGGGTCCCATGGCCCGCCGCAGGCGCCGATTTTTTCGGGATTTTTTGGTCAATGTTTTACTTGTTTTCGTGGGAATTCTGCGAACTTGCGGCCATGCTATCACGCCTTGCGACAGCCTGTCGGCGCTGCTGACCGTGCCATGATGCACAATTGATCACCTGCATAGCTCGCGGCCTTAGTATCAAGCATTCAGTGACGACCTGATCGTACGGCCAGTAGGAAGGTGTCCTTCCATCGTGTGCACGCTTCTGGCGCAATGCGCGTCGCCTCGGATTGGCTGCTGGCACTCTCGAGGCTATGCCTACACAGCCTCGCGCGCATGGGCAGTCAAGAGGGACCATGCACCTTCTCAGGACAGCGCCGGTACCTCTCTCTTGGACCGGCAAACTTGGTGGTCTCATGTCACCAATGTGGGACCAGTGCGGCATCGCGCCATCGACAGCTCTGAACTGCGCCTCACCACTGACCGGGAAGGCCGCCAAGTGGGCCAGCACAGGTCGCACATTGTGGCAGCAGTCAGCAGTGCATGTCTGATAGCTAGAGCAGCAGCGTCAGGGTCTCGCAGGGTCGGATCGTGTCAAGCCTCTCGCCCGGCCGGCCGCGTGCAGACGTCGGCCTCGTCTGCTGTCTGGAGTGATCTGTCGGCGGTCAGCACGACCGATCAGGTTGGAGGTTTCTGATGGTTGGAGGGTCTATCTGTATGTACTCCTCGAGATCTTTCCAAATCTGCTTTCTACTTAACCGTACTTAATCGGGAAGTCGGTGCTAGCTGAGACTAGCGGAGCCGGAGCCCCGTTTCCGCACTGCTGCGCGGCGCACGGTGCCTCCGGGGGCCCCCGCGCCGCCCCAGAGGGGGGGGTTGGGGGGAGAGGTGCTGTCATGACAAACGGGTGGATGTGCGGCGGATAAAAGGGATAATTACCGGATACATACATACATACATACATATTGCAGCTCGTGTGGCGCGGCGCGGCGTGTGCAGTAGCGGCGGTGGTGCGGCTAGGGTGTGGTGCGGTTGTTGCGCGCCGATCGCTGGCCGATCGTCGGCTAAAACGGATCGCTCCTCATCGCAAACCCCGTCAGCAGTCCTCCTCCGGGAATGTACGTAAGAGCTACATACACTGAAAACAAGAGGAGCTTGCTCATCATGATCAGGTCAGGCGGGCGCAATTCATCCTTCGTTCCTTGGCCGCGGCAGCGAGGGAAATCGTCCGTCCCTGCCTTCTTCTGCGGTACGGCCTACCGCCCTACCCTGCCGCACATTGCCGCTACTTCCCTCCCCCTGCCGTACGGGTCCCCGCACCCCCCACAGTTTGTAACCCACCACCAAGCGCCCAAAATCGTGACGGGAGACCACGACGAGATGGACTTTGCGATCGCGCCTGCGCACGAGCCTGCCGCCTTTGCCTACTTCTCCCTAGGCGAGTCCAAGCGCTCTTGGCGCCGAGAGTGCCTCTTGGCCGGCACGCTCGGAACTGCGGCGTCGTTCGCCATCCTCAGTGCAGCCGTCCTCCGCAACACTGCTGGAGTTGTATCCGACTCAGCCTGGTTGGACGCTTCGCCGGATGCACTGGACGCTTCACCGGCGCCGTCGGATCCCTTCCTTGGTATGACAGACCATCGACACACGCCACATCCATTCACGCTTGTCAACGACGTCGTGACTGACGGCTTCTTCCGTGTGCTGTGGCGTGATGGACATGGCAGGGGGCCGGCGGAGATATGGCTCGAAGTGAACCAGAGCGCGCTGGGCTCCGAGTTTCTCGTCTCTGCCAGTGTGTCACGCGGAGACGGACGGCACTCTTTGCTGCACGAGGACCGCACCGACGCCGAACGCACCGTCTTCAAATTCGAGCAGTCCCCTGGAGTGGACAGCTCCCTCGACCTGATCGCGCCGCAGTATGAGATTCGGCTGCCTGCGGCTGGCGGTTCGCTCTCGCAGCACACCCTCACACACGCGGCTTGGTCCGGCTACGTCGAAAGCTTTGTCGGAACAAAGGTCACTCGGTTCGTCACGAAGCCAAATGCGTCCGACGAGCGCTCCTCCGAGGCGTGCGACGCGATACTATGGCGCAATGGTTCGGAGGTTCCGGTGTCACCCCTCGGCTGCGAGCGTTACGCTGCAGATGGGACGTCGTGGCTGATCGACGTGACAAAATGGCTCACCACGGGCGTCGTCACTCGGCGACTGGCCTCTGGCGAAGGGCAAAGGCGTCCACGGCTCGTGCTTGCGGAGGCCCACCCCGCCTCGGCCGTCTTTGGGCTGCAGACTCGCGAAGAAGAGCTCCGCCTTTCCTTGGCACGCCTCCCGCCGCTCGATGGGCGATATACGGCGCGCGCCGCCGATGACCGGATTGGCTACTGGACGCTCGAGTACACCGAGGTTGGCGAGGCGCTGGGCCCGCTCACAGCGGGCTCGGCGGACAGGAAAGTCGACGTCATACAGAGGTGGCATCTCCAGCCGTCCGACCCTCACGTTGACGCGGCGGAAGAGCGGGCGGCGGGGCGGCTGCTCACGCCCTCGAGGCCAATCACATTTTACATCGATCCATCGGTGCCGGAGCGGTGGAGGCGAGCGATGAAGCGCGGCGTGGAGAACTGGCAGGCTGCGTTCGAGCAGGCTGGCTGGGCAAACGCGATCGTGGCTGTTCTGCCTGGAGACGAGGCCTTCCCCAGTGACTACTCGGCGGCCGATTCACGCTACGCCTCCATCTCTTGGGCAGTCTCGCTTCAAGAAGTCTATTCGGTCGGCACCCACACCTTTGACCCGCGGACGGGCGAGATCATGGACGCCGACATAATGTTCTCGCACTCATGGGTCAGCGCCTGGGCCAACGATTTCGACGCAGACGCGGCCGGAGCCCCGGCCAGGACCGGCACCGGTGCCGGTGGCAGCGACAACGGATCACCGCACCGTCACCATGGGAAGGTGTACGAGGAGAGCGGTGGTTACCTTCCTCAACGCTACTGGCACGGGCAAGCTGCCAGCGAACGGCTCTCCCATCGGCTGGCCGCGGCAGAGCGGAGGATCGAGGCGGCGTTGGGCGAGAGGCACGGAGATCCGCGAGGCGGGCCTGGTCCGTGCGGCGTGTCGTCGGCAGCAGCAAGGCGTGAAGGGATGGCAAACCTGCGCGCCAAACTCGAGCTCGACGGCGCGATTCCGCCCGGAGGCCGCGTGCCAGAAGAATACATCGAGGCGGCGCTGGTCGACGTCACCATGCACGAGGTGGGGCACACCCTGGGCTTGCGGCACAACTTTCGCGCCTCGGCCGCGTACTCGTTCTCGCAGCTGAGCGACCCCTCCTTCACGGGGGCACACGGCTACGCCTCCTCCGTGATGGACTATGTGGACGCCTTTCTGCCCTCTAGCCGCAACCTCAGCGTGATCGGCAGCTCGACTGGAGCTGTGTACAACCCATTCAACGGCGTTGTGGGAATCTATGACCGGCACGCGATCGAGTACGGCTACGCCCCATTGGCAGGCGAGGAGGCGGGCCGTCAGCACGCGTACCTCGCTGCCCTCGCCTCGCGCGGCGCGGCGAATGCGGAGCTCGCCTTCTCAACCGACGAGGACGAAGCCACGGCGAGTGGTCCCGACCCACTCGTCTCGCTCTACGACCAGTCGAATGATCCGCTGGGCTTCTACATCGATCAACTCGCCCTGTCGCAACGGCTGCTGTCCGCCGCCGCAAACCGAACGGTCGGTGTGGGCGAGCCCTGGGCGGCGCTGCTTCCATCCGTGGAGCGATACATGGGAGCCGCGATGAAGGCCGGGGCGGCTGCAGCCAAATACGTCGGCGGCTACGTCTTCTCAAAGGCGCACAAGGGCGACCCCGCAGCACCACCTCCGCTCGTGCCCGTGTCGGCAGCCGAGCAGTGGCGGGCGGTGCAGCTGCTGCTGCAGATCCTCTCCGACGACTTTTGGGTGCCGCAGGAGGAGCTCCTCGTGCTTCCGGAGCGGCGCGGCGAGTGCCACGGGCTGGACGTCTACTGCCTCGGCCTCGGGGTGGCGAAGCTGCAGGACAAGGCGCACGAGACACGCACGCTCCTGCTGCAGACCCTGGTCAAGCCCGCTCGCCTCGCAAGCCTGCGGCAAGGAGAGCGGACCGTCGTGGGGGGGGCGGCGGTGGCCACGCGGTACCTTGGATGGTCGGGAGGCTGCGACTGTCTGACACCCTGACTGTGGTGAGGTTTGACCGCAGGCCTGCTGGCTCGGAGTGGGCGATTGCATGGGCGCAACCGCCGCGCGAGCTCGATCTCAAGGACTCGACCACCGCACGAAAGTCGATCTCAAGGACCGCTCTCTCACCCTGGAGCTCGATTGCCTAGGGCTGGACTTTGGCGCCGACCGCAAGTACCCTCTTTCGCTCCATCCACACGGTCCTTGCCTTGCGGCGTGATTGTGAAGGCTTGATGGCTGGGAAGCATCCCGATTCTAATACCCGTAGGTGCTGACGCGACATGGAGCAACGTCAACGTCGCCGCCGTTGCACGGCGCGGCGGCCGCGAAGGCACGATACGCGCTGGAGCGGGAGTGGGTCTCGCTACTCTCCGACCTCGCAGACGGAAGCAGCGGCGAATCCTCTGCCGTCGCCATCTCGCTTCTTCACGACCTGAGGGAGGCCGCCACACGCTCGGAGAGCCGGCGCAGGCAGGGACCGGAAGCGGAAACGGACGACGCTGCGGATGCACTCGCCGCCATTCGTCGCATGCTGTCGCTGTGGGAACAGGGACTGCCCATCCCATCGTAAGCATCCTCACCCTCCCCCCCCTCCCTTTTGAGGGATCGAAGCAGCACACGTCTCGAGTTCTCGTGTATCCTAGCATGAGGTGGTTACGTGGCTGGGTTCACAGCGATTGTAGGAAAACGAAGGGAACACTTGACGGTCGCGGCCTTCCGACTCGCGCCTCCGCCTCACTGGCACTATTGTAGCCCTGGCCGGTGCGCGTGCTCAGTTGAAGTTCCGGAGTAAAAATTCGAACGCGTTCTCTCACGGTGACCAAGAAATGTCCACCTCAGAGGCACCTCCGGAGGCAGGCCGCCGCACGCCGGCGACACAGCTCCAGCTGTCGAACTGACCCTCAGCTCCTCTCAGAGCGGGAACTGTGACGAAAGTTGACTGAGGCGGTTGTCAGGAACCATCATACGGATCACATGGTGGCTCTCTCATGACGGGAGACCGCCCGACCACTCCTGGGTGGCACTGCCACCGGTGTCGCTCGACGTCCTGTCGACAGCGTGCCGACAGCGACACAGACCATGTGGGACGCGTCGAGTATCGACCTCTACTGCTTACCCAGCCTTCGAGTGTATCCTGGCTGTGGCCCCACACCCACTGGTGTCCATCTCAGAGACCGCAGGAGGTCATGAGGGTCGATGGGAGTGCCAACCCCACAATGCCTAAAACCCAGCCAAGTACTGTCACCTTTGAGATCTCGACATCTCGTCGGCGCAACATTGTCGGCAACACATGGCGTCTGTTCTGTCTAAGTGTTTTTATCTCTTGAATATGCCTATGGGACGTTGCGCTTCTTCTTTTCGAAGAGTCGCTCACCACTCCTAGAGAGAGCGGTACACTATTACCGGCCGAGGCATCCTTGCTTTTCCTGTCTACTGTATTGTGCAGACGGGCGCGCAAGATCCCTCGCAAAACGAGGGGAAGATTGTCCGCATTCAAGCGACTTCCTCGGTCTGGCTATAAGCACCAGATGTTGCCGGCGCGGCGCCTGCTGGTGAAGGTGCGGCGACTGTTCAGAACGGCCGCCCGACCCAGTCGACGTCACGGAGTGCCTCGTCGTGCTGCTCCTGAGTGATGCCATGAGCTTCGCGGAAGCGGAGGCAGGCATCGCGTTCCTGCACAGCCACCCAGCCGTCCGCCACAGCCAGGGCAACCATCGCCCGATACTGGGCCTCTGCGAGGTCCCGGAGGTGCTTCTGCTCGAGTGCGCGTGCCCTCTCGCGATTGCTTGCTCTCATCCGCGCCTGCCACTCGGCACCGTATTTTCGCTCCTTGCGCAACGCCGCGATCTGCATATTCTCCGCGGCTTGCACGGCCTTGTCACCGAGGGAGTTCACAGTATCGTGGAAGAGGTCGGCGTCAAAGCGAAGGCCTTCGAGCGACCCTCCGTCGGACCGCACCGTCGCACTCCAGGTCGGACGAGTCTCAGGCGCCTCCGGCTCCCGTTCGAGGTCCACGCAGTCACCCACCCACAAGCCGTCTCTCGCCAGGTCTGCTGCCTTGATGCGTGAAATGATCGCTTCCTCAGCCCCTTCTTCCCGATGCAGGACGACGCACGCGCCCGGCCCACTGGTGATCAGGTGCAAGAATCGCCGGGGCTCGCCCTGCTGTGCCAGCGCAGGGCCGTTGGCGTCGACTTGCACGAATTCGCCGTTCGAGCCAGCCAGAAGAGCGAGAAAGAGTCGGGGAGTCCAGCCATGCGGCAGAAAGGCCCGCTCGTACGCTTCGCTCTCCCGCTCGCTCATCTCGATGGGCCTCTTCTCGCGCAGCGTCTTGGCGATCATGCCGCTGTGCACCGCGATGAAGAAGGTGCCCCAGTAGCAGGGCGTCAAGAGTGGTGGTGATTGTAGCAGGTTGAAGGCCATGTTGCAGCACGTGGCACCAATCATGAAGGAGCGCAGCTGGATCATGTCATCTGACATTGACGCACAAACCGCGAGCCCGTTGCCGACGTGAACAAAGCGGTCAGCTGGCACTGCACGCAGCCGCTGGCCCAGACGGCTCAGCATGGCGGGGGTGTCTGAGCGCAGAATGAAACAAGTAACCACACTGAAAGGTCAAGCAGACATGGTTCGTGCGGAGTGCAGCCCCTCGCCTGGCATGTGTGCGCGATCGTGCGATATTTTTCCAGTGTACGTACTTTTAGCTTACTGGGAGAAAAGAGAGAGGGGGTTGTGTTCTCTCTCTCCAGTGTATGTAGCTCTTACCATTCCCGGAGGAGGACTGCTGACGGGGTTTGCGATGAGGAGCGATCCGAACGTGGTATTCGGGTGATCAGATCACTACCGCTGAAACGCAAGAGCACTGCGACGCATCGCATTTTACTTGTCGATCGACGCAACGTGAACCACTTTTCTTTCTAGGTGTTAGTGCCAGTGCGCGCAGTCCGCGGAAAGAAAGAAAGAAAGAAATCAGACAACCCGAAAGGACGGCACGCCGCCACCACACAGGGATTTTAAGGAGAGCATGTCTTAGGGCGACGGCTATTTCTTTTCCAACATCTGCAGGCGGACTTTTTCGAGGGTCAGCTGCACGCGACGACCGAGGCGCAACTGCCCGGTGCAAGACCAGCAGGACACAACTGGGATGTCGAACGCGGCCCTTCAGCTCGAGCAGCTCTTCATCTTCCACCCCCGCCTGGGTAGCGAGGCAGGCGAGAAGCTGCTGTACTTTCACCCCGAGCACACGCCTCTCGCCGAGCAGCACAACGCGCTCGGCCTCGTCGTCGCGCTCGAAGGGCTCCTGGCCAACTTTGGAGTGGCGTCGCCTTTCGAGCTGCTGGCCACGGCGCAGCGGCGGTATGTCGTGCTGCAGCCGGAGCCGAGCCTGTGGCTAGTCGCCGTGCACATGCTGCCTCCGAGTGCGCCAGCCGCCACCGCACGGCAGAGAGGTGCGATCGAGGAGGAGGCGGAGGCGGAGGCGGCCGACGCGGACGCCGTTCGGCGCGCCGCCTTGGAGCAGCTGTACGAGACGCTCCGCCTCTGCTGCGGACCGCTTTCGCGCCGCCTGGTGGAGTCTGGCGGCGCCGCCTCAGTGCGGGCCCTCCTCTCTGGCGTGATGCCGCGGCTGCTGGCGGTGGCGGCGCTGCAGCACGAGGCGGAGGGCGACTTCCTGACGGCGGTCGGAGGCATCCAGTACCTCCCCCTCGGCCAGGCTGCCGGGCTGCGCTGCCACGCAGCGATGACCGCCGTCCTATCGGCCCAGCCTGCGGCGGCGCGCTGCTCGCCCGGTACGGGAGGCGTGCACGACGTGTCCCCGACGCTGCCTGGCCATGTCCCGCAGGCGCACCTGCTGCTCACCTTCGAAGGGAGGCTGGTCTGGTCGAGTTTGGGCCGCGAGGCAGCCCGGCCAGCCTTCCGCTAACCCTAACCCTAACCCTGACCCTGACCCTAACCCTAACCCTAGGAGGCCCGGCCAGCCTTCCGCCTCGTCGCAGCGCTCACCAGCCCGCAGCAGCAGGCCAGTCCCGCCCCCCGTAGCAGCAGGCAGCCCCGCCACCCGTCAGCCCCGCCGCTTCGCCCCCCCCTCCCCCCCCAAACGGGGCGAGCTTCGCCATATTTAACGATGTCAATTGACACAAGGCGGACAACGTGATCGTAGCCGCCGTGCCTTCCAGCACGTCGCCGCCCGAGTGGTGCGGCCGGCCCCGACTCCATCCCCTCTCCCTGCCCGCCGCCCGCACCGACACACGCGTTCAAAGCGCACACGCGCCCCATGGAGACCTCTGCCGCGCCCGACCTGCCGAGTTGTTTACGCCGCGCCCTCCGCAGCTGCCTCGCGCTCGAGCTCGTGCTAACCCTAACACAGACCCTAACCCCAACCCCAACCCCAACCCGCCGCAGCTGCCTCGCGCTCGAGCTCGTGCTGCGCGCGCACCGCGCAAAGCACGCCGCGGACGCCTCGGCGACGCCCGCCGCCGGCTTCCTCGTCGGCGCCGGCGCCGCGGGCTGCGGCGACGGAGCCGAAGGGCCGACTCTCCCTCGGCTCTTTGTGCGGAAACGCGCCCCTCTCTCGCCCGGGCAAGCAGACCCGGCCGCCAGCTGCGTGTCGGCGGCAAGCTCGCCGCCCGAGGCTGCTGCCGCCGGCGAGGGTCTGGCCGCCCGCGAGGCTTCGGGCGAGGGGCGGCACGAGCGAGGCGGCGACGGGTGGGAGGAGGACGGGTGGGAGGGGCTGCGGCTGGCCGTCCTCTGCTCGCACGGCGTCGGCATCGCCCTGCTGCTCGAGGACGGGTCGCGAGAGTGGGCGGACCGGCGGTGGCACGCGACGCTCCGCGCCTCGCTGAGCTCTGAGCTCGAGGGGCTCGGCGCGGTCTTCGCGGAGCAGGCGCGGCGCGCCGGCGCGGAGGAGCAGTCTCGCCGCTACGTCTCCTTCGACTCCTTCAGCCTCGCGCTCCAGCTGTCTCTCCCGCGGCCGGGCCGGCGCGCGAGCCGGCTCGGCTTGCCCGCGAGCCTCGAGCGGCTGCTGCTGCGGTCCTGGAGCGACCTCGAGGCGGGCGAGGCGCGGCAGGTGGCGGCGCGTGCCGCCGAGGGCTGGCTGCTCGCGCGCGCGTCGGGGAGCCGGCGCCTGTTTGCCCTGGTCGAGTCGAAACACGCTTCGCTCGCGGAGGCGCACCAGGAGGCTCTCGCGCTCACCGCGTCGCACCTTTCGCACATCTTCATCGACGGGTAGGGGGGGTGGACCGACGTAGTTTGCGCTAGAAGGCAACCCAAGTCAGTGTCCTCTCTCTCTCTCTCTCTACGTGGTTAGTTCACATATCCTCTCTCTCTCTCTACGTGGTTAGTTCACATATGGATGACGTTTTTCTTTTCGCAGATCGCCTTCATCATCCATATATTCATCATCATCATACATATATGCATACATGTACATGTTGTATGTGTGCGTCGTTAGGTTCACAGCTTGGCGTTTTTCTTTTCGCAGATCGGCTTCATTTTCACAAAAATGCTGCTTGCGGGATCCTCAGCACTGTCGCTCTCGTACGTCGCTCCCGCGGCGCCGGCGGCGGCTGTCCGCGGCGGTGCCGTGCGCATGGAGTCGCTCTCGGACCTCAAGACCCTCGCGACCGGCCTCAACCCCGTCGGCGCGCGGCGGCGTCGCGCGAGCCCCGCGCTCCTTCTGTCCCCGACCCCACCACCTCCAATCCCCTCCTCGCAGTCGGCTACTGGGATCCGCTGAAGCTGGGCGAGGCGGAGTTTTGGGACAACACCAACGAGGAGACCATCGGCTGGCTGCGGCACGCCGAGATCAAGCATGGCCGCGTCGCGATGGCGGGGTTCGTCGGCTTCATCGTCCAGGCCAACGGGATCAAGTTCCCGTGGGCCCCGTTCAACGCCATCACGTCGACCAGCCCGCCCGAGCAGTGGGACCAGCTCCCAGACGCGCGCGAGCCCGCCCGGCCGCCGCCGCCGCCGCTTCCTCTTTTCACGCTGCGCCGCCCCTCTCACCCGCAGGCCGCAAAGTGGCAAATCATCCTCGGGGTTGGCTTCCTGGAGTGGTGGTCGGAGATCCGGGTGGACGGCACGCCGCACTACATGAAGGGCGGCAAGCCCGGCTACGTGCCCGACTTCGACGCGACGCCCGACCAGCTGCCTCACTGGGCGAGGGGGCGCAGCCTCGCGCCGCCGGCCGGGCGGCGCAGCTCGAGAGTGCGGGGCTGTGACTAGGTTGGCCTCAACCTGTACGACCCCCTCAAGTGGAGCAAGGGCGCGTCCGCGGAGAAGAAGCAGAAGGGCCTCCTCACCGAGCTCAACAACGGCCGCCTCGCGATGCTGGGCATCATGGGCTTCGTCTCGGAGGCCAAGGCGCGCGCCGGGAGGGGGGGGGGGTTGGGGCCCAGGGCGGGAGCGAGGCGCGAGCTTTCTCTTGCTCTAGGTGCCTGGCTCGGTGCCTCTCCTCAAGGGGCTGGTTGCGCCCTACACCGGCGAGGTGATGGCGCCGTTTGCGACGGACATCGACTGGTCCTCGTGGGCGTACATCCCCGGCGCGTAGTCGTAGCGGGGGCTGCTGTGAGGCGTTGTGTGGGTTGCCGCCGGGGGAGGCCGGTCTCTCCGTGTCGCGGCACGCGCAGAGTTGGACCAGGCGAGGCGCGAGGCGTGCTAGCCGTGCGGAGGGTTTGTTGGTACACGAGCGGTGCATCTCTCGGTCTCGCCGCATCTCAGATCTCTCTTTGTTGCAGCAGCACTACTTTACGTGTTTAGAGCAATGAAGGAAATCGAACCCCGAAGTGCGAAGAACCCCCTACACGTGCGCGTCGCGGGGGGGGCGTCGCGGCCTCTTAGGTCGCGGGACGCGGCGGAAAAAAGCGGAGAGGCCGCGCGCGCTGAGCTGGCCCGCGCCCGGCGCGGCCGGCGCTCTCACACGCACTTACAGACTACAGTATAGGCCTCGATTCGTGCACACACACAGATCACAGTCACAAATGTACAGGACGCCTCTCTCCGGCCACCCGAGCGTCACTCCAGCGAGACGACGCTTCGAGCCTGCCACTCCTCTGCGACGCCGCCCCTCCACGCCAGCCGAAAGGCAAAGCTCTGAGCCGCTCACCTCCACGACCTCGCTCGATGCGGAGTTGCCGATGCAGAGGCCTGCGGGGGTGGGGCATGCGTGAGTGCGCTGGCCGGGGCCGGCGAGCTGGAGCGGCGATCGCGCCAAAGCCGAGGACGAGGAGGATCTCGAGCGTGCCGAGAGCGTGGCTCGGAAGGAGTCCATGTCTGCCGCAGCATTCGCCCAGCAGGTTGCAGGCCTGCGCCGCGCCGGTCAGAAAGAGCCCGGTGCCGAGCGCCATGGCGCCGCGCGTGCCGGCGCCCGACATCGCTGCTATCACCCACACGAGCAGGGTGCCGCTGCCAAACGCCAACGCGGCCACGATTCTATGCGCGATCGCGTAATGCGACTCACGCACCGCGCACGTGAGCACGATTCCAATCCCGGTGGCCACCGCAAGAGCGAGGCGGCACCAAAGCATCGGAAGTTCTCTTGTCAGCTCGAGCAGAACAAGCAGCCACAGCGACAGCACGCCAATAAAACCGCACAGCCTCGAGCGTCGGCTGTCGTCGAGCACGGCGGATATGTGCTTAAAGTGCGCAAGGTCGCCGCATCGCCCAGCGTGCCCGTAGGCGGCGGCGAGGAATGAGGCTTGTGTGCAGAGCACGAGAAACGTCAGGACGTGCTCCATCGCAAAGCGGCTTAACCGTGATGACACTGTGATGAAATGCAGAGCTCCAAGAAGAAGAAACCATCGGCGCCATTTTTGCGCCTTTTTGGACTACATTTACATGAAGGGTGGAGGGGCCCGTCTGCAGAGCTAGGCGGCGCGGGCACCCCCCACTGGGGCCGAGGACAAGAAAGAAGCGTTTCCCGTTTGTCGCTTGCTTGTTCTTTTGTTTGTTGATCCAGTCAGTACGCTCTTTGCGAGAGAGAGATTTTTGAAGACCAACAAGAAATCACGACTCTCACAGTGATTTGGGCTCGGCAGCTTGTTAGCCCTCAGCCGAAGCTGGGGCCGGTCCCGTAGCCGAGAGAGCCCGCGCCGATGAGTTCGACGCGGTCGGGGGGCCTTGCGGTCTTGCGGAGAGGCCAGCGGGGTGGCGATCGCTGTACTTCATGGGGGTCATCAAGTGACCGCGACTGACAAGCCAGAAGGTCGATACTCTGGACGACCCATAGATGCCACGAATGCCTGAAGGAGAGGGAGGCGAGGCCAGAGGCAGGCTCAGCTGCTCTCGGGTGATCTCGCTTTGGTGGCCGAAGGACCCGATGGTCCTGTCACATTCGCGTTCCGAGTCGTGGGGGTAGAAGATTGCGGGGGGCATCGAGTCAGCACTTCCTTGTAGTACAGCGGACCGCCAGGCTCGCCGGCAGCATCCGCAGGGAGGCAGCATATGAGGCACCAGTCTTCTGAAGAGCTCAACAGCTGCGGCCGCGATGGCGGAGTCGGCCGCGGTTCGAGCGAGCAGCTTTTGGCTGCGGGATCGCGACGATCGCGGAAGGCTCATGCCCTCGTGGAGCGACGGCCGACGCGGGTCGCGCGGCGCGCGCGTGTGCGAAATGCGACAACAGACGACAGACGCCTGAGCGCTGAGCGCTGTACGACTGAACTTTTGTCGCCGCAATCGCCACCGCCGCCATCTTGACGAGCAGCGCGAGCGCGCTCGTCGGCGGCCAGCCGTCGGCGTCGCGGGCCGGGCCGAGCCCGGCCTCAACCGGCCGCGCCGCCGCAGCAGGCCCGGAGGCCCACATTGCGGCCGACCTGATAAGGAGCTCTCTTCTTCCTTGCGCGCCTGCTTGTTGATGTTTTCGGCGTCGCCCGCCACCGCCGCCTTGGAGATCTGCTGCGTGTGGTGGACGACGAAGGAGGAGGCGCTCGCCGACGCCGCCCCGCACACCGTGCGGTCTGTGTTGGTAAAGAGGAAAGAAAGAAAGAAAGAAAGAAAACAGACAGCCCAAGGGAGGGATGGGAGGACGGCACGCCGCCACCACACAGGGATTTTAAGGAGAGGAGTGTGATGCGCTAGCCGTCGCCCACCCTAGGGAGTCTGCCTCTTCCTATCTCTTTTCGCAGTCTCTCGCCGATTCTCGCTGCAACCTTCATGCCACCTCGCGGCCGTCCCATTCTCGTCGTTCTAAACGGACACGTGGCGAAAACGGGTTTCTTATTCGTATATATGGCGTGCTGCGCGCCGGCAGCGGCGGCGCCATCGGCGGCGGCACCACCTCCCGCGGCGGCACCTCCTCCCGCGGCGGCACCTCCTCCCGCGGCGGCACCTCCTCCCGCGGCGGCACCTCCTCCAGCGGCGGCACCTCCTCCAGCGGCGGCACCTCCTCCAGCAGCGCCGCCGCCCGCAGCGCCGCCGCCCGCAGCGCCGCCGCCCGCAGCGCCAGTGCCCCCGCCGCCGGCGGCAGCGGGCGCGGCGGCAGCGACGGCCCCCGCCCCAGCCGCAGTGGACCCGGCGGCGGCGGGCGCTCGGCAGGCCGCTGGCGCGGCGGTCGCGCCGCTCGCGTCGATGCAGGCGGCCAACCTGCAGGCGGCGAGTATGCAGGCGGCCGCCATCCAGGCGGCTCACTTGCAGGCCGCCGTGATGGGGCCTGCGGCGGCCGCGCCCACCGCGGTTCCACCCGCCGGGCGCAGCGCGGCCGTGCCCTTTTTGGCGCACGATGCGCCGCGGCCCGCGCCTCCCCCGTCGCCCAGCGCGCCGCACGCGTGTCTTTGTTTCGGCGCGTAGGTTGGCGCGGTGACCACCCGGCTGACTGTGACTGTCCCCAGCGGCATCTCGGGCGGCGCGCCTCTCCCTGCCCTCACCCTGCGATGCGCCTCACCCTGCGATGCGCCTCACCCTGCGATGCGCCTCACCCTGCGATGCGCCTCTCCCTGCCCTCTCCCTGCGATGCGCCTCTCCCGGCGATGCGCCTTCCCTGCGCGGGCCCGCCCGCCACGCCGCCGCCGGCCCGACCCCCCCCCCCATTCTCCCCGCTCAGGCGAGCTTGTGCGCGTCGCCGCCCCCGACGGTGAGCCCACTCCTCTCCCTCACTCTCCCCTCCCGCACGTCCTCTCCCCTCCCGCCTCACCCCTCCCGCCTCACCCCTCCCGCCTCACCCCTCCCGCCTCACCCCTCCCGCCTCACCTCTTCCCTCACCTCTTCCCTCACCTCTTCCCTCACCTCTTCCCTCACCTCTTCCCTCACGCACAGAGCTTCCTCCCACACCTCCTCCCACACCTCCTCCCACACCTCCTCCCCCGCCCAGGCTCGTATCACTCCGTCATGGTGCCCGCCGGACTCTCTGCCGGACAGCAGGTGCGCCGCCGCCCTTGCAACACTCCTCCCACCAAGCCGCCCCCTCGCCCCCCTGCCGGCTGGCGGCAAGCTTGCCTCTCTCTCTAGCCTCGGCCCCACCGCCCCGCCCGCCCGCCTCCCCTCCGCCTCAGTTCTCGGTCGAGCTGCTCGCCAACCCCTCCGACGGATGCACCGGGGAGGCGCGCACGCACCAGCGCCCCTCGCCATCGCCTCGCCATCTTCTCGCGCCTCGCCCGCCCTCCTCCCGCCCTCCTCCCGCCCTCCTCCCGCCCTCCTCCCGCCCTCCTCCCGCCCAGCCCGCCGCCCGCCGCCTCTCGCAGATGCACAAGCTGAGGGTCGAGCTCGAGGCGCGGGACCTAGGGTTTGGGTTAGGGTCAGGGTATGGGCATGGGTATGGGTATGGGTCAGGGTTAGGGTCGAGCGCGGGACCCGAACCCCCCCCCCCCCCCCTTTTCGCCGCCCCTCCGCCGCCCCCCCGCCCCGCCCCACGCCCCCCCTCCTCCAGGCGGAGCGGCACTTGCGGCGCGAGACGCAGCAAGAGGCCATCCGCACGCGGCAGGCCCTCGAGGCGCTCGCGCAGAAGCGGCGCGCCGTTCCGCGCCGCCGCAGGGCCGCACCCGCGCCCTCCGCGCGACGCCCCTCTTCTCTCCCGCAGGCGAGCCGACCATGCCCTGCTCCACGAGATGCTGCGGAGGCAACGGCGCTGCATTGACCACCTCACCGCGCAGCTGGGCGCCGCTTGACGCCAGCCGTGCGGCGCTGCGCTTTTGGGGGAAGATAGGGCCCGTGTGGCCGTAGCATATTTCGACGCGTCAAGTGCAAGCTAGCCGCCAGCTAGCCAGCCCGCGCCGCGCAGAGCGGGCGGGGCGGGGTGCTGCTGAGCAGGCACGCTGTATGGGGCGCGGCCCCTGCACAGGAATCAGGAGTGAATCGGCTGCCCCCCTCGCGCTCCTCACTCCCGCTTTCCGGGGGCAAGGCGTGTGAAAGATAGAGAGAAAAGCGTTCCTTTTCCACTCGAACCGGATTCCGGAAAAAAAAGAGTGTGTGTGTCGGAACAAAGAACCCTGCACAAAGATCGCAAGGGCGGGGGCCTGTTCCTTTTTACCCATCTCACAGTAGAGAGGTGTCCGTTTTTATTTATTTATTTATTGGGCCTTGCCTTGACGTTTGTTTCCTAACATGCAATGGCCGCCTTTGGGCGAGCAGCGGGAGCCGAGGTCGTACCTCGCTGCGTCTGCTGGAGCCGCGCACACGCCACAGCCTCCGCCCTCAGCCTCACCGCCGACGGCGCCCTCCGTGGAGCTGGGGCGGTGGAGCCTCCGGCAGTCTGGGCCACGGCGAGGACCTGTCGAACCAGCTGCTGCGGCGAGGACCTGTCGAACCCAAGAAGATCGAGGAGTGGGCGATCCGGGGCCCACAGAAAATCCGATCCGTCGCAGTGCTCTTGCGTTACGGCGGTAGTGATCTAATCACCCGAATGCCACGTTCGGATCGCTTCTCATCGCAAACCCTGTCAGCAGTTCACCCTCGGGTACGTACGTACTTATAGCTTACTGGGAGAAAAGAGAGAGGGGGTTGTGTTCTCTAGGCCCCTAAGGGCCCTACGCGCGGCGTGAGAGCTCGGAAGCGAGCTTTGCACGGCGATCTCTCTCTCTCGGGTATGTTCGTAAGAGCTACATACACTGAAAAACGAAAGCCGGCGCGCCGGACCGCTACGGTGCGCCCCTCCGAGCGGGGTTGTGGCCCATCTCTCCACGCTGGCATGCAAAAGCAGACCGCGCTCCGCCTGTCATAGTACAAACCCAATGGTCCTCTGCGAGCGGTCCTTCGTTGCAGTCGCACACACGCACACGCCACGCCGCACCGCGCGCCCGCCCACCGCCCCGCCCAGGCGGGAAAGAGGTGGGGAGATGGGACAGCGAAGGAGGAGCACGAGCACGTATGGGAGGGTTCAGTAATGCGTCACGCTGCCCGGCGTTTCTCACTTTCCGGGACAGCCCCGCCCTTTCGAGGCGGGAAAGTGACGGCTACCCCGTACGCGCCTGCCGCTCTACTCGTCGCCGACCGCCCATTCTCCCCTCCTCGTTCCCCCCTCGAATGCTCCGGACCCCGACAAGCCGCCCGACGTTGGGCCTCTGCCCCGCACCCTCCAGCCAATTCTTTTTGTGCTGTGCCGCCGCACGGTCGTCGTGAAGATGATCCTGGCTGCGATCAGCAGCAGCCTCTGTCGTCCCGCGCTGCACGCGCGTGCACGGCCGCTATGCTGCGAGGCACACGACGTGCAGCAGGCGCTTGCCGCCGTGCGTCGGCGGCTCGCGGCGGCGGCTGGCGAGGGCGAGGAGCCTCGTCTCGTCGCAGTCTCGAAGACCAAGCCGGTCGAGGCGTTACGCGAAGCGTATGACGCGGGAGTGCGCGACTTTGGCGAGAACTACGTCCAGGAGCTGGTGTCTAAGGCGCCGCAGATGCCGAGCGACGTGCGATGGCGCTTCATCGGCAAGCTCCAGTCGAACAAGGCCAAGGTGCTCGCGCAGGCACGTTCGATCCGCTGCGCTCGCCCGCACATTTGTAGCGCAGCGCACGCACGCTCGGGACCACCGCCTGCGCAGGTGCCAAACTTGGTCGCTGTCGAGACGGTTGACTCGCTCAAGCTCGCCACCCGGCTCGACAGCGCCCTGCGCGCGCTCGAGCGGCCGGAGCCGCTCGCCGTGCTGGTGCAGGTCAACACCTCGCCGTGGGAAGGGACGAAGGGGGGCGTACTCGCAGAGGAGGCGGCCGAACTCGCGGCCGCCGTCGCGGCCGACTGCAAAAGCCTGCGCGTCGCCGGCCTGATGACGATCGGTGCCGCTGGCGACACCGGATGCTTTGCTGCCCTCGCGGCCTGCCGAGAGGCCGTCGCTGCGCGGCTTGCGGTGCCGCCGGAGTCGCTCGAGCTCTCGATGGGCATGTCCGGCGACTTTGAGGAGGCGGCGCGTTCGGGCTCCACCTCTGTGCGGGTTGGCTCCTCCATTTTTGGCGCGCGTGACTACAGCAAAGCCGCGAGGTGAGCGGCTCGAATGGTCAAGTTGGTCCAGCCGTGTCCTCGCTCCTTGTCCTTCTTCCCCCTGCCCCCGCGCCACCCCCGCCGCCCCCACACCACACACGTACAGGGACGTACACACATGTGGCAGCCGCGCGCCGATTGTGCGGTCCGTGCGCGAGATCTTTTTTTCGGCCTCCCACGAAATGATTGCTCCACGTATGAGAGACCATAGGACCGAGAACTGTGTGTGACAACACACGTCTCTGATGTGCTCCAACACAGAACAGTGCTTCTCGCGCAGGAGAGCGCTCTACTCGAAGTCATGAGCAAAGAGGGGGGGGGGGGGGCTGGGTGTGAGAGTGCGAAAACGGGCCGCGCCGGGCCGGAGCGCAGCGGGCGAAGCTCCACTACGAAAGCCGTCGCCCCGCCGCTCGGATCCTGCGAAGGCCAGGGTGCGGTCCCGCGCCACTCCTGGTCACTGGGGGGGCTGGTAGCGTTTGAAGACGAGCGCGGCGTTGTGCCCGCCTGAGTGCGCGGGGTCGCGGCTGAGTGCCGTCGTGCGGCTGCAGGCGGGCGCGCGGCTGGGCGCACCGAAGCCGAGGTTGTCGGTGATAGCAACCTCGATGGGCTTCTCGGCGACGTGCTTGACGTTCGGCACGTAGTCGAGGTCGCAGTCCGGGTCGGGGGTCTGGTAGTTGATCGTCGGAGGCACGACGCCCGTCTCGAGCACCTTGCACACGATCGCCGCCTCGACGCCGCCCGCCGCACCCAAGAGGTGGCCGGTGGCGCCCTTGGTCGACGAGATCTTCATCTTGTAGGCGTGCTCCCCAAACACACGCTTGTACGCCATCGTCTCGAACTTGTCGTTGAGAGGCGTCGAGGTGCCGTGCGCGTTGATGTACTGCACCTCCTCCGGCGCCACGCCCGCCGCCTCCATCGCCGTCTCGAGGCACGCCGCCATCCCCTCCCCCTCCGGGTGCGGCGCGGTGATGTGGTGCGCGTCGCACGTGGCAGCGTAGCCCGCAATTTCGCAGTAGATCTTTGCGCCGCGCCGAAGCGCGTGCTCCTCCGTCTCAAGCAGCAGCACGCCCGACCCCTCGCCCATCACGAAACCCGCGCGGTCCGCGTCGAAAGGGCGGCTCGCCTTTTGCGGGTCGTCGTTCGCAGAGGTGCACATCGCGCGCATCGAGTTGAAGCCCGCAAAGCCGAGCGGAGTGACCGCCGCCTACGGCACGAGCGGACAGCCCTCCCCTCCCCTGCGGCAGCCTCGCGAGCCCGCGCCGCTCCGGCCGCGCCTCGGACCCTCCGGCGAGCATCACGTCGCACTCGCCCCACTGCAGGTACTTGAGCGCCTCTCCGATCGCGTGCGTGCCGGTCGCGCACGCAGACACGATGCCGTAGTTCGGCCCCTGCGCCCCCACCTCAATTGCGATCATCGCGCCGGCAGTGTTGCCGATGATGGAGGGGAGCAGGAAGGGCGAGATCCGCTTCGGCCCCTAAGGAGAGCGAGTCGCGGCCGCGGGCGGGGTCGAACGGGTGGAGGGGCGGTGGGGGGGGGAGGGGAGGAGGAGGAGGAGGGTGGACGGGCTACTGACGACGGCTCTGCGCGCCGCGTCGGAGTGTCTGGAAGATGTCTGGGGAGGTGTCTGGGGAGAGTGCAGGACGCGAGCGCCGTGCGGAGGAGGGGCGTGGAAGTGTCTGGCAAGTGCGTGGAGGTGTGTGCAGCAAGTGTCGAGGAGGTGTCCGCGCGCCTTGTTGAAGAGGATGTCGCAGCTGCGCTCGACGGCGTCCAGCCCGCCCACGCCGGAGCCAACCAGGACTCCGAAGCGCTTCGAGTCGAGGTCCTGCCCGCAGCCATACTGTGAGCTACTGCAAGTGACAAAAGAGGCCCTCCCCGCAGCGGGGCCCGGAGGGAGGGCGTGCACCGCCCCCCGGCCGGGCTGCGGCACGGAGGGAGGAGGGAGGAGGCGGGGTGCCGCCGGCCGGAGGAGGGCGGCCGGTTGAGGTGCAGAGCAGTGCGCTCGCTCGCCTTCGGGTCGCAGCCGCCGTCTTTGAGCGCCATCTTGGCAGCGGCCATCGCGAGGTGGGAGTAGCGGTCCTGCCGCTTGGCCACGTTCGCATCCCAGTAGTCGCTCGGCTCAAAGTCCTTCACCTCGGACGCGATTGTGGTCTGGTGCGGGGAAGGAGGGAGTCAGAGGTGCAGAGGCGCTGCGGCGGCGGGACCGCTGGCCCACCCACCCCACCCGGCCCGCCGGATGGGATGTGTGAGATGCGGCCACTCCTCCCGCGGGCTCGCTGCGGCGCGGGCGGTGGGAGGGCGTGTGGTGGGAGGGCGTGCCTGGTGCGTCGTCTGCTTGGTGGAGCCGTCGCAGTTGAAGCGGGTAATCGGATGGATGCCGCACTTCCCTTCGCAGAGGTTGTCGAAGAAGGTGTGCGCGTCGTGTCCGAGCGAGGTGAACGTGCTCAAGCCCGTCACCACCACCTGTGGACGCCGGTTTGCAGAGGGTTAGGACAGGGTCAACAATTAGCCGCCACGAACGTCGGGGCCGCGGCTTGGCTGGCAGGCTGGTTGGCGAGACGCTGCGCGAAGCGAGGGTGGCAGAGGCGACGGAGTGGCTGGACTGCCGCCGCCGAGACTCGCCGCGCGGCTCGGAGCCTGTGTGGTGTGGAGCGGGCGCCGGCAGCTCGCCTTCTGCTTCCCAGGTCTGCTGGCCTCTGACGCCACGACCGCTGCCCCGGCACGCACACGCCGCTCGCCGGCCGCGGACTGCCACCCCCTGTGCACGACCGGCAGCAGCCCCTCGCTCGCGCCCACCAACAGGCTGCAGGCGAGCAACCGCATTGCTCCGAAGAGCTCAGAAGCGAGCCTCGCGAAAGAAAAACCGCGGCCCTGGAGCAGTGTAAACGACCTGTCCCCCTGATCGTTCTTCCAAAATCCTGCTCGTGCAGGTGGGGACCCTGTCCTCGTCCCATCCCTCGTTTGGCGTGTCTGTTTTCTTTCTTTCTTTTCTTTAATCCTCGTTTGGCTTGTCTGTTTTCTTTCTTTCTTTCTTTCGGGGTGTCCGGTCCGGGGAGCCCCGCGCATAGGACAACAACGTCTGTCCCACACACGCACAGACGCGCACATACATCATGCTCGGGCACCCGCGGCCCACAGTGTAGTGGTGTGTGGTGGGTCGGGGGCTCGGGGGTTGTGTTTTTCTGTGAGCACACAAATACTCTAGCAGAGTGCACACCTGCCTTGGCGGGTGAGGGTCGTAAGAATCAAAGCCTCTTGGTGCCAAACGTGCTCAAGCGCGCCGTCGGCGCCGAGAAGAGGAGACGGTCTACACTCGAGGGAGTTAGCGAAACCGTCGCACGGGCAGAGGCCAGAGGGGAGCTGAGACCGAGCGGCGTCCGGCAGTCCGCACCGCCTCGCAACCCGGCTCCGAGCGCCACTGCGCTGCAGCGCGCTGGGCGGCACGCGGCGTGCCGCGCGTGCGATATAATTAGGATATGATATATTGCCGGTGTGTGGAGAATCACAAAGAAAACTCTACCTCGTGCTCTCTCTTGGGGTTTTCTCTTCGCTCTCTTGTGTCTTGACTCTTTTGATTCTGTTATGATGGATACTCTTGGCGTTGGTTGGGTCGAATGACGAGGAACACAGTCGGGAGCCACCCCACGCGACGTTCGCTCGAAACCGCCACGCCGTTCGCTCGAAATCCGACCAGCAACCACGCCGTTCGCTCAATATGCTCCTCACTCCGGTTGGCTCCGTCTAGCCTGCGTCTCCACCCGCCCCACTCTCTCTCCTCACTGCGCCTTTTGCTTGGCGGCACCGCCGCCGCCTCCGCCGCCTCCAAAGTACCCCAGCCGCAGCAGCGTGTAGATGACAAAGGCGCACGTCGACGCGGCGTGCCCGCCCAGCTGCCTCGGCGCGAGCGCCTCCGCGCCGCGCGCCGCCTGGAAGAGGACGAGCGAGCCGTTGCGCGCGATGCCGAGCAGCTTCATCGTGACGGAGCCCGCCACTTTGATCGCGAGCAGCGCGCCGAACTGCAGGCCGAGCCCGAGCGCCGAGGCGCCGAGGAAGGCGAGCGGCGCGCCGAGCACGGCGGCCGCCGCCCTCGCGCGGTGCTCCGCCGAGTCGAGCTCGACGGCGGCCGAGGCCGCCAGCAGGCACAGCGACTGGTACGGCGCGACGTGGTGCACCATCTCGACCAGCGGCAGCGGCGCGCCGGCGCCCGCCGAGAGGAGCCGCTGCGCGAGGACGACGCGCACCGCCTCGGCGAGGTTGGCCGAGAGCTGCAGCAGCAGCCCCAGCCGCGGCAGCGCAATCTCGCCGCGCGCCGCGACGGCGGTGCCGCAGCACATGAGCAGCACGCAGCCGACGACCGGGGCGCGCGGCTCCTCGAGGCGCAGGGCGTAGGAGAGGCCGAGCGTGATGGCGGGCGTGAGCGCCTTGAGGATCTGGCACGTCCCGACCGTGAGGTGCATGTACGCCGCGTTGCCTACGCGCGCACCGCCCGCCCGGTGAGGGGCGCAGCGCGGGCGGGATGGGACGGCACGTCGCGGCGGGCGGGCCTAGCGCGAGCGTGAGCGCGGCGAGCGCGGCGAGCGGCAGCGTGGTGCGCCAGAAGAAGGCGCGCGACTGGGCCAGCTCGGGCCGTGTCAGCGGCACCAGCCGCGTCAGCGTGAGCAGGCGGCAGCACGCGGCGGAGAAGGTGACGCCGAGCGCGGAGAGCGCAATCGGGTAGGGAAAGTGGAGCCCGTGCAGGATGTGGTTGTTGAGCAGGATCAGCAGCGGACCGAGGGTCATGTAGCCGCCGCACGCGGCGAAGGCGTACAGAGGGCCGGCCAGCCCGGGCGCTGGCGCAGCGGCCATCCCGAGGATTGAGTGGCGCGGCTGTCCGATGGCGCCAACACGCAGGCGCCAGTCGGACGCCAACGAGAAGTGGAAAAGAAAAAGCTTGTCCCCATGAGGACGGCAGAGAACCGTACCACATGATGAAATTCTGCAAAACCTGGCCGGCCCCTGCCCTGCCACCCCTACCTAGCTACCTACCTCCCTCCCTTCCTTATGGGGAACTAAAAAAGAAATCAAAGGATGAGTGAAGGTGGGGTATACTATACCAACAAAGTGATGGCTGGTGGTACTCTCCTGCAACCACAGTCCTTCCTGTGACATGGCTCATGCATGGGTCATGGCAGGCCACTCTCAAGCCCTACAAGCACCAGATCACACACTTGGCTCTTGGGGAGGGAGGTTGACATCGTGATTTATGCGGAAAACTTCTTTTTCTGCTGTGAAAATTCCGGCGTGAAGAGAGGGAAAACCCCGACGGGAGGGCCCAGACCTACCCTACCTACCCCGTCATGACGTACGGCCAAGCAAAAATAACAGACACCTGCCCTGCACAACCAGGTTAGAGAAGAGAGAGAGAAAAAGCGGATACAAAACAAGAACACAACGCACTCTCTCAAGAGAGATTTTTAGCAATACCACATGACAAGCGATCCCACGACAGCGATTGTGGATTTCTCTCTCTCTCTCTCTTGGCGATTGTGTGTGGGGGACTACATGATCCAAAAGAGGTTACTGGCACGGCACCCGCGGCAACTCTCTCTCTCCCGCGGCGCTCCTGTGCTCGCGACGTGCCCGCGCTGCGCGTCGGTCGCGACCTACGCGCCGGCGCTCGGCGCACCCAAGTCCAAGCTGGAGTTGATCGTTGCTTCCCTGCGGCGAACGCTCTCGGGCCGGGACTATTGGCAAAAGAAAGAAAGAAAACAGCCAAGACAAGGGAGGGATGGGAGGACGGCACGCCGCCACCACACAGACCACACTCTCGTATTGGCTGCGGTGTTTTTCTCGTTTCAGGCCTGCATTTGAGTCACCCCTCTGCCTCTTCTCTTTGCCTTAGCTCGCCTCTCGCCTCTCCGCCTCGCGCTCAAATGCTCTCCTCACTCCAGCTGGTCGAGCGCGCCGAGGAGGCGACGCACGCGCAGGAGGACGATCTCGACGAGCCGGACCTCGGCCGGCTCGTGGTCATCCGCCGCTCGGGCCAGGACGGCGGCTCGTGCCCCGTGGCGCCAAGGCTGACCTTTGGCAGGCGCGTCGGCGATGCCCCGCCACCTGTGCGCGCCTCCGCGCCGATCCGACGCGCGTCCACCCCGCCCGCTCGCGCAGGGACCCCAACGAGTGCGACATCGTGATAAAGCTGCCCGACGTCTCCAAGGTGCACGCTCGGCTGGTGGCCACGGTCGCCGGGACGACCGTCGAGGCGCGCCGTAGAGCCGAGGAGCACAGCCCGCTCACCCCTCACGACGCGCCACAACGGCTGCGTCGCAGGTGTGGCTCCACAACCTCACCAAGACCAACCCGCAGGGAACGCTCGTCAACGGCGCCCCTGTCGAGATCAACGGCAAGCGGCTGCTCCAGTCGGGCGACGTGATCGCCATCAACGAGCGCAAGTTCCGCTTCGAGTCGCCGCCGCCGCCGGTGGCGCTGGCAAAGCCGCGGGCGCCCACGCCCAAGCGGACCCCGAGCGGCTCGCCCAAGCGGCGGGCCGCCAGCGAGAATGCTGGCACCCAGCGGGCGGCGGCCACTCCCCTCGGCCGTGCGGGCTCCTCGCCCTCCCTCCGCTCGGCGCTGCGCGCGCGGCGCGCGGCCGTGGACTCCTCCCCGGACGAGCCGACTTCGGCGCCGCGCGGCGCGCCAACGGCGGCGTCGTCTCGCCGGCCGAGCCCCTCGCCCCGCCGCCGCTGCGCGCCGGCCGCGCCAATCGAGCAGCCGGCGGCCGTAACGGCGCAGCCGGCCGCCGAAAAGGCGCAGCCGGCCGCCGTGGCGGCGGTCGCGCTCCCGGTGGGTCTGCTCGAGGAGCTGGCATCCCGCCGGCCGGCATCCGCGGCGTCGACGCCCGACGTGGGGACAGCCGCCGCCGCCCCCTCGCCCGCGGCGGCCAAGCTGTCTCCAGCCGGGCCGTGGCCGCGCGTCGCTCGCCCGGCTGCGTCGCCGCGCATCGCAAGGCCTTCGCCCGGCTCGAGCAAGCTGGCCGTGCCCGGCAAGTCGCCCGCGCCTTTCCCCGCGGCCACTCCGGCGCCGCAGGCAGCTGCGCCCTCAGTCGACGACGTCATCGAGGAGATCTTCTCCGCAGCCAAACCCACGCCCGTGCGCTCGGCGCGTGCAGAGTCCACGCGCGCATCGCTTTGCGCGATGATCCGCGGCCGCCCGTCTAGCGGCCGCAAGTCACCGCACGCGGCCAAAGCGCCAAAGCCGGCCACGCCCAAGCCCGCCGCCGCCCTGGCTCCCGCCGCCGCCGCCGTGGCTCCCGCCGCCGCCGCCCTGGCTTCCGCCGCCGCCGCCCTGGCTCCCGCCGCCGCCGCCCTGGCTCCCGCCGCCGCCGAGCCGGCTCCCGCCGCCGCCGAGCCAGCTCCCGCCGCCGCCGAGCCAGCTCCCGCCGCCGCCGAGCCGGCTCCCGCCGCCGCCGAGCCGGAGCGTGCCGCCGCCGAGCCGGAGCGTGCCGCCGAGGTGCCCGAGCCCAACATCGATCCCGGGCTCGACGCCGCCGTTGGGCCTGCGCCGATGGACGAGGAGCCGACCACCGCCGCGCCTGCGCCGGCAGCCCCCGAGCCGGCCTCAGCCCCCGGGCCGGCTGCAGTCCCGTTGCCGGTCGCAGCCTCAGAGCCGCGGAAGAAGAAGCCGCGCTCGTCGCTGGCCGGGCTCGGATCCGGCGCACGGAAGGGCCGCGGGCTGCGCGTCTCCTTCGGCTCGGCCGTCGAGCGCGCGCACTTCTCCACGGCATCGCCCGCCCGGCTTCTCCCCTCGTCGGGCCGCGTCGTCCTGTCGCCGGCCGACCTGCTGGTGACGCCGGCGCCGCACGAGGAGGCTGCGCACGAGGAGACGGCCGGCGCCCTCGTGCTGCCGGTGCCGGTCACTGGCGAGCCTCTTCCACTCGTGGAGCCCCCTTCCCAACCCGCATCGCAGCCTGCAAGCGCCGGCCAGCCATCGGCGGAGCCTCGCCGGCGGTCCGTCAAGTTCCAGCGCACCTCGGAGGACAGCCTGCGCATCTCGTCGACCGAGCTCGACAGTGGGAGGTGCCCCCCTCCCCTCGCCCCCCTCCCCTCGCCCGCCCGCAGCGCGCGTTGCAGCAGCTCTGCCGCCCTCGTGGTCTCCCCGTATCTGTTCACCCGTTGCGCCCCCCCACCGCCTTGCAGCGGACCGCACTCGGAGCGCAAGCGCAAGCCGGTCCGTGCTTCGTGGGAGCAGACGCCGGGGGCGCGCGCCGGCGAGCGGCGCTCTTCCAAGACGCCCGCGGCGGCCGCCTCCACGGCCTCGAAGCGGCGCCCGACCCCGGCGACCAACGCGCCGCTCACGTCCGCTTCAGACGCCGACCGCCCGTCTTGCACGCCAGCGCCGAGCTCGGGGCTTGGCGCAGCGCTGCGCGCGCGCTTCACCCCGAGCGCGGCGTCGATGGTCAACGGGCTGCTCGAGGGGCAGTTCACCCCATTGTACACGCTCTCCTCGCCCGACTCGACGGCCGGCATCTCGCCTGGCACGATGCACGCCTTTGGCCTCTTCGCCGTGGGAGAGTTCGCCATGGGAGAGGGTGGCGCGACGCCTGCGCCGAGCGCGGCAGCCTCGCCCATGGAGGTGCCGCCCTTCTCGCCGCCAGCCGTGTCGCCGCAGCCGCCGGGGGGACGGGTCAACACACACCTGCGCTTCTTGACGCCCGACGCTGACGGCGCCGACGTGTGGGCCGGCGTGATGCGCTACGAGGTGGTGACGCACCCGCCAGGCTCCGCCAAGGCTGCCGAGGCGACTCCCGTCTCGATGAGCCTCTGGGGGCCGTGGGAGGAGGTGCAGCAGTGGGAGGGCGAGTACGAGGGCGAGTACGAGGGCGAGTACGAGGGCGAAGAGGAGTACGGCGAGGAGGAGTACGGCGAGGAGTACGGCGAGGAGGGCGAGGGTTGGCCGGTGCAGGAGGTTGCACTCGACGACGAGGTCTACTTCATCTCTCCGGGCGTCTCGCTGCGGCGCCGGGGCGCCCACCTCCGCTTCCCCAAGTCGCCCGCTTCTGCGCGCGACCCCTCGTCGACCAAGTCGCCCGCAAGCGAGGCCTCGCGGCAGTCGACCCCGCAGCCGGCCGGCGCCGCGGAGGAGACGCAGCCAGCCGAGGGCCAAGAGGAGAAGCAGGAGGAGGCGGCGCCCCCTGTCGAGGCGATGAACGAGGCGGGCGCGGCGGCACCGGCCGAGGCGATGGGAGATGCGGAGATGACGCAGCCGGAGGAGGAGGCTCCGGAGCTGGTGTCAGTGTTCGGAGTCTGCGGCGTCCTATCGAGCACGCGCGGGCCTGTGCACGTGGCCGGCAAGGAGGCGGAGGCGGAGGCGGAGGAGGAGGAGGAGGAGGGGGAGGCGCCGGGCACTTGCACCTCGGTCCGCTCGATGATTGTGCACCCGGACCTCTCCCCGGACGGCGAGCCGCTCGACTGTGGCAGCGAGGAGGAGGCTGGCGACGAGGGTACGGAGGAGGGGCTGCCTGTCTGTCGCCTGTCCTTCACGCCGTCCGGCGCGGCGTCTGCTCCGCCGCAGCCGATGACGCCAGCTGTGGCCGAGGACGCCCCGGCGCCTGAGGCCGCCGGCGTGGGCGCCTCTGTGCTGCTGCCGACCCGGGCTTCGTTGGGTTCGTCGCGCCGTGCGTCGCAGCGCTACAAGGCGAAGGAGGTTTCATCGGAGCGGACGGCCTCCGATGAGGAGCTCGGCGCGCGCTCGAGCCTCTCTCGCCCATTGCGGCCGACGGACACGCTTCAGTCCGCCTACTCCATCGTGCTGCCGTCGCCCGGGAGTGCGCGCATCGGCTCGTCCATCGCGGCGTGGCCGCCATCTGCCGGAGAGGAGGAGCGCGAAGAGCGCGAGGAGGGCAGCGAGGAGGAGGCAGACAGTGAGGAGGAGGAGGGCAACGAGGCGGCGTCGGACGAGGAGGCGCTGCAGGAGCCGCCGCAGGAGGATGGCAAGGAAGCCCAGCGCGACACGGCACCCGTGGACGCACCCGATCCCGCGGCTGTCGTCTGGGAGGAGGGCGCGGCGGCTACGGCGGCTGAGAGCGAGGATGCTCCGCGCTCCAGCGGCGGACGCCGGACAAGCTGTGCCAGCATGGACGGCCTACTCTCTCCGGAGCTGTCGCTCGAGCTGCAGGAGATGCTCGAGCCGGGCTCCGTCTCGCGCGAGATGCTGCTGCCCTCCTCGCCAGCGCAGGACCCCACAGTGCGCGACGACGAGTTTGGCTCTGCACGCCGCACGCGCTCCGCGCGCAAGCTGGCCGCGCCTGCGTCGACCGCGCTCCCTGCCGATGCGGACGAAGCGCTCAAGCCGGACGCCGAGGCCGAGTGCTCGCCGGACAGTGTCGCGCCCGCCGTGTCCGGTGCCGACAAGCTCGCGTCGCCGGAGAGGAGCGGCAAGGGTCTGGCGGCGGACACGCGCTCCCTGCTCGAGGCCCTCCGTGTGGCCCAGCTGCGCGAGCGGCTGGATGCGATCGGACTGCCGAGCGCTGGCAAGAAGGCGGAGCTGGTCGAACGGCTGCTCGAGGCGCTGCCGGGCGACGCAGCGGTGCCGGCGGCCGCCGCCGTGTCGGAGGCGGCGTTGGCGGCCGCACCGCCGAGTGGCGAGCACGAGCGTGCGATGCTCGCGGGGCTAAAGGTCGCCGAGCTGCGTTCTCTGCTGGAGGGTGCTGGCCTCGCTGTGGCAACCAAGATCACCAAGGCGGAGCTGCTTCGCCAGGTTGAGGCGGCGGCCGCAGTCGGCTCCCTCTCACTGGAGGCAGATGCCGACGCCGCAGCCGCCCCGCCGATGAGCCAGTCCCGACCGAAGCGCGCGCGTGCGGCCGTCGAGGAGACGCCAGCTCCGGTCAGTGCCTCAGTGCGCAAAGGCAAGCGCGCAAAGGCGATGGCGGACGAGGAGCCGCCAAGCTCTGCGCGTCGCAGCACACGCGCCCGGCGCTAGGCTACTCTCAGGCCACAAGGCTTGCGCCGAGCCCTACGGGGCAACGAAGGGGGGAGGGCTCTCCGATAGTGTCTGGTGGGGTGACTCCCGGACCCGGAGATCGAGGGGTTACTACAGGGCGGCACTGCGCCCCAGGGAGGGGGCAAGGTGGGGGGAGGGAGGAGGCCTCGGCTTTTGCCTCGGCTCGTACGTGAGATCATCATCTCGCACCGGACATCGACCATCGTTGGTGGGCGCGTATTCGTGGACGGACACGCATGTGCGCGCGATGAATGTGTGCTGCTGCTGGGGTTTCCCTTGAGTTTGTGGGCACAGGTGTCCCCTCTTGAGTTTGACGTCCGTGTCGGTCACTCGGTCGGTCTCTCACCGACTCTGACATGCATGATGCAAACACGCAATTAATCCCGATATTACAGTTTGTACAGAGGCGCCGAGCAGCGTCCAGCGAGCACGGGGGGCGCCCCGTGTAGAGCTGTTTATAGTTTAACGTTTTGGGAGCTGAACAGTGTTGCTAGTGTTAACAGTAACAACAGAACAACAGTGGGGCTCCCCAACAACAGTAGCTAACGTTAGGCCGGCTGAACAACAATAAGGAAGGCCTGGCAGTGACCCACGACGATCTCTAGTGTCCAGTGCGGGTAATACCCGAAAATACCCGGAAAACCCCAGGTATTTTCGGGTTTTACCCGGGTTTTTGGCATTTCTGCTTGCTGACCGCTGAACAACAGTAACAACAGTAACAACAGTAAGAGTAACAAACACGAAACAGTAACAGCATGGGCTGGGGTGAACACTTGAACAACGTTAAGGATTTCAGCCAACACTAGCGCAACTGTTAGGCCCAAAGTTAATGTTACGTAAACAGCTCTGAGCCCCGTGTCGCGTGTGGGTGGTGCGGCCTGCGCCCGCCGCGCGCCGGGTCTCGCGCCACCGCCAGCCGCCACACGCCCACGGGCACGGCCAGCGCGCGCGCGGTGTCGGCGCTCCTCTCGGTCTGGCGGTCTCGCTCTCGGCACTCGAAGTGGCACTCGCGGGGTCCGCCAGTGCGCCAGACCCCCCCTCCGGCTCCGCACACCGTGGTGTCACGCCGGTGTGTCGGGCCCGCGCGCGGGACGTCAATTTAAAGAACACAACTCTCTCTCACAGCTGAGGAAGAATTTGAGCCTTTTCATCTGTTACCTGTGAGGGTCCGCCCGCAGGCGCATTTTGAAGAAACAGATACCTCGACAAAACGTCAACGACCTAGTCAACGACACCTCGCCGCGGTGATGGAGCACGTGCAGGCATGTGGCCATGTCGCATCCACATGCACACGTATGTGATCTGTGATCTGTGAGGGTCCGCCCGCAGGCGCATTTTGTATACCGAGGCGGTGCCCGGTGCCGAGCGCAGGCCGGAGCCCACAGGTCGGACCTTAAGACAGCGTTGTAGATCCCTGGGCGAGGGTGGTGGAGAGGCACACGTATGTTTTCAGTTGTTTGGAATCCGACGGGGCCGGACGCGACGGGGGGTGGGGGGGGGGACAAGCGGCGGGAAAGGGGGGCAAGGGGGCAACGCGTCCATTGCATTCCCGCCTCCGGGGCAGGCACGCACCTCACCCACACCTAGACCCACATTAGAGTATCGCGCAGCGCGAATCGATGGATTTTCTTCTTATCTGTGAATCATAGACTAGCTGGCGCCACGACCCACGAACGAGTATTTCCTTCCGTCAAAATGTCTGTGAACAGCCGCACAGCGAGGCAGGGAGGTAATTCTTCCAGTCCGCATCCATGTCGTGCTCGCGAGCTTTTCTTAGAACTTCAATTTACTTGGAGCACACGGAGTCGGAACGTATTGTCTTCTCTCAATAACACGGCCTGAAAAACTTTCCTCACCTCGAGAGGAGTGTGTGCCGCGCTGCGTTTTCGCTCTCCACGTACACGTACGCCAGATGAGTCGACACTGTCAGTCGTTCGAAGTAGCCCTAGTTGATACCGATTGGAAGGGATGGACTTGCGTCGGTAGCGCTGCGCATGCAGCGGCCGAGGCCTCCAACAGCTTAGCGAGTTCGGCGGTGGATGGCTCTGCTCAGGCACCGCATCACGCAGTTTTTCGACAGTTTAAACCCTGGCAGGGAACTCTGGGCAGCGACGCCGTCCTGGTCGATTTTCTTAATTTCACAATCCCGCGAGTGCGCTATTGCAATCCGGCGTATCGCGACCAAAACCGCACGCAGGCAATACGAACGCGGCAGTGTGACTTGTACAGAGCACTCCATGAAAGCGCCACGCTGCAAGTGCAGACTCGCTGGCCAGTCGTAGCAGAGGAATACATCGAATACGTGGATGTGCTCTCGGCAGCCTCTGACTACGTCGCTGAGGCTCGCCCTTTCGCAGGTGGCCTGGCTCACGCGATGAGCTAAAAAGAAGAGCCCGCCTGCTCCCTCAGGTTGTCGCAAACACTTCAAAGGGGCAAGGCCGACGCCGCCGAGGTCATCAACGTCCTTTCACTTTCATCGAGCTTGGGTGTGGGTACGGGCACTGGACGCTAGCTGCGCATGCTGCACTTCGGCAGAAGCTGCCCGGTGGCTTTCCGCACAGGCGTGTTGCTGGAGCCATGACACCATGCTCATCGCCCGATGGGCACCGACACAGACGATGTAATCACGCCTTAGGTACCTACTTGTTGACGTGCTCGACGGCCTGGCGCCGAGCATCGCCGAACTGGTCCGCCTTAACGATGTTAACCCCTCCAGCTTAGCCTTTCACGTTGGCTTTGTCTCCGGCGGCCTGCCCACTGGCGACCTTTTGCCGCAGCAACGGAGGCGCGCTGTCCGGATGGCGACTGCGTTCTCTCGTCTATGGGGTGACGGCGTGGTGCATGGCGCCCAAACCAGCTCGCTGGCATCCAGGCCTGCCAGGCTCGACTCGCTTCTTGAGGTGTACGCGATCCCGTGCCCGGTCGACATGCTCGACATCGATGTGCAAAACGACGAGTACGCGCTGCTGGACGAGAGCACGGTCGCGATGCTGACGCGGATAGCACGCCGCGTCCACGTCGGTCTGCACGGTGCGCATCGAGGCGAGGAGGTTCGACGCATGGTGCGGCTCTTTCGAGAACGCGGCTGGCAGGTCACGCATCTGCACCCACCGGCTAGCCAGCACGAGTCGGGGCCTTGGGGGCGCTTCGAGACAGCCGACGGCATCGCTTCGTTCGTGAACCCTTCGTTGCTGTGCGGGTGGTGGTCCGCCCCTCGCTTTTGGTAGAGGCGGGCTCCGCAACGTGCGAGAGGACGCTTGCTCACGTTGTCGAGAGACGGGGGGAGCTCCATATGGGCTTGCTCAGCCTCAGGGGGGGGGGGGCCGCGCAGCGGCCAGCGGGCCGGCCGCGGGGCCAACGAGCAGGAGAGGCGAGAGCGGCAGCCAGGATCTCTCCCGGCTCCCGTCCCGGCTACACAAAACGGCTCGTTTGTGTGCGTTGTATGTGTATATACGTGTAACCATTCACGTCTTCCATAAGCCCTGAATAATAGAGGCAGCCCACAACCTTAGTACCTCAGTCACAACTCCAGTTCGCACATCTCCGGCAGCTGATGAGATCCGACAAGCGACGACACATTGAGGACATCCGGTGTTGCGTCGAAAAGCTCAGACCGGTGCGATCATCGGCGCAGTTTCGCTCTTGGAGCTCTTGTTCTTCTTGCCAAGAGCCGCCAGTTGCCGGAAGCCGGCCCCGCTCCGAAGCACCCTCGCGGTCATCATCGGGCAGCATCGGCCGCACGTACGCTCGCACAACCCTGGCGTCACGGGCTCGGGCGGTGGCGGCAACACGCCGAGCCGCGCCTCGAAGCGCGCGGCCGAGATGAGGCCGCGCGGGTCAACGCCGACGACGCTGAGGAGCGCGGCCGCTTCGGTGGCGGAGAGCGGCGTGCTCGTCACGTGAGGACAGCTCACGGCGCGCAGCAACGTCTTTGCGCGCATCTGGCCAGGGAGGCAGCCGAGGAGCTCAAAGGCGGCGCTGGTCTCACGGGTGGTGATGTTGACGAGCTCCTCCATCCGGTGTGGGGCCGTCGGGCCGCTCGCGTCGCTCGCATCGCTCGCAGCCGCCGCTGTCGCATCGGCCAGGCCGAGGATGCCGCCCTCGAGCGGCGAGCGGAGAACCGCCTCGAGGAGCAGCATCAAAGAGCGTGGCTCTTCGCCGCGCCTCATAGCACTGGCCAGTTTCCGGAGGCGAGCGCGCGGGACCAGCATAAGGCCGCGCTCAATCGCCGTCGCGCCAAGTCCTGTCAGACCCGCCGGGCCACTGGAGCCACCGCGGGCGGCTTCCCAGGAAAAGGCGGCAACACCTCCGCCTCCGCCTCCGCCATCATCCGCCCCGCCTCCTCCCGCTCCGCCATAGCGGTCGGCGACCGGTTCTTGCTCACACGGTTGGCAGAGCATGCTCAACGTCGGTCTCGCGTCGCCCAGATCGTCGGCCGCCCCATCGCTCTGTGCTTGCGCCCCCTCGCTGACTTTTGGCGAGCTGCCTCTGCTGCCCGCCGCCTCCTCCGCAGACGCCTGTATGGCTTCGATGCCAGCCGTCGCCGCCTCGAGAGCGCGGTGGAGGCGCCACGCCTGCACCAGCGCCTCGGCTGCGTGGCGCAGCGGGGCGAACTTCTCGTTCAGCGAGAGCTCGTCGGCGAGCGCAAGAGGCGCCGTTGGGCAGGGCGGCGCCTGCGCGCGCAGCTCCCGCGCGCGGTAGATGGCGGCGCAGAGCTTGGCGTACACGTCGGGCGTGTCGGCGCCCGGGAGCGCGCCCGTGACGTATTGCGGCAGGATCGACAGGGTGTACTCGTGCCCCGGGAAGAGGAGCGTCTCCGGGGGGCACGAGCGCCACAGCTTCGCGAAGGTCGAGACCATGTCGTCGGCGCAGCCTTCGAAGGGAGCGCCGCAGCCGCCACAAAAGAGGACGTCGCCCCCGAAGAGCGCCGAGGGCGAGCCGCGCACGAGGAAGGCGGTCGAGCCGGCGGTGTGGCCGGGGGCGGAGAGCGCAACCACGCGCAGCGAGCCGACGCGCACCTCGTCGCCATCGCGGAGGGGGTGCGTGCAGCCCGAGACCGCGTCCACCTCGCCACCGTACACGCGAAGCGAGCGGCCAAACTTTTCGCGCAGCGGCACGTTGCCCGCGGCGTGGTCCCAGTGTTTGTGCGTCGTCAGGATTGCGACTGGCCTCAGCGCCGCCCCGCCGTAGTGGTCGCGCGACAGGTCCGACAGAGCCGCTAGGACGGCCGTCGGGTCCGACGGGTCGACGAGAGCGACCGGGCGGTCCGCTGCGTCGGGTCCTATGCGGCATGTCCAGGACACGTCACCGACATGTCTAGGACGGGTCACGGGGGCGGTCTGCTGCGTCGGCGCCGCCCGACCGGTCGACGAGGACGTAGCAGTAGTTGTCGAGCAGACAAGCCACCGTGTGCACCGTCCACTCGCACGCACCTTCTCGCTGCGCCTCCTCCTCGGCGAGCCGGAGACGTCCTGGCGCGCTCGAGTCGGTCGGCCAGCCGGACGCTGGGCGTCGGACGACAATCCCGCCTCCTGCTGCTGCTGCGCCGCCGCCGCCGCCGCCGTCACTGCTGCCGCCGCTGCCGCTGCCGCCGCCGCTGCCACCGCCACCGCCATCGCTGACGAGTACGGCCGCTGCCGCCGTCGCCAGACTCTCGCCACGGCCCTCATGGTCGCTCCCGGCACCGTCGCCGACGGATGGCGGAGAGCACGGCGGCGTGTGTTGCGGCCCGCTCGGCGACACCGCCGCCTCGTCGTGCGACTCGTTGCTGAAGGGGTCGTCCTCGAACGGCCAGGCTGTGCCGTCGGCGACAAGGTCCACCTTGATTGAGCGCGAGTGAGGCTGCGAGTTGAAGGCCACGCGGTGGACCAGCCGGAAGGCGTACACGTGGACCATGCCGAGCCGTGTCGGGTACACGTGCTTCATGACGCGTGGCATCACCGCGTAGAGCATCAGCATCCCGATGCCCTGCAGCAGCAGCGACGGCAGCACCCACACGAGCACCGCCAGCAGCGCAACCACCGTCGCCAGGCACAGACTCCAGCTCTTTACGGCAGGGCCGCACTGGCAGCGCGGGCGGGGAGCAACTTGCACAGGCGAGCGAGGCCCCGCGGCCGGGTCAGCCATCCGGAAGTTGAGCGTGCCGAGCTCCACCGTGGAGGTCGAGATGGGCATAGGCTACCCAGCGGATGCCCGGCCGCTGCGGTAGAGCGACTCCGCCAGCGGATGCCCGGCCGCTGCGGTAGAGCGCCTCGCAAGCAGCAGGAGAGCGCGCGGAGCTTTTATTTTCTTTTCTTCTACCCTTATGCAAGTCCAGCGGTCTTTCGGAGGGGCTTGCCTTATTAGAATTCTTTTTCACAGAGGACGACGAAGGAGGCGAAGGGGACGACCGCGAGGTGGCATGAAGGTCGCTGTGGCCTGTGCGAGAATCGGTTGGCGAGAGACTGCGAACTGAGGGAGGGTGTAGAGGATGTAGAGTGTAGAGCGCTGTAGAGATGTAGAGATGTAGAGCGCTCTGGAGCGCTGTAGAGCTGTAGAGCTCTACATCCGCCGCGGGACGAAGCGCCTGCGTTGTAGAGCGATGTAGAGCGCGATTTTGTTGTAGAGCTTGTTGTAGACTAGGCTCTACAGCAAAACCGCCGGGAAGGCAGTGACTCAAAGAGGTCGAGCCGCACTAGTGGGGTGTCTCTGAGCTTGCTGGAGCTCTGATGGACGGCCCTGACTATCCCTGACACACAGAGTCAGAGAGTCACTCTGATGGCACACAACACCCTATAACTGCGTCATGACCAGCCTGCCATGCGTCGCCGGTGCCGCATTCGTCGCAGTGCTCCTTTAGCAGGCGGTGGACTGTCGGCTGCGAGGACGGTCGCATTTGCGCGAGGCGAGGCGAGCATTCAGACGCGTTGCATGCGCCATGACTCGCGCCAGCGCGTGCGGGAGCTCCTGGCTGAGCGTTGAGGCAAGGAGAATAAACAGTTGTTCTGCGTCTTGATATCTGTGTGTACTGACACAGTCTACTGTATGTGCGGTCTCCTCTCTGCACTCCTCGTGGTCTGACGTCTGTGGTCACACCGTCTCGTGGGGAGCGCGTTCGAGCGAGAGGAGCTGAGCCTGAGCCGTGTCGCCGTCGCAGCATAGATTTTTGCGCCCCAACCATGCAAGTAACCAAAGAGACTGACCAACTCCCCACACGCGCATGCCACTGTCCGTCTCACAGTCTCACTGGACTAACCTGGATTTACTCCCCGCAAGTCCGAGGTCGCCACCCACCCCTGCCTCTCTCCCCGTTTCCCCCCCTAGCACGCCGCGGCGAGGCGCAAAAGATTTCGGGAGGCCAGGTGTGAGGTGAAAAGTGGGGAGCGATGTGTGTGTGTGTGTGTGTGCGTGTGACGTGTGTGTGTGTGTGCGTGTGTGTGTGCGTGTGCGTGTGTTGTGGGGTGTACCCGAAGACGCCCGGGCGGCTCCCTGCCTCGAGCACGCGTTGTCAGGGCGGCACAAGCACGGGCGCGTCCAGGTCCTCCTCGGTCCACCCCTTCTCCTTCATGGCCCGCTCGAGGATCTCGACCACCTCGTGCTTGCGCTGGCGCCGAGCGTTGGCGAGCGCGGTGCCGTCGTCGTCCGCCGGGGTCAGCTTCGCGCCGGCGTCGAGCAGCACCTGCACCACCGCCGCGTGGCCGAGATAGGCAGCCACGATCAGCGGGGTCGAGTTGTCGGGCCTGCGCCGCGCCCCGACGTCGGGCTGAGCCCCCGCCTTGAGCAGGAGGCGGCAGGACTTCACGCAGCCAGCCTCGCACGCCGCGTAGAGGGCGGTGCGCCCATCCTTCGCCGGCTGGTTCACCGCGACCCCGTATTCATTCAGGAGCACGCCCACGGCGCCAGCCCTCCCCCGCAGCGCCGCGATGAAGAGGGGGGTGAAGCCCGCTGCGGTGGCGGCGTTGACGACGCACTGCCCGGTGGCGAGCAGCGTCTCCACCACGACGTCGTGTCCCCCCTTTGCTGCGTAGAAGAGCGGCGTGGCTCCGTCGGGCGTCCTGGCATTGACCATCTCGTCCAGAGGGTACCGCTGCTTTTCGCACGCCTTGAGAACGAGAAAGGCGCGGTCGTTGTCGCCAGCCTCGCAGGCCGTGAAGAGCCGCGCGACCTGCTGCTCGCGGTCCGGCGCGTCCTCGGCGGGGGCAAAGTCGGACCACGGCATGTCTGAGAGAGCGTGAGTGTTAGAGTTGTTTGGTTCGCAGTCTGTGGCTGCGGCCCCGAACGCTGGGCGGACGTTGCGCGTTTCCGGGGCGGTTACGGGGGGTTTCGGCAATCGCTTCACAAAATCAGTTGTGTGTTGCACGGGGCAAAACGGGTATGTTCGTACACACCCGGACCGGGGGGAATAAAAGAAGCGAGAAAACAACTCAGGCGCCCTCCACACGCCTTAGCCAAGTCCACCACACGCCGACAGATCACGCCCAGGAAATATGGCTGACGAGGACGTGTACATGGCCAAGCTGGCCGAGCAGGCCGAGCGGTACGAGGAGATGGTGGAGTACATGAAGAAGGTCGCCACGGCTGCGTCGGACGACCTCTCGCTCGAGGTGTGTGCCACTCGAGTGCCGCGGGCGATATATTTGCCGCGGCGGCCCGGGCTACACCGCAGCGCGCGGCCTCCCCGACCATCAGCACCGGATCCACTCCGTGCCCGCCCGCACCGCGCCCCTTCAGGAGCGCAATCTGCTCTCGGTCGCCTACAAGAACGTCGTGGGCGCGCGCCGCGCATCGCTGCGGATCATCAACTCGATTGAGGCCAAGGAGGCGGAGAAGGGGTCGGAGAAGGCGCCGCTGATCAAGACGTACCGCGTCAAGGTGGAGGGCGAGCTGCAGTCCATCTGCACCGACATCCTCAAGCTGCTCGACGGCACGCTGATTGACCGCGCAAAGGACAAGCGAGAGGGCGCCTCCGAGGCCTCCGTCTTTTACCTCAAGATGAAGGCCGACTACTACCGCTACCTGGCCGAGTTCGCCACGCCGGCCTCGAAGCTGGAGCCCGCGAACAAGGCGGGCGAGGGGTACAAGGCCGCCTCGACCACCTGGATCAACCGGGCGCCCACCCCCCCGATCCGGTTCGGTCTTGCGCTCAACTACTCCGTCTTCCGGTACGAGGGGCAGACCCTGACGGAGCCGGCGTGCGACCTCGCGAAGCGGGCCTTCGACGAGGGGAGCCCCCCCCCCCCGGCGGATCCCTTCCCCCCCCCCTCCCCCCCCCCCTCCTCCCACCTCCCCTTTTTCCCCCCTTTCCAACATGGTGCTCCCCCCCCCCCCCCCCCACCACCACCCCATTGGGGGGCCGGGGGGTTTTTCCCCCCCGGGGGGGGGCCTTCACCGCGACGGATCCCCCCCCCCCCCCTGCCCTTGCCCCCGCCCCCGACCCCCCCCCCCCCCAGGCGATCGCCGAGCTCGACACGCTCGACGAGGAGTCCTACAAGGACTCGACCCTCATCATGCAGCTGCTGCGCGACAACCTGACGCTCTGGACGAGCGAGGAGAACGAATCGTGAGGCCCAGACTCGGCCCAAACTACTCTGCCCGAGTCTCCCTTCCCTTCCCCCCTCTTCCCCCCTTGGCCCACACCCCCGGCGGCGTCCGTGCGCCGGCACTCAACCCCCATCGCGCGGGCGCGCCAGTGCGCGCGCAGCCCGCGCGCTGAGGGAGAGGTCGGGGAGCGGGACGGAGAGAGAGGGGGGAGGGGGGTTCGGGTCGACTCTCGAGCGCTGCAGCGCGCCCCGGCCGTGTCGCAATGTCGCGCCAGCATGTGTGAGGAGACAGGAGAAATAGATCGAAAGCCCAGTGTTAGATAGATTTTCCCCTGGCCACAGTAGAAAGAGTAAACCAAAAAAGGGGAGAAGCCGCGCAGCAGGTGGTCCCCCCAAGTTAGCAGAGCAGGATGATCTTGGACTTGGTACTTGGAACGGCCCCCACCTTTGAAGCTTTGATACCCCACCACTTTGTGTGAGTGGAGAGATTTACCTTACCTTACCTTACCTGATCTTGGAAGGACGATCAGAGGAACGGGCGAGCGGGGACGGGAGCGCATGGCGGCGCGAATTTCTTTTCTGGCTGTCTCGGCGTTGTCCAGTGTATAGCCCCAGCCGACCCGCTGTCAACCTCGAGGGCCTCGGTCTCGCTCACGCTGGTCCCTCCGAGACTCTGTTCCCACAGGAGCAGCTGTGAAGCGGCTGCGGCAATAGCAGACAGGTTGTCCAGCTTGTTGTTGGAAGGCGACACATGAGCACCCCAGGTGCCAACACCGCGCTGCTCGAGAAGCTCGAGAAGGCCGAGCTGCGAATCGGGCTATGCGAGGACTCCAAGCTCGCGAAGCTTCTTGATCCGGCGCTGCCCAACATCATCGGCTTCCTCGCGACGGACGACGCCGCTGTGCGGGCCAAGGTGCACTCGGCGCAAGCCGTGCCTCTCCATCGCCGCCGCCGCGTCCTCCGACCCGTGCTCTGCACGCGCGCCGCAGGTGATGGCCATACTGACCCACCTCAACAAGAGGATCCGCGGCGACTCGTCCGTCGCCCTGCCGCTCACTCCACTGGCAAAGCAGTTTGCCAACCCAGCCACTGCACCGATGGCCTCCAACTTTTGCCTCGTCTACCTTGAGATGGGACTCGGCCGCGCGGCGCCTGCACAGCGCGCGGTCGTGGTGCCGCCTCTGCTGCGTGGCATCGCGCGCCGCGGCGCGGCACAGCAGGAGACGCTCCTCTCGCTGTTGCTCGGCTCCCTCTCCGAGCTGCCGCTGCCCGGCTCGCACGCCGAGCTCGAGGGGAGGCTGCCCTTCCTGACCGACCCGGCGGACCGCGCCCTCGTCCTCGAGTGGCTCCTCGACCTCCTCCAGTTCCTCCCTCCTCCCGCCGCTCCCGCCGCCGACAGGAGCGCGGAGCCACCGCCGGGCCTCTCTGCAGACGCCGCCAAGCGAGTCAAGGGCCGCCTCTCACACGAGGAGGTGCGCGGCGAGCTGCTCGCCGCCAAGAAGCTCGCCGCCTGCCGCCTGCTCGGAGCACCCGCCGGCGGGGCGCCCGTCCCAGTCGCCTCCTCCGACGCGCCCGCCGTGACTGCGGCCGGCGGCCCTGCGACTGCGGCCGGCAGCCCTTCGGCCGGCGGAGAGGGCCCGCTCTTCTCGCCGCTCGAGACGCTGCCGCACTGGCTGGTCGCCTCGTGCGACGGCGATGGCGCGGTCAAGACGACGGGCGAGGCCAGGCTTCGCGCGGTGGCCGCCGGGACTGACCTCGAGTCGCACGCCCTCATCGACTCGCTCTGCAGCCTCGTGCTCGGCTCGGAGGCTGCCGCGGGCGCCGCCGCCGGCTCCGCTGCGTCACCGGCGGCGCGGCGGCGGCCATCGGCCGTGGCGGTGCGCACCAAGGCGGTCAGCCACCTCTGCCGCTCGGTGGCCGCCGCCTCGCGCTTCCCGGGCGTGCTGCAGGCGACCTTCCACGCCCTCTTCGCGGGCGACGCGACGCCGCGGCTGCAGCAGCAGGGCGCCGCCCTCGCGGAGCACATCTCCTCGCACGCTGCGCTGCCGCTGCTGGACGCCGCGGGGGCGCACCTGCTGGCCGGCCTGCTTCGCGTGACGCGCGGCGAGGCCACGCCCGGGCTGCGGCCCGACGCCCCGGAGGCGGTCTCGATGCGCAGCCACGCGTACGGAGCCCTCGCCGCCCTCTGCCGCCGCGCGCCAAAGCTGCTCGCCGCAGACTCGGCTCTGCCCACGGAGCTCTTCGGCGCGCTCCGCACCGAGGAGGCGGGCGCGCGCACGCCGCTGCACGAGGCACTCGCCGCCCTCGCGAAGGTGCACGCGCCCGGGGCGGGCGGCAGCGCGCTGCCGGCGCAGACGGCGGCGCGCCTCACGCGGCTGCTGGCGGCGTCGGCAGCAGACCGGGCGCCTCAGGCGCGGCTTGCAGCCATGGCTTGGGCGGCCACCGTCTTCTCGCGCGACGACGTGCCCACGCGCCTCGTCTGCTTGGCCGGCGCCGCCGACGAGCGGCCCGAGGTCCGCGAGGCTGCGCTCGCCGCCCTCCGTCCCGTTCCGCCGCCCGCGGGCGGCGGCAGCGGCGGCGACGAGGCGCTTGCCGCGGGGACGCGCGTGGCGCACGAGGGCAGCGACGGCGTCCGCCGGCTTGGCGTGGTGGCACAGGTGCACGCCGACGCCGGCGGCGGACCGCCGTACTACACGGTCGCGCTCGAGGGAGCGGAGGGGTCGCTTTCCGAGCGGTCGACGGAGCGCGGCCGGCTGAGCTCGCTCTCCGCTGGCTGGCCTCCGTTTGCCGAGGTGGTCCGAGCCATCCTCGGGCGAGTGGCGCTCACGCGGCTCGACCACGCCGCCGGCGGCGTGTGGGAGGTGCCGCTCCTCGACCCGGGCTCGGCCGAGGCGGAGGGCGGCGAGGGGCCGCCGCCGCTGCCGACGCAGGCGACGGGCGAGGCGCTCCGGTACGCGCTCGACTGCCTCCGCGCGGAGGCGGTGGCGCTGCTCCCAGGCGAGCCCCCGGAGACGGCCGTCGGCTCACGGCTCGCGGTGATGTTGCGCGCGTCGGACGCCGCGGGCGGTGTGCCCGGAGTCGGCGCCGGCGCGCGGGAGCTGATGGCGCTGCTCGGCCGCTCCCTCTTTGCGCACCACGGCGACCGCGAGCTGCTCGCGGCGGCCGCGACGTCGCTGCACACCCTGGTCACCGGGGCCGTGGACGCCGCCTCCAAGGTGCAGGTGGCGGAGGCGGCTGCGCTGGGCGCGCTGCCGCGGCGCGTGGCCGAGGCGGAGGAGCCGCTCAAGAACGTCGCTCTGTCGTCGTCCTTCGCGTCCGACAGCACGCAGCGGCTGCTCTGCGAAGCGCTCGCCGCTGGGGCAAAGGCGCTGCCGCGCGCGCGCGCGACGGCGCTGCTCCGCTCGGTGGTTGGGATGCTGCCCTCGCTCGACGCGGGCTGCTCCGGCCCGAGCGAGGCGAAGAGGGCCGTCGGCGCGTCGTTGCTCGCCGGCTTCCTGACGGCCCGCCTCGACCCGGCGGCTTCGTCGGTGTCGGCCGACGCGATGGAGGTGGATAGCGGCAGCGAGGCTGGCGACGGACCGGCGGCGCTCGAAGCAGCGCGCACAGCGGCGGCCGCCAAATTGGGTGCCCTCCTCAAGCACCGCACTCCACACGTCACCGTCGCTGCCGCCGCGGCCGTCGGAGCCGTCGGCGCCGCCGGCCCGCTGCCGCTGCCCGTGGGCGTCGGCGCCGCGGAAGCCGAGGAGGGCGGCGATGCGCCAGACGCAGCAGCCAAGGAGGGCAATGGCGGCCAGGCGGCGCCGAAGGAGGGTGCCGAGGCGACGTCGACGGCGACAGCGGCGACGACCGAGGGGGACAACGACGAGGCTGCGGGTCGGTCCGAGGAGGAGATGACGAAGCACTCGGTCGTGGCGCACCTCGCGTCTCTGCTGCGGCGCGAGAAGGTGCGTACCACGGCGGTCCGAGCGTTGGGGCAGCTCGTCGCGGGCGACCCGCACGCGCCCTTCCGCAACGCCGCGCTGCTCGCCATCCTCGGCATGCACACCGTGAAAGACGTCGAGCTCCAGCTGGTCGTCGGCGACGCGCTTGCCACCCTGGCCATGTCGCCGCCCCGCCAGGCAAGCAGCGCGCCTCCACCCGCGCTGCCGCGAATCAAGCCGCCGGAGGCGCCAGCGGTGACGGGCACGGGCGCGGACGCCACTCTCGCCGAGCGCACCGCCGACGCCGCAACCGCTTGCGAGCTGGCGGCGGGCGACACGCTCTTGCGCTACGTGCTCGGCCGCGTGCTGCTCCAGCACGTGGTGGCATGGGCGCCGCTCGAGCGCCAAGCTGGCGCGGCGTGGCTGCTCGCGCTTTTGCGGCAGGCGGCAAAGTCTGGGGGCGGCGAGCTTGCGGTGCGCACCGCGGCGGGCCGGATCCAGGCGGCGCTGGTTGGCTTGCTCGCCGACTCGAACGAGGCGACGCAGGAGCTCGCCTCCAAGGGCCTCTCGGCGCTCTTCGACTGCTGCGACGAGGCGTCGCGCGCCACCATCCTCCAGGAGCTCGTCGCCGGGCTACAGAGCTCGCGCGCCGCCAACGCCTCCGCTTCGGGCGGTGAGATGGCCACCTACAAGGAGCTCTCCGAGATAGCGACGTCCGTCGGCCAGCCCGCTCTTGTCTACAAGCTCATGGAGTGTGCGGCTTCGTCGGCGGTGTGGAACACCCGCAAGGGGGTCGCCTTTGCCCTCGCTGAGCAGTCGCGCGATGCGCTCGAGCCGCACCTGCCTTCGCTGCTGCCGACGCTCTTCCGCTACACCTTCGACCCAAACCCGCGGGTGGCGAACGCCATGCGCCAGCTCTGGGCGGCCCTCGTGCCCGACCCGAAGCCGGCGCTCACCAAGCACCTCCAGCCCGTCCTCGAGCACCTCTGCGCTTCGCTCGGCGACCGCCTCTGGCGCGGGCGCGAGTCGGCGTGCCTCGCGCTCGCCGAGCTCCTGCCCGGCCGCACGCTGGCGGAGCTGTCGCCCACGCTCGCCCGCCTGCTCACCGCGCTGCTCCGCGTGCTCGACGACGTCAAGGAGACCGTCCGCAAGGCGGCGGAGCCGGCGTGGCGCGCGGTGTCTTCGGCTTGCGTCCGTCTCTCCGACGGCGGCCGCGCTTCGGCCTCCGACGCGGAGGCGGTGCTCGAGATCGCGCTGCCAATTCTGCTCGACGGCGTGCTGCTCCCCTCCGAGGAGGCGCGCCGCACCACTGCCGCTGCCACCGCCACCGCCACCGCCAGTCCACGCGTGAGGCACGGGTGGACGGCGCCTGCGTAGGTGCGCGCCGTGTGCACCAAGCAGCTGCTCAAGCTGGTGCAGGGCTCCGGCAAGCACGTCGGGCCGCACACGCCACGGCAGACTCCCCCCCTCCCCCCCTCCCCCCGCCCCCCGCCCCGCGCGCACGCAAACCGAACCTCCACCTCGAAGCCAGCCCTGCTCGGGCGCCTCATCACACACGCCCCTCCCGCCGCCGCCTCAGGCTCGTCCCCTTCCTCATCGAGTCGCTCTCCTCCAACGAGTCGTCGGCTCTCACCTACATGCAGCAGCACGCGCCCGGCCTCGGCGTCTCGGCCGGCACCTTCGAGGCGGCTCGCGTCGCGGCGGCGCGCGCGTCGCCGGCACATGCGGCGCTGGAGCAGTGCCTCGCCATCATGGACGACGCCCAGGTCGGCGCGACCGTGCCTCGCCTGTCAGAGATCCTCGTGCGCGGGACCGGTCTGCCGGCGCGGTGCGGCGCGGCTCGCGTGGTGCTGCAGCTCGCTCGCGACCGGCAGTCCGCGCTCACGCCGCACGCGGGGAAGCTCCTCTCGGTGGCGACTCGCGCTATCCTCGAGGAGCGCTCCGCCGCCGCCCGGCGCGCCTACGCGAGTGCGGCAGCGCAGCTCGCGCGGTTGGCCAAGCCCGAGCCGTTGGGCGATTTGCTCCGCTCGCTGACGCAGCGGTACGTCCTCACGGCTGTCACCACCAACGAGCAGGAGGAGCGCCTGACGCTCGCATCGCTCGTGCGCGAGCTTGGCCGCGGCGCGCCCGACGCCATGGGTGGGCTGCGAGCCGATTGGTTGCCGCTGGCTTTCATCGGCCGGCACGAGCCGCGCTGGGAGGCGGAGCGGCAGGAGGCTGGTAAACAGCACGAGGCCGGCGCCCTTGCGAGCGTGTGGGAGGAGGCATACGACGAGGGGGGCGGCAATGCGGGTGCCGCCGCCTCGCACCTGCAGGAACTGCTTGCGCTCCTGCGTACGATGGTCGATGGCCAGTCGTGGGCGTTGCGCCGTGCTGCCGCGGCCGCGCTCATCGATCTCGCGAACCTCTCGTCCGGTGCGCTCAAGAAGCGGCCCGACGCCGCGTCCCAATTCGAGCTGCTTGCGGCGTCACTCCGCGAGTCCTCTCGCCGCTGGGACGACAAGGAGGCTCTTCTCCCAAAACTCAACGCTTGCTTTCCCCCTCCGCCGACGCCGCACGCAGCACCGCCGCCCACGGAGAGCGCCGACATGTGAAACGTCGAAGAATTGGAGCCGGGGATCCATAAAGTATAAAGCCGCACGCTGCTCGCTGCGCTCGCTGGTTTCTCGCGTGCGATTCCTTTGTGTGTGTTGCGTAGGAACGTAATCGTTTTTTCTCCTTCTTGCTATCCCGCGTTTAACATGCCTCACACCTGCCGAGATACAACATACAAGAATGCGATATTGTGTGTGACCTCCCGGCGTGTGCGCTGTGTCCCTGTGCCGCTGACGCTCGGCGCGCGTTGACCGTTGTCCGCTGAAAGGAAGCCCCCGAGTCTCTGCCCCATACTTTCAGCAACGGCGGGCGAGTGGTCTCAGCTAGTAGCCCAAATCGCGGCCTCTCAGGGTGCGCGACGGCGTGTGAGAATCATGCCTCTAGCTCGCAGTTAGACCGAAAGCTCGGAAGCAGTCGTTCCCCGCGCGGCGTCATCCTCGGTGGATGCCTTGCTCGCGGGCGCCGCCGCCGCTCTGGGAGTCGCGCCGTCGTCGTCCAGATCCGGCGGAGGAGGCAGCGTCAGTCTGGCTGCATCATCTACCACTTGCGGGCTCGGCGGTACCTCCGGGGGAGAGGCTTCGGGCGCGGATATAGGCGGGGCCTCCACCACCTCGTTTGCTCCATCATCTGGCTCTGGGAGCGCCGCGAGCTTGACGGGCACCTTGGAGTAGAGGCGGATGTGGAAGCCTCGCGTCTGACCCGGAGCAAAGGTGGTGGGCAACAGCGTGTAGGTGGTGCTCCTGCCGACGCCAATCGGCTCGAGCATCACATCGAGCGACACCTACGGGCGACAGCACCTAGGGACTTTGCACGAGGCGACGGCCGTGAGGCCCGCCGAGTCGACACACCTCGCGCACGTCGCGATAGGGCGCCGTCTGGGCGCACCAGTCGGAGTAGTAGATCTTGCGCACGCGCTCGCCATTCTTGAAGACAACTGCGAAGCCAATAGGAAGCGCCTCGTCCTGCTGCGCCTGCCCCGAGCCCGCAGGGGCAGCTGCACTCTCCTCCACCCCCTCGCCAGCCCCACCGACTTCTGAACCCGCATGTGCTCCGACGTCCGAGCTAACGCCCGCGCCAACGCCCTCGTCGGACGTGCCATCTGGGGTGCTGCTCTCCGAGGCTGCCTCCGCGGCGTCGGTTTGAGCGCTCGTGGCATCGGCGCTGGCCGCGACGGCGAGGGTCGCCATGTCGAGGCTCACGCGCGAGTCGCCTTCACAAGCGAGGTCCTGCGCCAGAGTGATGAGGCACGGCACCGGTTTCGTCCCGATGGTGATCGCATACTGTGGGTTGTCGCCAAACGTGTCGTAGTTGGCGCAACCCCCAGCCGTCGTGCCACGCCACTCGCCCTCCGCCTCGGCGAGGGCCCAGTGCTTTGGTTGCAGCCTGCAAACGTAGAGCGAAGCGAACTGGCCGCAAAAGTCGCGCAAGCACATCCAAAACGTGCCGTCCTGGGCGTCCGCCCAGCCAAGTCGCGCCTTGAGCCGCGGCGTCCAGAGTGGCGAGCGATCGGACCAGTCACCGATCCACTCCGCCTCGCCCCACGGGTTGCGCAGCTGCAGCAGACGGTGCCCACTCTCCTCGACCACGCGGCCGATGGAATACGCGTGGCCGGCGACGAGCCCGAGGCGTGTGCTCCGTCTCGACCGCTCAGTGTCGCACCCGGTCGGTGCGCCTGCGCCCAAGAGGTAGCCAGCGTGCGAGAAGAAGCGCAGCCGGTCCCACAGCGCGTCGAGGTTGGAGGCCGCCGAGGAGAGGGCGATGCTCTCTCCGCTAACGCCGCCAGTCAGGTCCAGCAGCGCCTCGTCGACGTGCCCACCCTCGATGGCAGCGTAGGAGCCATAGAGCTTCGCGTACGCCTTCTCGAGCAAAGAGATCCACAGCTCACCCTCCCGTTTGGAGGAGGCAAAGAGCGGGGTCGATCCGTCGGCTGCCATCGGGAGCTGGTCGTTCACCATCACGTGGCGCGGTAGGCCTGCAACGGGGGCTGGCGCTGAAGGGACATCTGCGGGCCAGCTGGGGGTTGGCTGGGTGCGGCACGGCACCATCGCGAAATAGGCGGACGCAGTAGAGGCCCGCATCGTTGGGCTCCTTGGTGACAAAACAATCGCGGATGAGCTGCGGCCGCGAGGCCGCGATGGCGAGAGCCGACATGAGGTAGGAGGTCCCGAGCGCGCCTTGGACTATGTCCGACGTCTCGACCGGGTCGGTCTCGCCGCCGCCATCTGCAAAGACTGAGATCGACGAGAAGACTTGCGCCGCGCTCTCCCAGCGTGCGCCAAACTTGGAGGGAGGAAGCGAGGGGTCGGCGGCCGGGAAAACGTAGTCATCCCACGGCTCTCCCGCCACGGCTTGCTTAACGAGCGGCTGCACGAGCAACTCCCACGGATCCCCAGCGCCCACGCCCCGCAGCTGAATGTCTGCTTTGCGTGCGCGCTGCGCGTCTGCCTGCTCCCGGCCTCGTCGCGCCGCCTTCTCCTCACGCCGCCGCTTCTCGGCAAGGGCGCGGCGCGCCTTACCGGCGTTGCGCGCCTCCGCCTCCCGGCTTGGGCCGAGGGCCGCCTCGCCCTGTGCGAGGGAAGCGGCCGCCTCTGTCTGACGAGTGCTGAGCGTGCTCTCGTACTCGGTCATCTTTGCCAGCTCCTGCTGTAGGCGCGCCTCGTCCGCAGCCAAGGAGGCGCGGACCCGCTTGACCAGCGCATCCTGTCGTGCGCCCTCCTTCTCGTCCTCTGCAGCCCGTGCGGCCTTGAGCTGTCGGAAGTGCTCAATGCGTGCAGTGAGACGCGCCTCATCGGACTGCTCAGTTGCGCCGGCAACCGGATCGACGCTCGCAAGGGGACGCGCCGCTGCCTCCCGTCGCACTGCATCCAGCTCCGCCGCCTCGGCCATCTCGCTCTGCGCGGCCACGTCCTCCACGTCAACAGGTGCAGCTGGGGCCTCGGGCGGAGGCGCACAGCCTGCCCCACGAAGCGCCTCGCAAATGTCCTTGAGCGTGCTCGCAGACACCCGCGCCCGTCCTACTGCGTCCCGTAGGTGACGCCGCACGGGTGGTTGGGTCATTCGGATTCGGTCATCTGGCTTCCTGTTCTGAAAAGAAAGAAAACGGACCTTCCTGTTCTGGTTTTGCGACTTGGTCTCGCGCAATACTTTTTTGGGCGCGGGCAGTGTAACGACCTGCAAGAACACATCCATTGCCCGCCCCCGCCCTCGCCTCCGCCTCCGTCTCCTCCGCCCCCCTCCCCGCCCCCGCGTATGCATATATGAAGCGCACCGACACCATCAACGCTGGCGACGCCCCACGATGGTGCCTTCAAAAGAAGCGAGCGGTACCACGAGCTAGCCAAGATGATGAAGACCGAGGTTGCGTGGTGAGGCCGCACCTAAAGACGTTCGGACCGTCAGCGGAGAAGTGGGACAGCAGCGGCCGGTCATTCGTTGCGGAAAAAGTGAAGCCGAGCAGGTTCCAGCCATCAGAGGTCGCCTTACCGAGGGACAGGAGCCAGCTCGAGCCGCGCGTCTACAGTCACTCGCCCAAGCCCGAGCCGGCAGAGATTAGGCCGAGGGGGAAGCGGATTTTGCCGCGGCATCAAGTTTCGGCGAAGACGTTGAGCTTTGAGGAGGCCATGGGGCGGCACCGTCATGTCTACGACGCATCCGGCTGCGACGTCCGCCAACAGCGGAGCGTGTCTTATACCCTCGAGAATTCGATGGCACACAAGGGCGCGGCAGACGTGCGCAGTCTCGAGAGCTGCGCAGGCTTGCCCGGCTACTGCGTCCAACCTGCCGAGTACTCGAGCTTTCTCGGCACGCAATACTTTGCTCTAGACGGTGTCGTGGCACGACCCAAAATGCGACCTTCGAGGGGTGAACGGCAGCTAAGAGAGCTCCAAGCCGCAGGCGATCGCGCCGCGAAATTTGGAAGCCGGTCCAAGCCCTTCGCTGAGAAGCGCGAGGACGAGATTAGAGCCGCCGAGGTCGCTTCCGTTGCGGTCTTGCCATATTCGTCGGAGGAGGAGAGCTGAGGTGTCTTCTTGTGTTAGGATCATTATCGTCTCTTTTCACATTCGCATCACACAACTGAGAAGATTACAAACGGGTATGAACCACCGAGTCGGCTTGGGGTGAGACACCAGGGACGCGAACGGATTGCTCATCCTCATGAGCAGGAGTGTGCCTGGACGGGCGGCCCTTCGCTTGCCGTGCCTTGTCCAGCAACGCGGCCCTCCCCTCATCACCGAGAGCGGCAGCCATGCTGCTGAGCACCGATGCTGGGTCGGTGAGCAGCGTTGCGGGCGACCCCTGCTCGAGCAGGCGACCGCCGCCAAGCACGAGGAGGGTGTCGTAGTCGGCGACGGTCAGGAGGCGGTGCGCGATGGTGATCACCGTCTTCGCCGCATACTCCTCACGGAGCAGCGCCTGCATCGCCGCGTCAGAGTTCTCGTCGAGGTTGCTCGTGGCCTCGTCGAGCACGAGGATCGACGTCTCCTCGAGCATCGCGCGCGCAAAGCAGAGGAGCTGCCGCTCGCCCGAGGAGAGGTTCGAGCCATTCTTGGAGACGTGCGTGCCGAGGAGGTCGGCGGGGAGCCGAGCGCGCACCAACGCCGACGCCAGCTCCTCGTCACTCTTTGTTCCAAAGGGGCAGAGGTTGTGCGCGACGGTGCCCTGGTGTAGCACCGGATCCTGCGAGGCGGCGGCGAGCTCGCGCCAAAGCTCGCGGGAGGGGCCGCGCACGCGGGGGGCATCAGCGCCTGAGGAATGATGGACATTGTGCGGCGGAGCGCACGCAAGCCGAGCGAGGCCGTCTCGCGCCCGTCGATGAGGATGCTGCCCGCAGCCGGCTCGAGCAGTCGGAAGAGAGCGAGGACAAGCGTGCTCTTGCCAGCGCCTAAAGAGCGCCAAACGATGCGAGTCACCATCGGTGCGGTGCTAGCGATCAGGCCAGTAGGTGGCGTGCCCGTTCGGCCGACCACCCCGGCCTTCTGCCGGGGGGCGATGGTGGCCGAGAAGTCCGCCAGCGCAAGCGGCAGCCCGGGCCGGTACCGCATGCAGAGGCTCTGAAAGACCACCTCGCCCGCTTTTGGAAAGTCGGCCTGCGGCGGGTCGGACGGCAATTCGTGCGGCGGCTCCTGCGGCAGCTCCAGGTACTCCAGAAGCCGCTCGAGCGCCGCCATGGACGTGCGCAGCTGGACAAACCTATGATCAGCCGAGGGAGGTGTAAAGAGACGCACCGTGGCAGGCCCACGCGCGGGAGTCGGCGAGGCACATCTCGGAGATGATGTTGATGAAGTAGGGTGCGACGACTGCGTACGTGAGCGCGAGGCCGCCCTCCGCTACCCCAAACGAGGCGCGATTCCCGATGATGAAGAAGAATGTGGCGACGCCAAAGACAAAGGCGAGGGAGCCACCCACGTGCGCGGACCAGGACTGCATCGCCCGTGAGAGGTAGGAGAAGCGAGCCCACGCGCCAATCGCCGCAGACTGGCGGGCGGCGAAGAAGGAGCCGAGGCGCATCGCCCGCACGAGCGGCGTCCCGACCTTGATTTCGGCGATGTTGGACATGATTGGCGAGACAGCGTTGTTGGCGATGCGGCGCACCTCGCGTATCGAGCGGTCTGCGACCAGAGTGGCGAAGCAAAAGACGGCGAAGACGCCGGCGGCGACGACAGCGAGGACCCAAGTCGTGGAGGCAATCAGCCCGACCATCGTGGCCGCCTGGAAGAACATATGCATCAGGTTGTCCACGTCCATGCTCAGCTTGATGTCGACCGTGTTCAGGTCCGAGGTGAAGCGCGAGAGGACGCGTCCAGAGGGCGTGCTGTCGTACCAGCCGAGCGGCGCGTAGATGACGCGGCGGAGCGTGCTGCGGTGCATCGCCGCCGAGGCGCGCACCGAAATGACGGTGAAGAAGATGGACGAGCCGATGATCAGCGCGATGAAGCCGAGGCACAAGCCTGAGTAGACGCCCGCCCGGCTCGCTGTCGGTAACCCGGCAGCCGGCCCCGCGTCGCCGATCCACCACCGCACGAGCCACAAGTCGGCGAGCAGGAAGGTGCTGTAGGTGAGCACGAGCAGCGCAAAGTAGGACCAGACGGACGCGGTCCCGAGCGCGCGGAGATAGGTGGTGTAGATGCCAGAGGAGAAGGAACCCGTCTGCCGTCTCTCGGCCGTGGTGAGCCGCGAGACGCCGCCCGGCGGCGTCGCAGAAGCCTTCGCGCCGGCCGCAGACGCGCCCTCGGCCGCCTTGGCGAGAGCTGCCGCCGCCTCGGCCGGCGAGCGGCTCGCCTCGGGAAGGTCGTCCAGCGATGCGGCGGCGGCGGCGCCGAGGAGCCGATCCGCGAGCTCCGACCCCGAGGCGAGCAGCGCCTCGCGCGGGCCGTGCGCAGTCACCGCGCCGCCCTCGATGAGCAGGAGCGAGTCGAAGGCGTGCAGGTGGCCGCCTTGTGATGCCGACACGAGCGCGGCGCGCGCGACCGGCCCGGCCTCGGGCTCCGCCAGCCAGCCGCGCTTGACGTAGCGGACGATGGCGTCGAGGAGCACGCACGCTGTGCGCGCGTCGACGGCGGAGAGCGGGTCGTCGAGGAGGAGGACGGAGGGGCGGCCGTAGAGGGCGCGCGCCATGGCGATCCGCTGCGAGAGAGGAGGGGGTAGGAGGGGAGTGGCTGGTGGCGGGAGAGGGGGGGGGGGGGGGGGGAGGGGGGGGAGCGGCGGGAGCGGCCAACCTGCTGCTGCCCGCCCGAGAGAGTCACGCCTCGCTCGCCCACCTCGGTGTGCTCACGCAGCGGCAGCGCCGCCAGGTCGTCGAGCAGGGCGCACCCCTCGAGGATCTGCGCGAGCAGGTCCGGCTCGAGCGGCCTCCCGAGCAGGATGTTGTCGAGGATCGTGCCGGCGATGGTGAAGGGGCGTTGCGGCACGATGGCGGCCTGCGCAACGGCGTGCTTGCCGCTGCGGACGAACGCCTCCCCCCACAGGGCCGCCAGCAGCGACGTCTTGCCCGCAGAGACGGGCCCGACCAGCGCGACCAGCTCGCCCGCACGCACCGAGAGCGACACGTCGCTCACGGCGTCGACCGGCTTGGCCTCGACGTCGCCGGCGCCGCCGACCGTCCGGCGGCCGGACCGCTCCGGCAGGCTGAGCATGTTGATCTGCGCCATGGTCGCCGAGCGCGGGCCCACGCCGTCGAAGCGCGAGCGCGGCGGCGGCGGCGGCGGCGGCGGCGCGCGGCGGACCATGCGGCTCATGCGGCGAGAGAGCGACCGCTCGGTCAGGCGGGCGGGCTGCCGTGCGGCGGCTGGCGCCCCGCTGCGCGCGGGCCAGCTGACCGTCGCGCCGTCGAGCGAGACAAGCGCGCCGCCCTCGCCGGCCGCGGCGGGCGGTGCGGGCTGCTCGGGCAGCTGCAGGTAGGCGGAGATGCGCGAGGCGGCCACTTGGATGGCGATCAGGATCTGGAAGACCATCGGCAGCATGATGAAGGGCACGCGCAGCGCCTGGAGGAGCGACGCGAGCGTGGGGCGAGGGCGTGGGCGAGGTGTGGCCGAGGCCTGGGCGAGGTGTGGCCGAGGCGTGGCCAAGGTGCGGCGAGGGCGTGGGCGAGGACGTGGGGGAAGGGGCCTGGGCGAGGTGTGGCCGAGGCGTGGCCAAGGTGCGGCGAGGGCGTGGGCGAGGACGTGGGGGAAGGGGCCAGCCCAACCTGGAAGAGGGAGATGATTGGCAGCACGACATCGGCGCGGAAGCGGTCGGGCGAAGTGAGCACGAGGACGAGGACGGTGCAGAGGATGGAGATGATGGGCGAGGCGCGCCCGATCTGCACGACGACGTTGATCGCGATGCGGTATGTGCGGAGGTGCGTCAGCTCGGTCGCGCGGCGGCGGCAGATGTGGGCGAGGTACGTCTCCTCCCAGCCCATGAACTTGACCACCTTTGCGCCATCGAGCAGCTCCCTCGTCGCGCCCGCCGTCTCCTCCGACGCCTTGAGCATCGCCGCCTGAGGGGAAGGGCGGGGTCGGCGGCGGGTGGCCGCGGCGGCGTGCGCCGCGCCTACGCGCCTGCGAGCGCTTCGCGTGGCGGCCGAGCGGTATCGAGACGAAGAAGGTGCCCGCCATGACGAGGACGCCGAGCCCGCCGGCGAGGCCCGAGAGGACGAAGACGACGGTGAGGCCGCCGACGAGGGAGGAGAGGCAGAGCCACATGAGCGGCAGGAAGCGGGCCATGTCGGCGGCCCCCACGAGGTCCTTGCCGAGCAGCGTCTGCTCGGCGCCGTCCGAGCCGACGCCGGTGCGGAGCCGGCCCGCCTTGAGGGTCACCAGCTGCATCGCGGCCGACGACGCGCGCAGGATCGCCTCGTCGCCCGCGATGTGCAGGCCCTGCGTCTTGCTCCACTGCTCGAGCAGCAGGCAGGCACCGAGGCCGCCGGCAAAGGCGAAGCCGCGCCAGAGCGGCTCGTCGGGCGAGATGGACTCGACGGCGCTTTTAAGGAGCAGCGGCCGCGCCACCGAGTTGCAGAGGCCGGAGACGACCAGCAGCGCACCGCCCTGGTAGAAGCTGCGGCGCGCGAGTGGGTACAGCACGCCCGAGAGGACCTGCGCCTTGCCCGGCTCGGCACGCGCCAGCTCCGCCTCCCACAGCTCGACCGCGACGCGGTGAAGCGGATCCGACCGCACTCCGCTTGGCGCGGAGGGCAGGTCCTCCTCGTGCAGCGGCTTGGACCAGCCTCTGTACGCGATGGCCGCGCACCAGCCGAGCCAGAGGCGCGAGATCAGGCAGGCGTCGTCGGGCGAGCGGCCGCCGGCGGAGGTCATCGCAAGCAACGGCGGCGACGAGCGGTCGAAGCGGTCCACCTTCTTGTCGCCTTCTTGCTTGACGGTCGGGCCACCACGGTGAACTCCGGGCAGTTTCATGTTGGTCCGGCCTTTCCCATCCCCGGAACAAAAATCTCTCTCTCCTGTGTTGATACTATCTGACCTGCGACGAGAAGTCGATGCAATGTCGCCGTACGAGGTGCTAATGAATGCACCACAACCTTGGAGTGAATTATCATGCCAGAAGGGACCTTCGTGCTTCGTCATCACACGCATGCCGCTCGGAGCGTATGGCGAACGGATTTCCCCAAGGGCTCTTGGGGTGTGTGATAGAGCGAGCAGGGGATGGGTGGGGGATGGGTGGGGATGGGCGGGGACCTCGGGGATCAGCGGGACACGAGCATGTTGTTGTTGTGCATGTTGTTGTTGTGCATGTTGTTGTTGTACGTCAAAGGAAGTAACTTCGCGCGCCGCCGCGCTCATTACGTCCCATTTGGGACGGTGTGAACTCGCCTGCCTGGCGCCATGGCTCGTCCATCATCATTGAGAGGTCTGTCCCTCGCTGGGTGTCACTCTAGTGCCCCGTGCGTGTAGGCGACGAGCGCCCTAGCTGTGAACAAGCGCTTGGATGCCGAGGGGTAAATTGGCTTTCAGCGCACGCCGAAATTTGCTGACAGTGAAGCTATCCATGCACTCGCTCTTCTCAGCCTCTGGCGCACGCAAGTCGGACGATGCGGCGCTCACCTTCCTCGCGCAGGGTGGCTCTCGAAAATCGTCGATATCTTCCGAAAAGACTGCTCTTGCCGCAGAGCAGCCGACGCGATGCAGACGGAGGCGCAGAAAGGCTACGCGGGCGGCGGCGGCGGCGGCGGCGGCAGCGGCGGCAGCGGCAGCGGCGACGGCGACGGTGGCGGAGACGGAGACGACGCTGGCGCCACCTTGGATGAGCTTCATGCCAGAGTTGCTCGGCTCGAGGGACGAGGCGGAGCGTCACAAGCTCGAGTGTGAGCTGGGCGTCGCTCCCGCTCCCGCTGCCGTCGCCGCCGCCGCTGCCGTGGTCATCCGAGCTCAGGCCGAAGCTGTCTTCGTCGCTGGACATGCTGGGGACTCCGGGAGGGTATCGAGGGCGCGCGTGGGCGCGTGGGGGCGCGCGCGCGCCGAAGTGGTTTGGCGCACACCTCCACGAGGAGGGTGGCCACCCCTCACTTTCCGGACTCAAAAAGTAACCTCGGACTTCCGACACCTCCGTGAGCACCTTTGGCGATTATCGCTCCCCATCGAGCTCTTCTTGCCGTCGGCTCTTCCTGTGTGCCGGCACAGAGCTCCGTGCAAGCCGTTCAACGTGATCGTGACGAGTGTATCGCTTGACGGATCGACCGTACTTGTTATCAAGACTGACATGACGTACACAGTGACACATCAGACGACACATATTCTCCCACCCGCCGGGTCGCAAAACGCTCTCGACGAGAGCCACAAGAAGCCGTCCGCACAGGAAGCCGCTCGTCGGACAGGCGAGCTCGCTCGATGTCGGCGAGCGCATTGCGCACGCTTTGGACGGTGGCGAAGCCAAAAACACCGATGGTGGCCGTCCGCTGGCGTGAGCGGTGGCGATCGGTCCCTAACCTGTCGCTCGCGGTCCCTAACCCAAAAGTGGTCCTTCGCGCTTTGGAGAGAGAGAGAGAGAGATTTTTCTTGTTTTCGCTTTGGTCCCTAACCAAAAAAGCACGATTCTCAACTTGGGCCCTCGGTGTGTGTGTCGGCGTCGTGTTGCTCCTCCCAACGCTACCAGTCACAAATCCGTTTCCGTCGCTATCACTAGACACGCCAGGCTCGTTCACAGCCTTGTTATTGAGAAGAAAATACTCGAGTACCTCCATTCACACCCAGCGGCGCGGCTCTGCAGTCCCGGGCGTATAGCTGCGCCTGTCGTTCTGCAGCGTGGTTTGTGCGTGTGAGTCAAGTAGGCGAGACATACATGTCCAGGCTACTCGCGCTGCGCCTTTGCTTGCTCGCGACGCTGACCGCCGCCGGTGCGGTGCGACGCGTGCTCGTGACGGGCGCCAACAAGGGGATCGGGCTGCAGATCTGCAAAAAGATTGTGGCGACGCAGCCGGACGCGCACGTGGTTTTGGGATCTCGGTCGGCGTCCCGTGGCGAAAAGGCTGTGGCGGACGTGCTGGCCTCGGAGCCGTCGGCGGCGGGCCGCGTCGAGATGCTGCAGCT